ATATCATTAAAAGCAATATCTGGTGGCCATTCTTTTAGAACCATATGTTGGTTTTGAAGTATCCAAGCTCTTCCTACAAGAATTCTTTGAACATCACATGCATTATGGAAAGTAAAAACAAAGGTGTTTATCTCTCTTAAGTATACAGAGAAATTCTCCTTGCAGTGCCAGGATTTAGTCATGATTTCTTTAACAACCTCCGCACTGTATTTCCCAGATGTAATAATTTTCCCAGCAAGCACATTCTTACTATTAATGCTTCTATTATCTTCTTCAATTAATGTTAGCACTGGACTGGAATCATGTGGTGCCAGGTTTGGTTAGTGAGAGGCATTAACTATTAGTGCAGCTTTGTCCATAAAGAAAGAAGACAAAAGGAAGGAAAGAGGGGCACACAAGTAAGGAAAAGGACGAAGAGGTTAAAGGACAAAGAAAATAACGGAATTTGAAAGAGTAAACATGGAGGTGGAAAGTTGAAATAGCAGGGTAAAAAGGGATCTAAAGTAAAGGGACAAAACCCAAGATAAAGGGAAGACCCTTGAGTAAAGAGAAGAGCTCTTAGCGAAAACTTCCCACGACTGACGATTGCTGCTTTATGATAATGTGGGGAGTGAAAATGGCAATTCGTGACTGACTTCCAAGACAGAAGAAGTTGGATAAAAATGGATTGAACCCCAAAAAAGAAAAGGAAAGGAAAAGGAATTATGTAAATCTTTTCTTTTCTTTTGATTAATCTATTATTAGCAATTTAACGTGTGTTATTAAATATTAATGATGAACTTTTGTGTTCGTTTCTCATGACTCTTTCTTTATCTGCTGATCAAAAGAAAAAAAAAAAAAAAAAAAGGTCGTCTTTGCTTTTTTCTTTTGATTAATCTTCTCATTAGCAATTTAACGCTGTGTTATTAAATATTCACACTGAGTCAGATGAACCTGTTTGTGTTTCTGTTTCATCTACGATAGAGCCATTCTATCTTTAAGCTTTTATCTGCTTGCAGTCAATAGAAGAGGCATATACACACAAGAAAAATAACCTAAAAGAAACCAAGAGATGGTAGATTGCTTATTAAGAATTCCGGAATTAATAAACCTCTCAGTGTATCACCCTTTCTATGTTGAATCTTTTGTGTTAACGTTGCTTCCTACTAAAATATAGCCATACTCGTAGCGTTTTAACGCAGAAAAAGAGTGGGTAAGCCGGAAAAAGAATTATTGCTTCTATGTTCTTTACCTCATAGTTTCTCCTCTTCTCTTTCTATATAAAAAAAAAAAAAAAAAAAAAAAAAGGTTAGATTGCTTATTAAGAATCCAATAATAACAGTGATCCCTTTCTTGTACTGTTTACTTGTCTATTTAGTTTAAGTCAAGTTAAGAATATTCTTCTTCTTCTTGTTCTCTTTTTCTTTTTCTTTTTCTTTTTTCTTTTTTTTTTTTGGCAGAACCTTTTACATTACAATGAATTTTTATTTGTCCATTTCATTCATGTACTAGTTTGCCATTTATTCAGGTTATTTTGGACTGATTTGTTAAATAAAACAAGTTATAGGAAAAGAAAAGTGAGCAACTAAATATTTTAGTGAAGAAAAGATAGGAGTTTGCATATTGTTTTTTGAATTTTCTTTTTTTTTTTTTTTTGTTCTATTCTTGCAAATACATATTGCAAGTTGTAAAAGAATTGTCAATTTATATAGAATTTTAGGAAGTAGTAATTAATTATTTACATGTTTAAGGAATTTTTAGGATCTCTAACTCTAACCAAGTATCTTGGAAATTACAATGTAGGGGAAGTTCATGCTAAAATATTGAGAAATACAATGTGGGAGACGTTCATAGTACAAATTGATCAACAACATCCAATTTTTTCTTTTTAGTTTTTTTGAGATCTCTAAGGAGCATGGAATATGTAAACGACAAAATTTATAAGAAAACATATTTTAATTACTTGTAAGCTGTAAGTCATCTCTAAAACATAAAATCAATGGCCAATTCAGCAAAAAAAAAAATTAGGGGATAATACTTTTTTTTTTCCCAAAAAGAAAAAAATTTTTCTTCCCTTAAACATAGATTCGGATTTGAATCCCCCTCTCAAATTCTCAAAAAAAAAATACTCGGAATCACGTTAGCTATATTTACAAATTCAACTTTGTCTTAATCACTGCCTATTTCACAAATTTCTCTTTCAAATTTACTATTTAACTTCTGATATTACCAAGAAAATGGTATTCGTACATATGAAAAACATATTGAGCTTTAGATATTAAATTTAATTTTAATCCACACCTTTTAAAATATTTCAAATCTTTATCACTGAAATATTTCTTATAGACAATATTACATCCATTCAGTTAATTTTGATATTTTTTTTTTGACTTTTTACAATAATTATAAAAAATATTTCATCATCTCAATCTAGAAATTAAGAGTAAATGACTAAATTATTTAATTTATTATAATTAAAAGAGAAAATTTGGTGAAGATATTTAAATTTAAATAAAAGTAAAATCAGAATGAAACGGTTCTATACGACGGTAATTTGTAAAAATATTTTATAAGAGGAAAATAAAAATATTAAAATATTAAAATTAATGGAACAGAGAGGCAGTAAAATAACTATTGCATCTTTGAATTGGATCGCTATTGAAGTATCATAACTCTTTTTTTTTTTTTTGAGTATTTCATAACTCTTTTTTTTTTTTGAAGAATTTATCACTCCTTTAATGTAAAAGATTGACTTGCACATTCAAATGGTCAAAGCAAATCCAGTCCAGTCTATCGACCCGCGTAAATGCGGAATTAATAAATTTACTATTGTGTTTATTTTATTTGAGATGTATATTATGTGTATTTACATCTTTTTTTTTTTTTTGAAGTAATTATCACTCCTTTAATGTAAAAGATTGACTTGCACATTCAAATGGTCAAGCAAATCCAGTCCAGTCTATCGACCCGCGTAAAGTGCGGAATTAATTAATTTACTATTTGTATTTTATTTGAGATGTATATTATGTGTATTTAAGAATATTAGCTAATTGGTTAATATTTCCTCTGCTACATACTTTGTGTCCTGGATTCATTTATACATAGATTAAAAAAATTTAATCGATATAGTTAAAATTATCACGTTATTCAATTAAAAATAATTGTCACTTAACCTATGAGTTGTGAAAGCTGAAATGAGCTTTCGAGTTCATTTCACACTAAACACACATGCAGAGAGACATAAAAAACTTTAACTATAACTAAATCTCAAGCTAAATTAGACGATTTCTAATAATAAAGTCTGAATATGCTTACACAGAAAAAAAATGTTGGTTTGAGATTTATGCAAGGATTTTCCAGAATAGACTACAAATGGAAAACAAATATTTTAAAATAAAAATTACGCCCACCGTGGGGCTCGAACCCACGACCACAAGGTTAAGAGCCTTGCACTCTACCGACTGAGCTAGACGGGCTTAGATGTTTTAATGTTATTAAACACAATATATAATGTTATAATATTTTTAAAATAAAAATTAGAAAATTTCCGAGAATATAGAAAATTCTCTAATTAATAAAATAAAACACATAATTGTAAATTATTCCAAGACATTATCAATTTAAGGTCCAAAATCTAAGTCCATTTTCAAAACTGATAATTTGTCAAGCAAAATGTAATATTCAAAAGTGAGGTTCACGACTCTCGAAGCCAAAAGTTGGACATTTCTTTATTTTCAAATTTCAGTTTACATTAAGACATGGTCATCACCGTGTGGAATTAGAACGAGGAAGAAGAGTCAAGCTTGTGACATAATTTATGGGCACCAACCAAGACAGTAGGCAGATCTTTCACATTCTTGACCACAGAGAAAAAAAAACATAAAGAAAGAAAAAAAAATACTATTTCCATATACTTTTATCTATGGAGATTTGAATATAGAGTCTCTTTAAATATTTAAAATTGAGCACTTTTTTCTCTTTTATGAGTCTATTTAGTGCAAATTCTGATAAATTGAGCTAGTGGATTTTCGAACACTGAATGGTTTAAAAAAAATTAATATATTCTCTAATATTCTTTTACTTTTAAACTATTGAATAAATAAATAAAACCTAAAACTATTATAATAAGGAACGTATATATAATTTGACTCAATTAGCAACTAATTAATAGGTACACACCACATATTTTTAATTTTTAGGCATTTAATTTTCAAAGTAGTAGTAATTTTAATTTTAATTTTAAACTTATTAATATTGACTTGATCTCTCTGATCGGGCTTCAATAAAATCATAGAAGTATAGAAGATGAAAATTAATCCAATTTGATTTATCCGAGTTTTTAAATTTATCTGATCTAAATTTAGAATGATAATTAAAAAGATACATTATACATATGTCAATTATTAATTTAGATTTAATTTTTGAAATCAAAGTCTATTATCCTTAAATGAATTTAAAACATTATTTCAATATATTATATCCAAGCTACTAAAAAAATCCATAACTTTTTAATAAAAAATATATTACTAAAACTTAAACAGGTGAAATAATGGGCTTTAATTATGATTATCTGACTAAAATTTAATTAAAACGAAAAATAAGAGAAAAAGGTGTCTGCTATACATGCCAAACAAAAACAAACCTAATAAAATTTATCAAGATATAATATAAGTGTATATACAGAAATTGGGGAGTCTCTTTCCCCTCTGATACTCAAATGACAAAACAAGCCTAACAAACGACGGTCAAAGTGTCTCCTACTTCTCCTGCCCAAACCCATTGGAAAAAAAGAACAAACAAACACGTATCCTATATTTGGATAGAAGGAAAATATGAAGAAAAATAATAAATAAAAAATAATTAAAATTTTTTTATTATTTTCTTTCTGTCTTAATATTTTTTTCACGTCAAGGATTTTGGATTCTAATCATCTGATGAAGCAATCTATAAAATTTTAATTTTTCTCCGTCTGCGTCAACTCCAAAAGAAAATTATTCTCTTTAAATTTTTAATTTACCCACTTTCTTCTTAAACGTTTACTTTGAACGAGTCCAAACCTCCACCCAACTGCCCCCTAACTCCCAAACTTTTCTTTTCCAAGAAAATCGTCTCGCCATTTCTCTTTCTTTTTCACTAAACTCCATCAAACCCACAACCCAAAAGATTTTCTCTTTCTTTTTCTTGTTTTTCTTTTGGCAAGTTTTAGTTAGTGGGTATGGTGTTGGAAATGTTTACAAGGCCTCTAGAGAGGTGTTTTGGAGGTGGAGATGGTGGGGGTGGGCTATGGCATATAGACTTAAAGCCTTATGCTCTAGGGGATTACTCGATTGCTGTTGTACAAGCTAATTCTTCGTTGGAAGACCAAGGACAAGTCTTTACTTCTCCTTCTGCCACTTATGTTGGTGTATATGACGGCCATGGTGGTCCTGAGGCTTCCAGGTTCATCGCTGACAATTTGTTCCCTTTTATACACGGTGAGTTTTTTTAATCATTTTTTAAGAAGTTTGTTTGGTTGATGGGAAAATGGGGAAAAAAAAAGAAAGAAAAGAACGGGGGGTTTTGTGATCTTGGGTTTATTGTTCTGTTTTTCTTCAGATTGTTTTGACTGTTGAATTAAATTTAGCGAATTCAAGATCATTAATTAACGAAAAACTTCTAGTTTGTTTTAATCTCTTTTTTTAAGCTTAGCTCAGTAATTAACTGGCGAAGTTTTTGAATAGGAATATTTGCTAGCTGAGGAAGTGTAGGAAAATAAAAGAAATAGAGTAAAATGTAAAACTAGGTTTAGTAATATAGCATTGGCATGTTTTGTATAATTACTGAGAAATTCTGGGGCACTTCTTTTTTCCTGTCTAACATGATGGATGGCTTTCGGTATCAGACCTTGCAGCAGAGCAGGGTGGAGTATCAGCGGAAGTGATAAGGAAGGCATTTGATGCAATAGAAGAGGAATTCTTGCATTTGGTAAAGCAATCATGGACAGTTCAGCCACAGATTGCTTCAGTAGGTTCTTGTTGTCTTGTTGGGGCAATATCTAATGGCGTTTTATATGTGGCAAATCTTGGAGACTCAAGAGCAGTGCTTGGCAAGAGAGTATCTCAAGGCAAGACTAGTTCAGTGGTGGCCGAACGTTTATCTACCGATCACAACGTTTGTGTTGAGGAGGTGAGGAATGAGGTGGCTGCACTTCATCCTGATGATTCCCACATTGTGGTTTATACCCGTGGAGTTTGGCGTATAAAGGGCATAATTCAGGTAATATTTATACTGTTATTGTTTTGTTGCTTCTTTTACTTCTGTGACTGTATATTAGTGTTCAATATTTAATGAGTATTACCTTCTTTTTTCAGCAATTCAGTATGTGTTTGTTGTCTGGCTAATATTCGTCCAATCCTTGCTCTCTCCTCTGCTTTTTCTTCTTTTCTCAATTGTACTCTTTTAATCTCTCAAGTTCGCATTTAGAAGCAAGGTACATAACTGAGAAAATTACACAGAAATATTGAGTTCTTGAACCACCGGAGATTTTAACTTTATTTTTGCTCTGTCCATTTGCAGCTTTGCTATTCTTGATCCTTTCTTCAGTTTCCACTCCTGCAACATTATGATTTGTTTTTCTTTGGAATTTATTTTGCTTTAGAAACTTCAAGAAACTAAAATTTAGTATTAGAAAGCTTAATCCTTTATCGGCACTCATTCTGCTATGACATAAGAAGTTCTGTTTTGCAACAGATAGACATAAGTAAACAGGATACTTGTAGACCGCAACTTGTGTATGTTATCTACATGACTGGAGATTTCTGCTTCTGTAACTTTCTACGAACATTTACTAGTCACCTGGTATCTGTTATCTAAAATAAATTCAGAACTGCCAAAATGCTCTTATTCTTGTTGCCTAAAGTCTATGACTTCACTACTTTTGTGGTCGTAATCTAAAGCATGTGATGCTTGGAATTTATTTTTGAAATTTTCTTATTCTTGTAGGTTTCAAGATCAATAGGAGATGTCTATCTAAAGAAACCGGAGTTCAATAGAGGTGCTCTTTTTCAGCAATTTGGATTGCCTTTTCCATTAAAAAGGCCAGTGGTAACAGCAGAACCTTCAATATTGGTTCGTCCTTTAAGGCCGCAAGACCTATTCTTGATATTTGCTTCAGATGGTCTTTGGGAGCAATTGACTGATGAAACAGCTGTAGATATAGTTTTGAAGAGTCCTCGAGCTGTAAGAACTCGATCATCATAATTTATTTCCATAACAAACTGATAATTTGCCGTTTCAGACAAGAAATGAACAAGTATTTGCTTTTGTAGGGAGTTGCAAGGCGATTAGTGAGGGCAGCCCTGCAGGAAGCTGCAAGGAAAAGGGAAATGAGATACGACGACATAAGAAAAGTTGAAAAAGGAGTGAGGCGTCATTTCCATGATGATATTACAGTCATTGTAATATACCTAGATCATCCGATAGGTTCTTCCAATTGTAGATTCAAAGATCAAAATGCTGTCGACTGCACAAGAACCCCTGTCGATATCTTCTCGCTAGATGCTGATGAAGTGCAATGTTAGCATCCGCTTTTCTCTGCACAAGACTGCAGGTAATTGTTATGTGTGCTGCTATCTTGTGAATAGAGATAATAAATTACGAATGCATATATAATACCTCTCTTTGAAGAGCAGGATTGGCTTGAAGTAATAACCATACAAGGGGTTTGTATATAGATACTAGATAGATTGCTTACAATAGAAGCTAGATTGAAGTTGTTGCTTACTTCTCAGTTTTGTTTTGAAGAGTCATTGTAAACTATTTTTTGGCTCTTTGTTTATCATATATATATATATATACAGTAAATATATATATATAGGAAATTTTTAAGACTGATCGCACTTGAATTGAAAAAATTGTGAAATGTTATATGCTAAAGCGGCATTTTCTCTCTCTAGATCCTCTCAACCTGAATAGGCACATACACGCATGTACATGCACCTGTATACCTGTATGTATAATATGTGTATTAAATGAACCAAAAGATCCAAAAACATTGACTTAGTTGTGAAACAGAGTAACTTTTTGATAATTTGCTCTCAAACTCCAAACTACACAGCTTTTTCAGTGATGCTGTAAAAAAAGTTGTTGCCAATTGAAAAGAGTTCATCTCATATAAAATCTGTATGATTTCATTTATTTCAATTTAAAATAATATACCATTGTGTCCGATTCAATGCATAAATTTATCCATTTAGTTTACGTAAAAATATTGTGACACCTTCAATTTTTTTACTTTAATTTAATAAACATTTTAATTTATAAAATTATACTAATTAATTACTTCAATTTGTAAAAATTATTTTATTGGACACTTAAATTTCTAAAATTAGGTTAATTAAACATTTATTAAATAGTTGAAAAATGTAAAAATTATTATTTCAAAGATTATATTAACTATACGTTAAGTGAATATTTTGCACGTAAATGTCAAAACACTAAAAAAATGTTATCGCTAGTATAAATGGATACAATATTAGCAAAGTTTGTAACTGGGTCGTAATAGGTCACCCGTAAAATGTAAAATTTAAATTTGAGACGTAAAGAAAGTTTTCCCCGTTAAGTATGCGGATATAAATACACATTTGACCCGTTGTCCCTTATTCCTAAAATATGGGGCAAACTATAGTAAACCAAACAGGGCCTTATTGCTATATATTGACGAAATCCAATGCAACTTTGACTCGACTTTACTCTTTAATATGGAAATGCGGTATCTATCTCGTGATTCTTGAACGAAGTCCCCCGACGTTAATCTTTAAATGGATAACTCCAAAACCCATACGCTACACATACACGAGCACCAAGGTAAGGAAATATGGGAATAGTGGAAGAAGCACATAACGTCAAGGTGCTTGGTTCAGGCGAGGAAGTTATAGTCCTAGCTCATGGCTTTGGCACCGATCAATCTGTCTGGAAGTTCTTAGTGCCACATCTTCTTGATGATTATGTAGTGGTTTTATACGATAATATGGGTGCTGGTACTACTAATCCCGACTATTTTGATTTTGAAAGATACTCAATTATTGAAGGTTTCGTTTATGATTTGCTTGCTATATTAGAAGAATTACAAATCAAATCATGTATTTTTGTTGGCCACTCCTTTTCTGGTATGGTTGGCGCCATTGCCTCTGTTTCTCGCCCTGATCTTTTCTCTAAACTCATCCTCCTCTCCGCCACTCCAAGGTATGATCTTTCGTTAACTTAATTGTATATATGATGCGATTTTTTATTATCATTCTAATAATCTGGTCATTTAACTTTCAATTTTGTTGATTAAAATTAGGCTACTGAATGATGAGGATTACTACGGAGGGTTTGAGCAAGAAGACATAGAACAAATCTTTGAAGGAGTGAAGTCCAATTACAAAGCATGGTGTTCAGGATTTGCACCAATGGTGGTAGGTGGCGACATGGAATCTGTGGCCGTGCAAGAATTTTCAAGAACTCTATTCAACATGAGACCCGATATAGCTTTGAGTTTAGCCCAAGTTATATTCTTGACAGATATGAGACATGTTTTGCCTTCTGTCACTGTCCCATGTCATATTCTGCAAAGTACGAAAGACATGGCAGTGCCAATAGCGGTATCTGAATATCTGCATCAAAATTTCGGTGGCCCATCTATTGTTGAATTGATATCTACCTGTGGTCACTTGCCGCAACTGAGCTCGCCGGATATTGTAATTCCGGTCATTGTCAAGCACATTAGCTACGTTATCTGATTAACAAGTGATGTTGGTTTAAAAATTGTTGCATTGCTTCTTCTTTTTTTAACTTCAATATCAAACATACTGCTTCAATATCAAAAATGCCAAATGTTTCGGGTTGATGTGTGGTGTGAATGGCTTTTTCCAAAGAGTTAAACAGTTACTCTAAAGAGCCGCTGCAACTAGCACTCCTCATACAGTCTATAGTGATCTTCGAGTGCTTAATTGTTTCAAATTCAAATAATGTATGAGGTTATCGAGGAGAGAATTAAATTACTGAAAAATCTTAATTTGGGAAAACAGATGCATTGCAAACAGAATTATAAATATAAAAATTATATGATCGTGGAGAAGATGAAGCTAATGAATAATATCATCGTGGAGTTATTTTTAGGCTGTATTTCGTAAAATTATTTTATTTTTCAGTAGTTCTCGATAATAATATAATTTAATTTACTAATTTTTATAATTAAGTTTGTGGTCAAATTGCACACAAAAACATAGTTTAATGGTAATTACATTGTATTTACAACATAACAATAGATATCGTAAATTATATATATATATTCCAGTGTTCTGCGATAATAATATAATTTAATATACTAATTTTTATATTTAAGTTTGTGTCAAATTGGCACACAAAACATAGTTTATTGGTAATTACATTGTATTACAAACATACAATAGATATCGTAAATTATATATATATATATATATATATATATATAATAAATTCTGATATTTTTGTTCCAATAATACTTATCATATTTGGTATTTCATGTTTTTTAAGAAAACTATTAAATTGAAATAATAATTATTGGTTATTTATAAAGAGTAAACGTGTAAAAAAAATATTTATCATTTTTTCAAATCACAAATGTAATAAATATTTTGGAATAAATTATTTTCTAAAAAATATGACAAATATTATGGAAGGAAGATAATAGTTTTAATAATGTATAAGTAATAGTGTGTAATGGACCAAAATAGTTTTTTTTTTTTTTTTTTTTTTTTTTTTATTTTTTTTTGTACGTAAAACGATTATGATAGCAAAAGCCGTTTATGATGTGAAAATTGCCAATTTTTATGCGTTTTTTTTTTTTTTTTTTTTTGTACGTAAAACGATATGATAGCAAAAGCCGTTTATGATGTGAAATGCCATTTTATGGTTGCGGCAAACACAACTCTTTTGCGTTGCCCCTACCGCCTGCGAAATGCCAACGTGCATGCTCCTACGACAAAAATTTAAAATACTTTCTCAAAAGCTTCTGCATACATACAACTAGTCTCGTAAAACAGGTATATATCTTCTTTTTAAGATTTTAATTTTGCTTACTAGTTTTTAGTTATGAGCATGTGTCATCGTCAGGAACAAGTTTTGAACCAGGTCGAGAATGTCCAATGAACCCTTAGTGGCTAAGGCTGAGGTTTCATGACCTTTCCAATCCCTTTTCCTAATAGTATGCTTTAATGTAATTTATAATTATTGAGATTAGCATCCCTCAATATCTTAATTTACTTATTTAAAGATTCAGTCCCTGGAAAAAATAATTATATGGATGAACTACTATAAATTCTGAAATGATATTGGTCCGATATATAAGAAAATATAGAAAAATTCTCGTGAAATAAAAAAAGAATAGCCTTACTTGTTTAATTGTCCACAAGCATATATAGGGGTAATCAAACCACCATTTCAGTTTAAAACCTAACTGAACCGAGATTAGGAAGGGTAAACTGAACTTCCTATTTTAAAATCGAATCAAATCGGATGAATTCAGTTGATTTCTTCAAATTTTGATAAAGTCAATTCAGTGTTCAGCTTAATCGATTAGATTCGACATTATCGAACAAAACTGCCTTGAAATTTTAGTTTGAACTGAAATAAATCAACAACTAAACTTGTTGTGAGCAGACCAACCAAATTGAATAGTGTCGGTTTGGGCAGTCACTTCTGTAAAGTTAAAGTTCAATATATATACAAACCACTTATCGAAGTCGCTTTATAAATCTCAAAATTAAGTTAATACTAGTAGTATATCGAAAAAGAGTGGAAAACTAATCCTCTATGGATGAGATAAGATGATAGAAATTCATTCTCTGTTCAAGTTCTAAATATGGTGTTCCTTTAAACACTCGGACGGAGTGCTTTACCTTCTTCATGAGCTTGTCTGGCACATACTCCGATTAGTCCAACTAGTAAGTTTTTAGATGCTAAATAGTTAAAAAAATAAGTGTAGATTTCCACTATTTCTATTTACTACAACATTGTTTGTTAATATAAACATTTATAGAAAACATATTTTTTTTTTTTTTTTTTTTTGTTTTAATATGTGTACCCTTACAGAAATAATTTCTTTTTGTTGTTTCAAACTAGGCCATTGAATGATAAAAATTATAAGGGAGGAATTGACTAAAAAGAGATAAACCAAATGTTCGAAGGAATGAGTTCTAATCATAAAGCATGGTGCTGGGTGTTCACGCCAATGGTGGTAGTTGGCGGCATGAACTTTGTAGGTGTACAAGAATTCTGTCGAACTCTGTTCACTGTAAGCCTCTGTTAAATTTTTATCAGACTCTAGACATATTTAACCTATGGTCTATGTCCCTTTTCATATAATACAAAAGTAAAATGGAAAATGCTGCACCACTGGAGGCGTCGGAACATCTACATCAAAGTTTTGGCGGTCCATCAATCATTGAGGTCATGCCTATTGATGGTCACTTGCCGCATTTCGTTAGAGGTTGTGATTCCAGTTATTCTCAGGCACCTTTACCTTGATATAACCCAATAAGACACATAATAAGTCTGTTTTGTTTTTTAGAAGTATAAATTGAAATATTAGATGGTAAAATGTGTTTGCTGATATTGTATTAAATATATAGTTAGGTTTGTATTGAATGAAATGGTGGAGAAAATGAATTTTGGGGAGGCACGGTCACTCAAGAGTTTTGAAACTGAAATCTCTAATTCTAAAAATGGAGGAATTTTATGGCTGCAGTTTTTTTTTTTTTGTTTACGGCAAAGCGATGCCATTGGAAAATAGTATTCAGAAAAATTTGTTAAAAAAATTTTTAATGTTCGACTTTTATAACACTTGCTCATTTTTTTTTTTGTAGACGAGGAGTTTGTGTTAAAAAATTCTTATATAATGTGAAACCGGATTCATAATGACTTTTCCATTCTTAACGAATGGGATATACATTATAATATGCACGTAATTTTTTTATTTTACTTAAACACGATGATATGATCACGAGAAATATGTAGTCATATAATAAAAATGTGGCACAGTTAGAAGATTTAAATGCAGATGGGGCAATAATAAACAACACACAAAAACTTGAAAATTGCCTGCAATTTGACTGAAAATGAAAAGAGAGAGTTAATATTATTGTGTTGATAATTCAATCAAATTTAATGCAATATTTGAATTTCTTATCAATTTCACCAATTCTGAACTTTTACCTTTTGTTGCAATAGCACCATAAATTACAATTAGGACTTAAATAACAAATAAAAAATAAATTATTATGGCTTCACTCATGACTCTCGGCTTGGATTAACTTAATACATTTGTGTAAGTGAGAAGAATGAGTTAATAGTAAGGAAAATCTCTATTATTATTTTTAATATTTTTTAAATTATTTCTTTAATTTATAATAAGTAATAAATAGAAATGCATTATTTGATATATGGATATTATTTTTAAAAATTTAGAGTACTTTGTAAATAAAAAATTTATTATTATTATTATTATTATTATTATTATTATCGTTTGGCTTTTAATGTAAATTTTGAAATATTATAAAATTTAAAAAACAAAGCTTGAAAAAAATTGAACTACTATAAGATTATTTGACTATTGGAAATTTTAATAATTTTCTTGTTAAAAATAAAGTATAAGATATCATAATCAATTATAATTTAGCTTGTAGAAAGAAAAAAAAAATATTTATTCAAGACAACAATTAAACTTGATAAATTTGTGTGCGTAAAGAAGCTTGAATTAAGTTAAGTCAAGGTTAAGAGTAGGCTCCACATTAATGTGCTTTTATTTGCAAATTAAATATTAAATGCAATTTAGAGTGCTATTACAACATAACATTAAAGTTCAGGGTAAAATTAACATAAAAGTTAAAATAGAGTCATATCACAATACCATACAAAGTTCAAACTCATATAATGCATTAAACCAAATGTAAGAGTATCAATTTATGTGAAACGCGTGTCTTTGTACTTAAAGTTGGTATTTGTGTCCTTAAAATGTGTGTTGAGAGAGTGTGTTAAGAAAAAACTATTTCTAGATTTAAAAAGAATTTAAATCAATGATAGTGATAGTATAACGATACATCGTTATTTGTGTTCTTAAAATGTGCGTAGAGAGAGTGTGTCAAGAAAAAACTATTTCTAGATTTAAAAAGAATTTAAATCAATGATAGTGATAGTATAACGATACATCGTTATTTGTGTTCTTAAAATGTGCGTAGAGAGAGTGTGTCAAGAAAAAACTATTTCTAGATTTAAAAAGAATTTAAATCAATGATAGTGATAGTATAACGATACATCGTTATTTGTGTTCTTAAAATGTGCGTAGAGAGAGTGTGTCAAGAAAAAACTATTTCTAGATTTAAAAAGAAATCAGACACAGTATATACAAAGATCACCCTTAAAGTTTCCAACTCTGTTTGTGAAACTCAAAAGTATACCTGCTGTCTGGGCATAGATCCTTTTGAGAAACGCAGCTCCATACAGCAGCTTTGATTTAGTACTCCTCAAAGTAGGTCAAGGACTAGAATTTTCAGAATATATGTCTGAGAAACATTGTTTTGCAGCAGACTTAATCTGAGATCTATAACCCATCAACCTTTAGGCCTCATATGTGAATTTTTATCAGCATCAAGAAATCTTTTATCAACCTTCACAAAGCCATTGGATTAATTTTTATCAGCATACAATTTCAGAATTAATAGTTTCATGTCAGCGATTTAACAATCTGATAGGAAACTTATCTCTGCCTTCAGGTTCAATTCAGCGATAGCATTTTGGCATTTAGAGATTTCCTCGTACAATTCAGCGATGGCATTTTGGCATTTTGCCTTCAGATGCAAGTTCTTGAAGCTTGGTCAAGATGACTTTTTTCATTCTTCTTTTTAATGCTATATTATATTGCTGTCGTTGTAACTTGTAAGTCCCCTCTCAAAACTGAAAAGCCAAGCACTATTCATTTTGTATTTATTCTCTTTGTAAATCTATTTTGTGGGACGAAAAGCATTGGAAGTTGCAACAGCGCGCAGCCTGCTGGCTGAATTTCTCGGTATTGCCACATTCAAACTCGCTTCGCTTAGAAGAAATATGCGATGCCTGTCGTTTTTTGGCTTCTAGAGAGTTCCTCGTAAGATAATGAGATGAGGGAACGTTTTAACTACCATTAATAATCCTTATTTCACTGAATATCAGATCTTCAAAGAATATATAAGCTAACTAATTGGTTAAAGCTAATCATCTAATATTGGTTGGTGAAGCTCAAATAAGCTAAGTAAGTTCGTCTCCATTCACTTTCTTATTTTTCTAAAAATTTAATGCTATTAACAAAACAATTTAAACTTTACACTTTAGCTATAGTCTAAATTGAATAATTTTATTAATTTAAATGGAATATTCAAAATGGGAAGTTTATTTATATAGAATCGAAGGATATTAATTTTTTTTTATTTATATTTATAAATTATGCAAACTATTGATATAAATTTTATTATACACTTTTTAAATTCATAATTTTAAATTCATAATTTCTGATAAAAATAAATATAATTATTCGTGATTATCAAAATTATAGCTAACTTCTAAAGCATGCACTCTAAACTACATACACTAAAACAATATTAAAGTGTGCTTTGCTTCTCAACCAGTGGGTTTGGGAATGTTAACGACGCAAAAAAAAAAAAAAAAAAAAAAAAAAAAAAAAAAAGGGGTTGTTTTATGGGGAAGGGGAAAAAAAAAGAAGGGTTTTTTTGGGTTTAACGACGCAAAAAAAAAAAAAAAAAAAAAAAAAAAAAAAAAAAAAAAGCGTGCGTCCAAAGGACACCTGCAGAGCTGCAGAGCACCCTGACCGCGACCACGCTTGACCAGTATACCTACGACGAAACAAAAGTGAAATAATTAGCACCGCACACGTTTTTTTTTTTTTTAATAACTAGCATCCGGATTAGAGACTTATTAAATTCGGCTCGAGATTTAATCACAGTTAATTTTTTATTTTTCTTTGCAGATACGTTCAGTAAAAATAGAATTTGAGAGAGTTTTTCTCACATACCCAACTTGCATTGACAACTGAGCCACATTTTGTAATTACCGGACACGTATTTTTATTACATGCAGAAACTGCCATCTTAGCCGTACCAACTCGTCTCTGCACTACGGACAAAGCAAATGCAAATACTCTATTAAATACCATGTATTATATATAATTAAATACCATGTATTTTATGATATATTACCAGTAGTAATATATAAATAATACTATATTATTAATATATATAAATAAGTTTTAAAAATATATTTTTATATATCAAAAACAATGAGGCAATGGATTGATTTATTTAGAGTGGACCTATCATAGATCAAATTAATATAAAAGTAAATTTTTATTATGTATTTCTAAAAAAATTTTAATATTGATTTGAGCTAATTTAGATAAATATTCACTAGCTCATAAAATATAAATCGTTTGAGGTTTTTGCACGGGAGATAAAGAAAAAACTAATTTTTTTTAAATTATAACAAAATTAAAGATAATTTGACCAAATTACTCTTTATCTCAAATAAAAATTAATTTATGAAAATAATTATATAATAATAATGATAAAATAGGAAAAAGATCACGAGTCACTATTTAAAATGCTCAAAGTGACGTATATTTTTAAACAAAACAATCATTTTAATTAAAAAAAAAAAAACCATTTTAAAACGATTCATATTTAAATGAGAAGGGAGTATAATCCATGCAACAACAACATTGCTTATCAACCTGGTTTGCATTGCATATACATATAGATTAGATCCGAAACTGATGACTTGCGTTTCTTCCCAACGTACCTCTCGGCTCCACGTGTGATTCTGAAATGTAATACGTAGCTGCAGTTTGCTTCATGTTTATCCATCCACCTGAAACCAATATAAATATTAAATTCTTACAACTAGAGTATTGAACCAAAAATGGGAATTATAGAAGCACATAATGTAAGGATTGTGGGGAAAGGAGAGCAAGTTGTTGTCCTAAGTCACTGTTGTGGAACTGATCAATCTATCTGGAAATATTTAGTGCCTCACCTTGTTGAAGATTATCGAGTAATTTTATATGATAATATGGGTTCTGGTACTACTAATCCTGATTATTTTGACTTCGAAAGATATTCCAGTATCGAAGGTTTTGTTTATGATTTGCTTGCCATATTGGATGAACTAAAGATTAGATCTTGTATTTTTGTTTCTCACTCATTTTTTAGCATGGTAGGCGTCATTGCGTCCATTTCTCACCCAGATCTCTTCTCTAAACTCATCATGCTCTCGCCTACTCCTAGGTAAAATATCTACTTTTATATAGTTTTATTATAGAATTTTTATTTTCTTTTTACCCATGACCTATGTTTCAGTTTAACAAATGTTCAAGTTAAAGGTTTGATATATATATATATATATATATATATTAAAGGTTTATATATATATATATATATATATAAGCATAGTGTATTAAAATACTTCCAATTTTGCAAGGGTTATGCTATGTTGAGTAATAGCTTTTCAAGTAGTTTTTAGTGTTTTGACTGGTCAAACCATTGAACACTATTCTTTATAGTGTTGGATAATATAGCGTTTGAATTAGTTTATAAAGGTTAAGATACCGTTTTATAAAAAAGTTAACCTATGTAACATTTCCATTTAGTTTTTTGGTGTTTTATAAAAAGCTATTTAAACAGCTAACAGCTACTAAAATAACTAATTTTGTCGAAAAGACCTTTAATCTTTTATAAAAAGCTACCTTAACTTTTAAAATTAATTTAAACGATATGTCACCGAATATTATAAAATATAGCATTTAGTCAAAACGCAAAAAACTACTAAAAAAACAGTTGTTGAACACGGTCTTTGACTTTTTTTTGTCAGTTTTTCCAATTTCAATATTTTGTAGCAATAACACCTCAATCGCTAATAAGGATGGAGCTGCAAATAAAAAGTTCTTTCATTCTTTTTTAAAAAATTAATAATAAAAATTTAAATTTAAATGTCCTTTAAATATCAAATTATATTCATATTTAGTGGATTTTACATTTATAGATTTAGAAATATTATATTTGATACATGAGCAGTTAAAATAGTTTAAGGACAGTTGGTTCTCTTTGCTTATCTGTTTCTTGGAACAATCATGTTAGCTGGTTTTCTAATTTGATAGGAAAGCTTAAGTTTTTTAATTCAAGAATTTTTCTTTCTATCAGTTTAATTCCTTTCAATTTCATGTATTTCAGTCTAGCTAGAATTTTTAACTTAAACATTTTTTAGCTAAGTTGGGTGTATTGGAAGCTCTATTTGGCTAGGTTGGGTGTATTGGGAGCTCTGTTGGTTTGGTTTTAGCTGCTAAGATTTGTTAAGTTTGTTTTCCTAAAATTATTAATTAAAAAAAATATAAGTTTTGCTGATAAAAAAATAATTAGAAATTATTTGTTTATTTTTTTTATTACATATATAATGATTTAACTATATTATCAATATAAAAAATCAATACAATTAGGATTTTTTTCACTTTTAAAATATAAGTAGTGTAAAATGAAATGAAATCAATACTGATAGTGTACCCAAAAAAACGTACGAAAATTTTCCATTTTCATATTTCCATTTACAACATTGTTAATATAAACATCTACAAGAAACATTTTCCATCTTTTTTATGTATCTTTGCAGAAATAATAACTTTTTGTTTGTTTTAAACTAGATTATTGAATGACAAGAATTATAACGGAGGATTTGAGCAAGAAGAGATGAACCAAATGTTCGAAGCAATGAGTTCTAATTATAAAGCATGGTGTTCAGGATTCGCGCCAATGGTGGTCGGTGGCGACATGGACTCTGTACATGTACAAGAATTCTGTCGAACTCTATTCAATATGAGACCTGACATAAGCCTAAGTTTAGCTCATGTTAAATTTTCTTCAGACATTAGACATCTTTTAACTATGGTTAAGGTCCCTTGTCATATTCTGCAAGGTAAAATGGACAAGGTTGTACCGGTGGAGGTGTCTGAATATCTACATCAAACTCTCGGCGGCCCATCAATCGTTGAGCTCATGCCTACCAACGGTCACTTGCCGCAATTGAGTTCGCCGGAGGTTGTAGTTGCAGTAATTGTCAAGCACCTTCGCCTTGATATAACTCAATAACATACACAATAAGTGTATTTTGTTCGTTAGAAGTATAAAATTAAAATATAATTGGATAGCAAAAATGTAATTGATGTTTAGGGAATGCTCGGCAAAAAGCTCTTTAAGTAGTTTTGCTATTTTACGTAGTTTTAACATTGCATTTGAATTGACTTTTAGAAGTTAAAGGTAGCGTTTTATAAAAAATTAACTCATCTAACATTTAGCTTTTTAGTCTTTTATAAAAAGCTATTTAAACAGTTACTAGCTACTAAAACAACAACTATCAAAATAGTTAATTTTACCGAATAAACAATTAGACCGCTAAACATTTTATTAATTATATCTTTGTAATTGAGTAGATGATGTTTTATTAAATATATGTATAGGTTGTACTAAATGGAGTGAGACATATAATGGTCAGAAAGGCCAGTTTCATATATAAATTTAGTAAAATATAAAATAGATACTTTCTTTTTTACATACATATTTCTACGTCAGACTGAATGTAAAATTATGGTAAACACTTTTCAATAATAGAGACTTCAGGTTTGAAATATCCTTCAATTGCAAGTAAAGCTAGCTTGCAAATAAAAAATGTATGCAGCGACACCTAGCAAAGCTGCAGAGCACAAAGGACATTGACCCGACCACTCTTGACCAGTATGCCAACGACGAAACAAAAGAGAAGTAATTACTAGCTTCACACGTATTTTTATTACATGCGGAAAATGCCATCTTAGCCGCTTGAAATACCAACTTGTCTCTTCACTTTGGACACAGCCAATGCAAATACTATATTAAATACCGCATATACATATAACACAACTCAAACACAATGCAACAAGAACACTGCTAGTGGTAGCCCTAGTTGATTAGATCTTCCCAACATACCTCTTCGCTCCACGTGTGATTCTGGAATGTAATACGTAGCCCTAGTTGCTTCATGTTTATCTATGCACCCATGCACCTGAAACCAATATAAATACTAACTTTTCACTAACAATTAGAGTGTTAAACCAAAAAATGGGAATTGTAGAAGCACATAATGTAAAGGTTGTGCGGAAAGGGGAGCAACTTGTTATCCTTTCTCATGGCTTTGGCAGTGATCAATCTGTCTGGAAATACTTGGTTCCTTACCTTCTTGAAGACTACTATCGTGTTATTTTATATGATAATATGGGTACTGGTACTACTAATCCTGATTATTTTGACTTTGAAAGATACTCCAGTATTGAAGGTTTGCCTTTGATTTGCTGGCCATATTAGATGAATGACAGGTTAAGTCTTGTATTTTTGTTGGTCATTCTGTTTTGAGTCTGGCAGGTGCTTATGCCTCCATTGCTCGCCCAGATCTCTTCTCTAAAATCATTATGCTCTCTGCTACTCCAAGGTAAACTTTGCTAGTTGCTGTTATACTGATCAAAATCATATATAATATGTGTAATAGAAACTTTTTATTTGGTGTTTCAAACTAGGTTATTGAATGACAAGAATTATAATGGAGGATTTGAAGGACTGCGTTCCAACTACAAAGCATGGTGTTCAGGGTTTGCACCAATGGTACTAGGTGGCGACATGGACTCGGTAGCTGTGCAAGAATTCTCTCAAACTCTATTCAACATGAGACCTGATATAGCTTTTAGTTTAGTCCATCTTAAATTTCTAACAGAATTGAGACATATTCTACCTATGGTCACTCTCCCTTGCCATATATTGCAGAGTGAAATGGATATGGCTGTGCCAGCGGCGGTGTCTGAATATCTGAATCAACATCTCGGCGACCCATCAATCGTCGAGGTCATGCCTACCAGCGGTCACTTGCCACACTTGAGCGCGCCTGATATTGTAATCCCAGTTATTCTCAAGCACCTTCGCCTTGATTTCACTCTATGACTGTGTTATAACCAAATGAGTGTCTTCTTCTTTTTCTCTTTTCTTTTTCCCTTTCTTTTCTAATTTGCTTGTAGCAGCATCATTTGGAATATAAGCTTGAGACCTTTTTCTTCCTCTTTTTCTAATCTTGGTAAGTGATGGAATTTTAATAGTAAGTTAATCAGGATCTAATTATATTTTATGGACAAAAAATATATTTGCATTAGATTAAGAGAATCTTATTCCTAATATACTTCCGCTGACATGTTAAACAAGCCAATACTTTTATATGTAGAATCTTTTAAATTTCTTTATAGGACACTTAATGAACTGTCAATCACTCCAAAAATACGCATTCATTCAGTATTCCAAATCTGTATGTATTTAACAAGGATTATAACTGTAGCTCTAATGAATAGTCTTTCTCATTCTATATAAAGGGATCAAACTCCATACTTAGGTACAAAAAATTAATATATTTCATTTAATTATAATTACTCTCTCATCCAATTATAATTATTTATCATCATTTCTTCATCTATGTCATGCAGATTTATACATGCAAGGGTGTTACGAATCAATTTTCTGAATCTATAATTGATGTGTCGGTAATGGAACATGAACTAATTTTTTCAAATCTAATAACTCATTTCACTACTCATTTCGTTCCTAAATTCTCCTATAAGATTTTCTAAATCTATCAATTGGGGTCATATTTGGAAACAACACAAATCATTACAAGTTTGTAAGACATGAAAAGAAATAGAACCTTGTAAGACAAAATTTCAAATCAAAAGATTAAGGCCTTCAACAACGATTAGAAAAGGAGAATGAGAAATTGGGTCTCGTTGTTTCAAGTCTATGTCATTTAAAATCCTCTATTTTTAACTATTGATTAGGACAGAAAGCCTGGAACTAAGAGGCACTCAAACTATCCATTTCCTCCATCTCTGCTCAAAACGCATCTTATGCGTCATGTCCAGAAGGAAATTCTGGTTGACTGAATCATTTGCTTTTTTGAAATCTGATTTGAATAATAAACCTAATTTAGCCCTTTTCTGCTTCAATTCATGAACTATTTCATTACAAAAGTTGATTATGTTTCTCCAATAATTGACGCCATAGCATTTTTCAATCGGGATGCAAGAAGTTTTGCAACCACTACACTTATAATATAACAATGTAAGTACACATACTTTAAGGACAAAGAAGATTCTTCAAACTATTTTTTTGAGATTGTTACATTGTGAGTATAAGAAATCTATAAATAGTTTTATTGAGATTAATACATTCAAATTTATTGAGATTCACATACCAAACTATTTTTCATGCTATTATTGCACTCAAAGTGTAACAATCTATCATAAGGAAATAATATTTCCTTAATATTGTTTAACAATGTATAAAAATAGACATTGAAAAATAGAAAACATGCATAAATTGTTACACTGTGAGTGTAACAATGTCAATTTTTATCAAACATGTATCTTTACTCTTAAAGTCTGTGTCGATGTCTTTAAAATGTGTAATAGTATTGTTATATTATAAACGTAAGAGAGAGTGTGTTGAGAAAAAACTGGTTCCAATATTAAAAAATTTAAATAAATTGTAGTCATAGTATAATAATACATTGTGTAACAAATGAATTTAAAAAGTCAAGATAATACCATAATCGTAAATATTTTCTTTCAACACTATTTTGGTTCCGATAAATTGCCCAATGAAACTTGAGTTTATTCCTTCACTGATTTGCCATGTGGTAAAAAAAACCATGAAACAGTATATACAAATTTCACCCTTAATAATTTCCAACTCTGTTTGTGAAACTCAAAAGTGTATCTACTGTCTGGGCATGGAGTCTTTGAAGAAACGCTACTCCTCAAAGTAGGTCAAGAGACTAGAATTTTTTCAGAATATATGTCGGGAAGCATTGTTTTGCAGCAGACTTAATTTGTGTCCAACATCTGAGGTCCACAATCCATCGTACGTGATTTTTTATTAGCATCAAGAAATTTTGAATTTCCTTCACAAGGCCATTCCCCATGCATGCAATTTCAAAATTACTACATACTTTCCTGTTAGTGGTCTCAATAATGGCATTTTGGCATTTAATTAGAGATTTCCTCTTACAATTCCAAAGGCCAGTGCAATTTCTTGAAGTTTGGTCAAGATGGCTTTTCTTATTCTTCTTGTTAATGCTCTATATTATATTGTTGTCGATGTAAGTCCCCTCTCAAAACTGAAAAGCCAAGCACTATCCTGTTTCTATTTGTTCTCTTTGTAATTCTATCTTTTGGGACGGAGAGCGTTGCAAGTTGCAACCGCAGCCTGATGGCTGGTTTTCTTGGTATGGTATTTGCCACGTTCAAACTCGCTTCGCTTTGAAGAAAATATGCAACGCCTGTCTTTTTTTGGCATCTAGAGAGTTCCTCATAAGATAATGAGACGAGCACTATCCTGTTTCTATTTGTTCTCTTTGTAATTCTATCTTTTGGGACGGAGAGCGTTGCAAGTTGCAACCGCAGCCTGATGGCTGGTTTTCTTGGTATGGTATTTGCCACGTTCAAACTCGCTTCGCTTTGAAGAAAATATGCAACGCCTGTCTTTTTTTGGCATCTAGAGAGTTCCTCATAAGATAATGAGACGCGAGAAACATTTACCTACCATTAAGAATTTGTTTTGACTAAATATCAATTCTTTATATCCCGGATGAAAGTGACAAGCTAGCTAACTAATTGGTTAATATTAATCTTTTAACTTTAGTTAGTTTAAATCTAAGTAAACCTACTTCACAAAATTTTATGGATTCTAAACTCCTAAATCCTACTAAGCTTATCTCTGTTTTTTCAACTTTTAACTTCTAATATGGTATTAAAGCAAGTCACTTTTAACTTCTAATATGGTATTAAAGCAAGTTCATGATTCCCGGTTGTATCATAGTGACTAAATATCCCACAAAGGACATATAAGAGAAACAAGCTAACTAATTAGTTAGTACTAAAATTTTAGCATTAGTTGGCTGAAGTTCAAATAAGCCCACCTTACAATTTTTATGAGATTTTTGTCTCTTATCCAATTCATTTCTATCCTACTCCATGTGTGAGTCTACCTATATATCAAACCAATCAAAAACAATTTTTTGTCCAAATGAGAGAATTTTTGTGGAAAAAAAATTAACATTTAAAAAAAATTACTTTTTGATTGGTTGAGTGTATGTACCATCCATATTCGGAGCACATTTAAGTGTCCACAAAACATGGATATTTAATATAAAAAAAAAATTTAAATGTTTTAAGGCTATATTTCTGCCATTTTTTTATGTTTTTTCTTCGTTTTTTGCTGTTGAATAGTGAATGAAAAATTTAAAAAAAAAAAAAAAAAATTATTCATTTTCCTTACTAACAGTTTTATCTGATGAATAGTAATACAAAAATTTCAAGAAAAAAAAAAAAAGCTCATTTTTTGAGTCATTTATAATTTTTTGTAAATTATATAAATATAATATATATAAGTTGAAACACAATATAAAAGCCCCACACAATTATGAGATGAGAGCACACATCTAACTTAATGTAGGTTAGACAAAAAAAAAGTATCACTTTTAATTTTCAGGTCCCAATGCTACCCTAATACGCAGAATAAGTCTACATCAATATAAAGACATGAACAGTCTATGATACTCACAAATCTACCAGCATATCCTCATAATAATTAATATATGTTTAGTGTTGTGGGAATCCTTGTGTTAAATACATATAACAGATAGTTTGTATCTATAACGTAGCACCATACTTTTATATATTAACAACATAAGGTATACCTCTTCTTACATGAGTTTCGATATCTATGACCATATTCTCCCATGATATATTTCGCTCAAGTCGACACTTGAACTATTACAATTGCGCGTTTCAATTTCACAAAAAAAAAAATGCAAACAAAAAAAAAAAGTGAGAAAGCAAAAAAAAAAAAAAAAAAAAAAAAGTATTGCTTATATTCGAAATAGTGTATTTAGTTTGTCTTCTCTATTATTTAAAAAAAAGGGATAAATAATATTTTCAATTACAAATAATGATATTTGTATTTATTAAATTGTTTTTTTAGCGAACATTTAAATTGTGTTTAGGTAGTTTCAAATTAATACATATACATATTGAATATATATGAAAAATGAGTTTTTATATAAGTTTAATTATTAATGTGCATAAACTGGATATGCAAGGGTCGGAAATTATATTCACAGATTGTCAACATCTAGTTTATGAGTTACATTCCTCTTTTATCGATAATTTTATGTTTGATTTAATTGTAGAGAATATTGTAAAAAAATTCTTAATCGTAGAAATAACATTGTCGTTCGATAGTTAAGAAAGTAAAAGGTAAAAGGTAAAAGGAAAATTTTTTTTCTATGTTTGTTTTCTTTGTAAAAGGTAAAATTTTTTTTATTATTTGTAAAAGTTAAGAGGTTAGAAAACTTTTGTCATTATTTTGTAGAAATTATATATGTGTGTATGTAAAATGTGAATTTTTTTTTCAATAGCAGCAATACAAAATAACATGTAAATTTTTCCATATTTTATAAATGGTAATGATTATTTTGTAAAAGAAGGGGTTTTTATTTGGAAAAATTTCATTGGCTAACAAAATGTTATGTAATTGTTGCATTATTTTATTTCTATGGAAAAATATATATTTTTATAAAAAATTTAAAATATCTTTTAAATATATATAAAAAAAAGAGCTTGTTATCTAAAGTTTAATTTATCTAACATTCAACTAATTATCTCCGTTCAAATTTTAATTCAACCGTGAAATAGCTTGTTCTCATATAAAAACATGCACTTCACTTTTTTTAAATGTACCCCTTAATTGTCTTATTAAAGTCTATGATATATTTTTTAATTTAATGTGAATATATATTTTTTTTACTTTAATGTATTATATAAATAAAAATATTAATTAAAATTTTAAAATTATTTTTAAATAACTATAAATAAAATTATCATAAAAAAAAACTAACTTGAAAAAAATAATTTTATTAGCAAATATTTGTATGAAGTTGATCGAGTTCAAAATAATATAAATAGGAATTAATGTAATAGATAAATAATCAATTCTTGATTTTGTTAGAGGGTTTTGAAATTAATAGTTGTTACACGTAAGCGTTGAAGTTTGTGATGGATACCTGTAGGCTTAACCGGGTATGGGCCAGGCCTGGACAGAAGAACCTTAAAATTTTAGCCCGACCCAACCTAGCCCGAACCCAACATGAACAAGTGTAGGTTTAATTAATTTAAATCACCAAGCAATTAACTATAACCTAATCAATTAAAAATAATTTGTGCTAATTAAATCTGTGATTAATAATTTATTATACCCTTAATCATTAATTCTATTAAATTTCATACCAGATACTATAAATAATATATTGAAAATGTCACACCATGCTTATATCCCTTGATGAATTACTTAGATGGAGGCTAACACCAAAATCCAAAATTAATAGGGATGGTTGGAATATAATTACATTTGATAAAAAAATATCTTTATTTGTATTAATAGGTGGTTAAATTAGATAAGCAGAAATAGATTATATTCAAAACTTAGAATTATAACTGATAGAAAGACTTTATCTAAATATTATTATTGATTCGAGCGTAGAGACATATATATTAAAATAAATAAAAAATATCCTCATTTTATCATAAATATAATAGATAAGAAAAAAAAAATTCAGATACCACTTGTTTGGGGGACCGGATAGATACCTGTACAAGTTGGCATGAAAAGGGACATTTGGAGCAGAAAATCCAAATATTAGAGGTGATGAAAGACAGAGGTTTGATATTTTAGTTCACTAAGTGCCTATGCTTAAAGAAGAGAAACTGGCACGTGAAAATGCTAAATGAGTTGGTTCATGCAGCTGGCTGTTTGGATAAGTCCGCATTGATGGATGGTGGGTCCATTGATGGCTTCCCTTCCTGTCAATCATCTAAAATGGTAGTCGAAAACAGTTTTTTGAATCTAAAACCTTAAAATTATTTTTTGGGTATCGGAGTACATAATATTTAAATTAATTTTTAGAGATTAAATTAATATTTTATAAAAAATTAATTTATATAATGTTTAATTTTTAATATTTTATAAAAATTATTCAAACAGTTAAGAGTATCTCTAATGCAACTGTTGATTGCGTTTATTTATTTGCTACGTCTAAAAAATTGAACGTTAAAAAAAGGAAAACATTTTCTAACGTTATTATCTGTATAGTCTGTGAGTCTGATGTATTAAAAAGAAAAAAAAAAGACATTATCTACCATGCTCTCTGTTTTCATGTAATCTGTTAGATAATTGTCTGACTCAGTTGTTTATTCTATTTTCCTATTTATTCATTTTTTTATTTTTCTTTATGCCTTCTTATTTTTTTGTGCTCAAAATTTTTTCTTGCGTTGAATTGATTTCTTCTTCGTGCATTGGAGAATAATTTTTAAAATTTAATATTTATAAATACATATTCAGTTACATCACCAACTATCCATAATTTCTATTTATTAAAATACAACAGTCTACTCTAACAGCTAAATATTTCTAATCCTATCAAAATATTTAATTTTACCAAATAGCCTTACCATCTGTTGCTCGTTGCTTCGCCAGTCACTCCCTCAATCATTGATATTTTAATTGACTTGTATTGAGATCTTCCAATTACAGATGCATATTATACTTCCAATCATAGATGCATAGAATACTTATTATAAATCCAAGTTGGGATATTTTGTTCCTTAGGTTTACTCCCTCCCTTCGTAATTCTTTGTCCTGCCTGTTTTTTCTTTCTCCCATTCGCCTCAAATTGTCGTATTGTTTCCCATTTTTTCTTTTCCCAAAATATCTTATTTATATTTTCAAAAAAATGATTTATTATTTAATTTCTTAATATACATTTATATTCTTAATTATATAAATATCATTTAATATTATAGAAGGATATTTTAGGAAAAAGCTAAAAAAAATAGTTTAACTATATATATTTTTTTTAATCTAGGTAAAAGTCAAACTATATGTATTTTTCTTAAACTACTTACCTTTATTTAATATGTTTATTTTTGATAATATATATATTACCCAAACTACTAAATTACAATTAATTAAATATTGATAGAAACAAAATTAATATATCAGACCCTTAGTATTCCACTTGTACATTGGTTGATTATGTTTATTATTGAATTGATAATTGCAATCTAATTGATTTTAGTAACAATTTAATATGCATCATTTAATTTTTTAATGGGATACTAATATAACGATATATCAAGAAAAAAATAAAGCAAAAATTTTTATTTAACTATATTAACTAAATGCTTTTAATCTATCTACAAGTAAAACCAAGATAAAAATTACAAGGCGGGCGAAGTAAAATACTTCAGAAAAATAGTTTATATTTGAAATATATTCTTTAAGAAAAATATTTTTTAAAAATTATTTATCAAACAATTTATTTCCTGTCACTTGATAATAATATTTAAAATTAGTTAAAATGTTAAAAATTCTAATTTGTAAAATTAAAATATTCAAAACTATAAAATTTTTTATAAAAACTCTAATGGGCGAAAAAAATTCAAATTCGAATTCTTTTATTTTTCACCATAGCAACAACACCTATTAAAATTTAGGTTCTAATACCTTCTCTAACAGTAAAAATATATATATATTAATATGAATATTCTCGTATTCAATACTTAAAAAAAATTTTGCGAAGTCGGCTTGCCAATGCTCCTCTATCTATTAGTTGTTAGATGATTCCATATGAATGCACTCACTTGCACTAATTCGTCAAAAAGTTGATCACATGGTTCTACACCGTTGATGTAAGAACAAAAATCCTATTGCCTGTACCAGCACATACATAAACAAAGCCCAATATCTTATCATTAAATTTGGAAAAAGAAAAAAGAAACACACACACACCCATGCGGTCGTTATTATTCCCCGTCTACACCTTTTCCCTTGTCCACAGCACCAAAAACAAAAACAAAAAAAATCCAAAAAAAAAATAAAAGTCCACCATTTCACACCTTTAAACCCAAAGCTCAACTCCCAAACCCCAACCTCCCCAACAAAAAAAGGCCAAAAACAGGAGAAAAAGATATGGGCATAGTAGAAGAAGCTCATAATGTCAAAATCATAGGCGCAGGAGAGCAGGTTTTAGTTCTCGCTCATGGATTTGGCACCGATCAATCTGTTTGGAAACACCTTGTTCCTCATCTTCTCGACGATTTCAAAGTCATTTTGTATGATAATATGGGTGCTGGTACTACAAATCCAGATTACTTTGATTTTGATCGGTATTCAACTCTCGAAGGCTATGCTTATGATTTGCTAGCGATTTTAGAGGAATTACAAGTTGAATCGTGTATTTTTGTCGGTCATTCTGTTTCTGCAATGATTGGCGCTATTGCTTCCATTAGCCGCCCTGATCTCTTCTCCAAACTCGTAATGATCTCTGGTTCTCCAAGGTAATTAAATTAATTAATTAAACTCTCTTCTTTTTGACTATTTTATTAATCTTTTACAGGCCACGTTGATTAGCAGATTAGCTGATTAAGACAACCATAAAAGTTTGCGCAGAAATAGAAATCATTATAAAATGTTTTCAAGTGGTTAAAAATTAGTAAAAAATAGCGGTTTATCTTTGTTGTTTAATGGAAGTCGCATCGCTAACTGTTTAGTTACTTTGTTGTTTATGATTATTGCGGTATCTTTGATTTGTGTTCTAATATATTTTATTATTCATTCCTGTCTTTTCATATTTGAATATAGATAAATTATTTTTTTTATACAAGGTAAGGCTAGTTGAAACATTGTTTAATAATGTGTCTTTTTGGATCTTTGTGTTTGTGTGTGGGTTACCAAACTAGCCATTTGCCATGAAAATCATTTTAAAATCAATGAAACTATGTTGATTGAATTGAAAATTTCAGCATTCACAAGCTGTTCCAAAATATTTTTTCATGTAGTTTTTAATATTTTGATTATTTTCATTAGTTGTAGTGTTCAGCGACATAATTTTTATATTAATATTTAATATTTAAATTTTGAATAGATATAATGAAACATCACTCCTTTTTATCGTTTGATGAACAATTAATACTACTAAGGCAACTAATAATTACTAAAAAAAAAAGTTAATTTTACCGAACGAATCTAATATCATGACCGTTAGCTTTAGGTAGACCTATCCTAATATGATATCTAAATGTTTTGAATCATGACTTTGGAAGGGTTTGTTAAATGAAATTAATTATTTTGGTAGTTATTAGTTGTTTAGTTAAAATTTTAAAAATTAGTTTCAACATTATATTATTAAGTAATATTAGAAAATTTAATTTGCCAAAACTCTAAAAGCTACTTTAAAAGTTTTGTTAATACAGTTCAAGTCTAGTTTTACTAATCTACATTTATAATTATCAGGTATTTGAATGATGTGGATTACTATGGAGGATTTGAGCAAGAAGATCTAAACCAACTATTTGAAGCAATGGAATCCAATTACAAGGCGTGGTGTTCAGGGTTTGCTCCGCTGGCCGTTGGCGGTGACATGGACTCAGTTGCCGTCCAAGAATTTAGCCGCACTCTCTTCAATATGAGACCAGATATAGCTCTAAGTGTAGCACGAACCATATTCCAGAGTGACATGAGGCAGATTCTGCACTTGATCACGGTGCCTTGTCACATTGTCCAAAGTGGCAAGGACTTGGCTGTGCCGGTGGTTGTGTCGGAGTATTTGCATCAAAATCTTGGCTCTGAATCTATAGTTGAAGTTATGTCGTCCGACGGTCATTTACCCCAATTGAGCTCACCGGATATTGTAATTCCGGTGCTTCTTAGGCATATTCGTTATGATATTGCTGCCTAATCTTTAAAATGCACATTTGGTATTTTAATATTTATAATGTGCAATCATTGTTTCTTTTTTTTGACATTTGTGCAATCATTGTTTCTTGTTTAGCCTGGTAATTTCTCGTTAATAAAACTGTGTAAATCGTTAATTAGGATTTTATATAAAAAAGTTGGAAAATTATCCTTGGTGTGTGACCCATATATTTGTCATAAATCAAGATTTTTAAGGTCATAAGAGTTTTTTTTTTTTTTTACCATTCTTTCGGCAGGTATTAGAAATTCTTTATGGGAGATTACCAAGATTTAGCTTTTGAACTCCCGCCAGCTGCAAGTGTTAAACCAAAATGGAAAACAAAGAGAAATATGGTTTATTTGTTTTTGGAGGGAACACGTGGTTGGTTGGATATAATTATTTTTCTAAAATCACAATAACCAATTTTTTTTAGAATCAAATTCAATTTTATAAAAACTACATCGAACCTTTAAATAATTAAAAACCAAATTGAAATAACCCAAATTTTAATAATAACACGTATATATAAAAAATATTTTTATACATTAAAATCATAATATAAATATGATTGTATTGCATGTAACCTGCAATAAGAGATGGTTATCTAATAAATAATCTCGCCCTCATTCCTATTCCAGAAGGAGAGATGAATAAAAGGGTAAGTTCCTTTGTGGATATTGCAGGTTGTTGGAATTGGGCTCCTTTTGCTCACATTTTTCCCTTCCTCTATTTTCTGCAAGATTAATGTTACAAAAGTAGATTACTTTTCTAATGAAATGTGTAAGAAAGCAACACGAAACTTAAAAATTTATATGCATATGGTATTAAAAAGTTTAATCATGTGATCTGTATTTTGTAACATAAGATATAACATACAATATCATCTTTATATATATATATATATGAAAATAATTAAAATATATTATAAGTCAATCACACGTGATTTGTTTGGTCTTTCACCTTCTATAAAAATATAGAAAGAAAATTTCGGATTCAAGTTATTTTGACTATAAAAATGCTCATCAATTCTGCGAGCATATAAAATAAAATACACTAGCAAAAAAATTGCGCTCAAGCTAAGATATTTTTGTGCACCACTGGGCTTAGACTCGAAACTTTTAGCCCGAGTCCAGGTCTGCTTCCGTTCAGTGTCCATCCTAGCCACCCTGTGGCCCAATCCGCAGTGGACAATCTATCATAGTCAAATACATTTTCTAACGATATCACTTGGACAACCAAATGTCCAAATCATATTAAAAATTCATATTTGCTATTTATTTACCGAGGTTTTTTTTTTTTTCCTTTCCTTCATATTTTGACAAGGAATATTTCATTCTACTTTACTTGCATTGGGGGAAAGAATCCCTTTTTGATAGAAATACAGATTCATGTTGAATCATATGGTATTACACGTCATCTCAGTAATTATGAAACAATACAAGGTTAAGAGTTGCAAATACTTCTTATTAAAATGACTTTATTTACTAGATTTTGACTAAATTTTACTTGTGTCCGTACACCAACTGAGTGGTAAAATACTTTAATAAGTATTTCTTATTAAAATGATTTTATTTATTATATTACGACTAAATTTTACTTGTGTCGAATCGCTCGACTAAGTGGTTTTCACACTTTAATGAATATTTAATCCATTCATAATGATTGAACCATCGATCTAATTTAAAAAAAAATATGATATTTGAATACTCGATTTTACTCACTAAGCGATAAAAACACTTTAATGAATATTTTGTCTATTTATAAGTATCGAATCCTTGATTTAATTTAAAGAAATATGATGTTTGAACACTCGACCTTATTCAAGGAAAAAAAAATATTAAACCATTTATCTTGACACTTGTTGGTAAAAAAAAAAAAAAATTAAACTTTATCAAAATTTACAATAATAAACATAATAAAAGATTAATTTATCATTAATAAAATTTTAAATTACCTTCAATAAATCACATATATAAATAAATAGTAAACTTCTCTTAATATTATAATTTAAGATTTAACCACTCATTGGTCATAAAATCGAGCCCATAGCTTGTTTAATTCCCGTGGTAAAATATTTTGTTAATGTTAATGGCGGTGAAAAGTGAAAACTCAGCGGAAGTGAATCAAGCTTTCTTTTGTTCACGTGTAACGGCACGTGCAAACTCTCTCCTCCAAGCTCGATTTCTCCACCACCACCTTCCTGGTCCACCTTCTCCTTTCTACCCCATTTCTCCCGTTCACTCACCTCGTTCGACTCCTTTTCCTATTTTTCCCTTTTTAATCTTGAAATTGAAATCTCAACAAACTTGTTTGTAACTCAGTTGAGTTATTATGGTATCGGCGATCTCTGAGCGTGCCGAGCTCGCTAAGTCATGTGCCTCCGGAGATTGGTCAAAGGCTATTCGAGTTCTCGACTCGCTTCTCGCTCAGTCATGCACCATTCAAGATATCTGGTCAGTTCATTAATTTTCCAGTTGTAGTCTTCTTGTTTGATCTTCAAGAAAGATTGATTTTCGATAATGTGAACTTCTTCTTTCTCTTTTCTTTGGTTGCAGCAATAGAGCATTTTGTTACAGTCAATTGGAGCTCCATAAGCATGTCATTAAGGACTGTGACAAGGCGCTTCAGCTCGATCCTAATCTTCTTCAAGCTTATATTCTCAAAGGTGTTTTACTCTGTTTCTGTTTTGCGTGTCAAATTTTAGCTGCAATTGTAATTTTCTGACTTCAAATTCGAGCGGGCTCGAGGCAATTCAATTCAATCCAATCCAGTTCAGTTGTGTGCTTTTTTTTTTTTTTTTCCAATTTTTTAGACAATTAGACTCAGTACCCAGTACTGAAAAAAAGGAGTTGCTTAGATAATAGCTGAAGCACGCTGGAAATCATTTTCTGTTTCCTTTATCAAATAACATGTATTGTTTTAAGTCAATGCATGTTTTTGGATGATCTTGTTCATAACATATAGTCCTTTCTTGGTACTTGTACAGTTGCATATATGGTTTTCTCTCCATATGGCACTACACATCGTTAATGGCTTTTTGCTGTCAAGTTGTCCAAGATTTTAAGTAATTTGGGAATTGCTCAGAGGTGGCTTATTCAGCATTCGATTTGAAATCTAAATTTGAATTTGAGATCTACAAGAGATTGCTTACTATGGTCACAATAGTTTTCTAATTATTGCATGAATTTTCCTATGACCCTTGATTCATTATCCCAACAGGAAATAAGTGTGTATTAATTGTTGCAGCACATCAAATGAAAAATTGCTAGCAATTTTGTGGTAAACGTTGTTTGATGTCTTCAATGATATAAACAAGAGCATAGACTGTGCTGCATGTGCTTTTCTTTTGAAGAAACTAAAAGTAGGCTTCGTTTTTTCATTAGGAGTTAAAATGTTGAAAAGTTTGGCTTTTTTTAATTGTGGAATTGTTTTTCCATTTGTTTGTGGATTTATTTTATCTGGAAAACAATATGCTTGATTCAAGGTCTGTTACTGGGTATAGTCACTTTCCTATGTTCCTTAAACATTGATAAACAAGAAATCTATAATATTATCCATAGTTGCAAAAAATTGTTCGTTGTTATACCGCCTGATCCCCTGCAACTGATGATCAAGTTTAGCTTATCTTGACATATTCTCTTCAATGTACAATAATGCGATATAAATTGCTGTTATCTAGGTCAAAGTGAGGCATAGAACGAGTGTTCTCACGTTTGGGATTCACGGGTTTCTCTCCTGATCTTACGTTTGTGATTTTAGGTCGTGCGTTTTCATCTTTGGGAAGGAAAGAGGATGCTCTTCTGGTATGGGAACAGGGCTATGAGCATGCTTTGCATCAGTCTGCGGATCTGAAACAGTTGCTGGAACTTGAAGAGCTTCTTAAGTTTGGAAAACAAGACAGAAACAATGGTCATGAAAATAATGTGACAGAATCTAGGTCATCCATGAATGTAACTGAATCATCTAAGATCCAGAATAAATCGAGTGATTTCTCAAGTTCAAGTGGTGAGTCTGGCGATGCATCTCAGAGCTGCAGCAAGTTTCGAGATAAGTTTGAAGTGCTGAATGGGATAAAAGATGAAGCTGGAGGGAAGTCACCAATACCTATACCTGAATCAGGATCCTTCGTAAACGGAAAACCAACAGAAAATTATATAAATCAGAATAGATTAGGAGATAAACATTATTTATGTAGTGAGTCAAGAGATACATCTGAGTTCTACTGCAAGTCGGGGAATAATTTTGGCATGCAAAATGACTTAAGTGAGAAAGCTGAAGGGGGTAAAAAGGTTGATAGCCCAATGAATGTAACTCATGATATTCTTGATAAACCAAGCCATAGTTCTAATTCCTACAATAGCTTAAGCAATACATCAGAATTCCCAAGTAAATTTTCTAAGCTACCTAGCAGCTTGGGTGAAACAAGTCACATCCGCAGCAAATCGAGTAATGAGACTGACGTGCCTAATGAAGCAAGTGATGAAGCCAATAAAAGTAAAAAGTTTTGTGTAACTAAGATTTCGAAGACCAAGTCCGTGACTGTGGATTTCAGATTGTCACGGGGTATAGCACAGGTATGCACTACTTTTAAGTTTTAAGGTTTAAATGTTGCTAACAAGTGCTATTCTTATTGGTCAGATTGTCAATGTTTTAAGTATTGCATTCCGTTTGAAACTACAAAGTGCCCTCTTGCAGGTCAATGAAGGGAGATATGCTTCTGCCATATCTATTTTTAACCAGGTAAATTTGTATTCATCATTCTGGTTGTTTTGTATCTTTTGGGAATGTATTGTCTGGTCCCCCGTTTATGATTTTGTGCATGTTTTTGAGAGTGTGTGTGGAAAGTCTCATCTTGTTCCAAGGCAGGGCTATACATCAAACTTTTATGAAAAGGGTGTTAACTGTTTCTTATGCAGATACTGAGAGAATATCCTACTTATCCCGAGGCACTAATTGGTAGAGGGACAGCATTTGCATTCCAGAGAGAACTGGAAGCTGCTATTGCTGACTTTTCAAAGGTATTTGAATTTCAATGTGCTAGATATATATGAAAAGATTTAAGTTTCTGCCTTACAAGTGCTTTACATGATTAATGTTTTAGGCTATTGAATCAAATCCATTAGCTGGTGAAGCATGGAAGCGAAGAGGGCAGGCCCGAGCTGCATTAGGGGAATCTGTAGAGGTAGGAATAGTTTGAACAATTCATTGACCGTTGAAGGCTTTATTACCCAAACGAGGAAAATATTTTTATTGGCTTTGGCTATGTTCTTTTTCTCTTGGATTTTAAACCATTCTCACCTGCTTATTAAGTTTTTGGGAAAATAATTTGCAGTTACCCACTGGAGGGCTTTATTTTCTTCCTGTATGTAGCAACTTCATTTTCTCATACTACTACTGAATTTTTGTTTAATTTTATACTTTAAGAAGAAGGCATTAAACAAGCTCAAAGCATATCCCCAACATGGGTCTATGTTTTAAATTAAATTATTCAGTTGTTACATATATATCTTTCTTCTCTTGAAATGACTGAAAGTTCTTAGTTCATAGGATTAAACAAACTTCAAATTGCTTTTATGTTAATTCATGTCGCCTCTTCATAGCAGGCCATTCAAGATTTGACTAAGGCATTAGAGTTTGAACCAAACTCACCAGATATATTACATGAAAGAGGTAACTTTCTTTAATGTATCTCTTTCATTGTATTTCAATATTTAGTCAACTTCCATGATCTGACAGGATAACATGTCATTCACTTCTACTTTATATGTCAACTATTCTGTTTAATTATCTAATCAAGTAAGAAATACTTCTGTGTGGGGATTGTATTTGAAAGATTTGTTACCGTTGAATATGTTCATCTGTAGTTTCTTTCCTTTTCATAAAAAGTATGCTACTTTTCATGTTAAAAATGATGCTGTATTGTCTTTTTCTTTCTTTTTCATATATTGGGATTTCTTAAAGGGAGTGGATGTTGTATTGTTTTTTTCTTTCTTTTTCATATATTGGGATTTCTTAAAGGGAGTGGCTATTTGGGTTTGAACTCTTGGAACTCTTACATTGAGGCAAGCATATCACCACTGAGCTATAAGCACAATGACATTATAATTTATTTCGATTTTAGTCTCATTACTTAATATTTGCTTGTAGCATGCCCGCAAAGCTGAATTGTTTGATGTATTTGGGTTTGAACCCTTGAACTCTACACTGAGGCAAGCACATCACCACTGAGCTATAAGCCCAATGGAATCATAATGTCTTTAGATTTTAGTTTCATTTCTTAATATTTGCTTGTAGCATGCCAGCAAAGCTGAATGTTTGATCTAATCAATGTAGTTGTAGAAACAGTAGAGTTGTGGTCGATGGCTGCTCTTTACCAAACAATTGATCAACATAATTTTTAATATTGTAGGAATTGTTAATTTTAAGTTTAAGGATTTTGATGCTGCTGTGGAAGATCTATCTGCATGTGTGAAGCTTGATAAGGATAACAAATCTGCCTACACATACTTAGTGAGTCCTGAATGTCTGATACTTTACTCATTCTAGATCATATATTTGTGATTTAGCATCTTAAATTGTTAATATTGTTTGTATTCTTCTACTTGGAATGAGGGAACTTTGACTTTATAGGGTTTGGCATTTTCTTCAATTGGTGAATATAAAAAGGCTGAGGAGGCACATTTAAAATCTATCCAACTTGATCGGAGTTTCCTTGAGGGATGGGCTCATCTGACACAGGTAACTACGTATTTGCATTTTCTTCAAGGAGAATAGTTTAGCTGATCTCTTTAGTGGGATGTCCATTGTTTATTTATGTTATTCTTACGACTTGTGTTGACGTCAATGGCATAAAATTATTTATGGAGATAGTATTACTTATTTAATATGTAAACCATGTGCCCAAATTTACAGTAAGCAAAATAACGCACTTAACTGAAATTGTTGTTCCTTTGCAGTACAATAACTTAGGACTCTTATTGATGAAAAATACATGTAATAGTGATATTTTAAGTTGGAGACAAGGAAAGCAGATACAATGAAGCATCTTTATAACAATGAAAGAAAGATGTGGATAGATAAGCTCATGCTACCAAAATATTGGAATATATAACACTGTTATATATATGATGTTAAATTGAGGGCGTTAATGAGAAAGGCGGTTAGGATGGAGTTGCAAAGTAATTTTGGGAATAAAAGATCTGGCACTTGCACTTGCAGACTTCTTTGATAGCTTCAGAAGTTTGCCTCGTAGTGTCCGTGTTTATGTATGATGTTTGGCCACTGTCTTGCATGGTACTTTCAGTCCTTGAGCCAGTTCATATGCTATGTCCAGCCTTTCACCCAATGTTTGCATACATGATTTTGCAGTATCCACTTTTTGGTTCTGTAAAGCACTCGATAATGTCCAGATATGTATGTGCTGTATGCTAAACATATCTTTTTGAGCTGTATTTATTCAACATCTAGAGCACCAATACATTTGGGTCCTTAGTTCATATTGTTTGTGGGTCTGAGGGTTTCACAAGAAATTAGAAGCTGAAGGAAAATGCTATTCCTACAGAAGTTTTATTTATTTTATTTTATTTTGGTTAACTCATAGCATCTACACAAACGGTTGAAAAAATGCTGATGGTTTATAGTGACTTCTTTGCAAGCACACAGTGACAACGATGAGTAGGTTCAGTACTTTACTACTATATAGAGTTGCAAATTTCACCTTCACAACACATTGTTCCGTCAGTATGACAAGTTCCTTGTGAAGAAGCTCTATTACTTACTGTTGTTTCAATATCTGCATCATTGCAGTTCTACCAAGATTTAGCAAACTCATCAAAAGCTTTCGAATGCAGTCAACAAGTTATCCAAATTGATGCAAGGTAATTGTTGTCACTCTTCAGTCTGCATCATTTCATTCCTGTTGCAAATGTGTAATGTTTGATGATGAATTTGTTGTATCTGATTCTGCTTGTGATTTTGCAACTTGAATTTGATACTGTTATTACATTTGATAGGTTTGCAAAAGCCTATTACTTGCGTGGGCTACTGCTTCATGGCATGGGAGACCACAGGTATGTTCTATCAAATTATTGATTTTCCGTAAAATATTTATTTGTTTAAGTGACTATTACACCTCTTGTAGATTTTTCCATCATTTATGTGATGTCAATATCAATTTCTTGATTTTCTCTCAGTGGTGTATTTATTTATTTTTATTTATGTGACCATTGTATACATTTTAATTTGCATCATCTTATGAATATTTGAAGTGCGGGAAATCATAAAATGGTAAGGTGTTTATGTAGTAGGGGACTTGGCGTTTATTTGAAATATTTGTTTTAGTTAGCAAATTGATTGAGAATGTAGTTTGGCATTATGTGCAAATCACTCAGGTTTTTATAAAAAAAGTACTTTTTCTTCGAATAATATGCATGGGTGCATTTAATTTTGATTTTCTGTTTTCTTTATACAGTTGCCCCTCCATTTAAATTCCTACTTTTAGATATATACATACACATTGTGTGGATGAATTGTAATGATCAGTACTGTCTACAAGGCTACAACAAAGCATCCCTGCCTTTATGGGTTTAAGTCAAACATTATTAGTATAACATTCGTGTATATCAGCAAACTGTTTGAAGGAAAGCCATATATCTTGATAAAATTCTTCAGAAGGCCTTTTTTATACATTTAGGGCATTTGAAGTTGACCTATCTAGCTTACTATGCTTCTTCATTTACCTTTGAGCAATATCTAATTATTTTATTTCTGGTTTGGAATGTTGCGTGGTATTATGGTTACACATGCACACTTATTCTTCTAGCTATGAATCAACTTGTTGAGGAAGATGGATATTTACATATTGTATGGAGGATCAAGATATCAACCCTAAGGTATAAAGAAACAGCAAGAGATTGATGAGAAAAGCAATAAGTGACAGTGAAGCCAGACGGAAAAGTTCTTAGCCACTTGATTTGTATGGGTGCTACAGTGGTTTTCTAAGTGTGTAGTTTTCTACATTAATTATTTCTGGATCTTTTTTAGATAAAAAGGGCTATTGTTTAGGCGGATGTGTACCACCCTTTTGGAGTTTATATGTGATAAATTTGCAAATAACCTGGTAGAGTGTCAAATAGAAATCAAAATAAAATTTTGCAATAAGTTCTGTTAGAAAATTTTACACTTTACTCTTCGAATTTTATCATTGAGTTAAATGCAATGTCTTCTTCTGCAGCACATCATTTTCTAACTAGTTCTGCATGGACATGAGTGACTGATTTAGATTTTACTGTTGCAGGAAGGCTATCAAGGATTTATCCATTGGCTTGAGTATTGAAAATTCAAACATAGAATATTTATATTTACGGGGTTCCTGCTACCATGCTATTGGAGAATATGGAGAGGCGGTAAGGTCTCTTCCATGAAAACTATTGGTCTTATTCATAAGTTGCAGATTGCTTAATCTTGTATTTTCTGTTTGCAATAATTTTGTTCGATGGTCACAGGTGAAGGATTATGATGCAACTCTAGATATTGAACTAGACTCAATGGAGAAATTTGTGCTTCAATGCTTAGCCTTCTATCAGGTGTGGTTGATCTAGAATATTTTATTTTTAACTTGAAAATTTATCACGTGCTGCTTTTTATTTCCAACATTTATCTCATTCAATGAATTCACATGCTTGAGCTGCATCAGAAATCCATTTGTAGATTGATATTGTGCATCTTTAGCATGTTTGTACGCATTTTTCTATATCAGTTTTGCTTTATTGTTTTTAACTGTATTTCATAAGATATTGCTATCCAAGTCATTTTGTAATATAATAGTTTCAGTCGGCAATTGATTGTTTTAGCTCATATCTGACCCTGGCCTCTATGGAAAAGTTTTTAAATTTAGCTTTTATCTTTTGCAGAAGGAGCTTGCTTTGTATACAGCTTCTAAAATTAACAGTGATTTCTGTTGGTTTGATATTGATGGAGACATTGATCCTCTTTTCAAGGTATTAATGAATAAGAAACGTACAATACATATATATACACACACAATACACACATTTATATGTACTCTTTTACTTGTTTTTCACTCATGAATAGTCCCTTCTTCGAAATCTTAAACATTTTTTAAAATATTCTATGAGAGCTGAACCATGACCTCACAAAAAATTTTCTTTCAGAAATAATCACACATTCAGAAATAATCACATGCTTACATCGAACCATTTACTAGTTAACATGCCAGATTGTGCAGAAAGTACAATGCTTCAGCAACTTCTTGTGAGCACATATTTCATATTTATTTTGTGTGCATGCCGTAATGAATTTTCAGGAGTACTGGTGCAAAAGATTGCACCCCAAGAATGTGTGCGAGAAGGTTTACCGCCAACCTCCTCTTCATGATTCTCTGAAAAGGGGTAAGCTGAGAAAGCAAGATTTTGCCATTACAAAACCAAAGACTGCTCTTCTATTGGCAGCTGATTCTATTGGCAAGAAGATTCAATATGATTGCCCTGGCTTCTTACCCAATAGGCGTCAGGTGATTAATTTTTGAAAGATATATGTAATGCAGTGCTCTTTCTGTTTGGGTTCTAGTTTTCATTTTCTTTCAGTTCTCCTTTCTCATAGAAAGCTTATTATATGTCTTTATAATTTTTTCATATAGTTTTGAATCGCTAACTAGTCTATCTTGCACTTTTACTTTTGATCTTTTAAGTTTCTCATCTAGATTCTCAACAAAAAAAAAAACTAATGATTTATTTTTTTATTAATTCATCCTTTGAAAGATAGGATAATTTTGCTTCTTATAAAATTTAGTATGTGCAATGCAGATTTTTTTTGGGTGTTTTTTCATTTGATGGCATAAATGCATGTTTTAGAAACCGTTCTGTTGTTTAGATTAAGCTGATTCATGGTGTGAGCTTCTGTTTTCCTGAAGCCTTCATTGGCAAGTCAATTGGGCCCTCTATACTAGAAAGATCTCGTCAGCATGCAAAATGCTTCATGGATTGTTTGGATGGAGGTAAAATATAGGGAGGATGTAAAATAGAGGGTAAAATGCCTTGGAATTTTCAAAATTCTTTGTTTGGTTTGGGTGAAAATATTAAGGAGGATGTAAAATGAATTTATTTTACACCATTTTTAGCCCAATTTTCACTTCATTTTGGAGGAAAGTGAATAGTGTAATTTTACTTCCACTCTTATTTTAATTCCTCCCTCTTCCCAAACGTAGCATAAATGTACATTGTTACCCTGTCATGCATTTTACATTGGGTCAATCTTCCCGACTGGGACCAATGGATGTCTGGAAGTTTCAAAAGTTGGTGATATGATGGTTTTATCTCTATAAATCATAAATTGATGTAGCAATTTCTGGTATAATTGTCAAGTGGTGATAGAATTGAAGTATCCCTAACCAAATTGGTTTAGTTTTAATTCTTTGATTTACAATTTCTCCTCTCTTTAGAAGAAACGAAATCAAACCAAAGGTCACCAAGAGGTGTGCCAATGCCTGATAGGATTTTTTTAGGGTAGAAAAAGAAAGATATCTCCTGTACAAGAGCAACAAAATAACTATGAGGTGAATCGTGTACAGGAAACTGAGTCTTGTTGTCAATTCAAGTTGTCATTTTATGTTATTGGTATCATGTTCAAAGACATAACAAGATTGCTCTTGATCTACTTCCCTTATTCTTCTACCTGTAATGAACTTGTGATAATCTTATACGTTGATATTCTGCTTGGTTGGGTTCAGGTCGCACCTGAGTTTTAATCATATCTTGTTGCCCCATAACTGTGCATAAGTCAACTTAATGTTACTTTCTTGTTACAGTTTGTATATATTAATATGGTTCATCTTTTGTTCTGTTTCAGCATCGCATGGCAGGACTAGCAGCTATTGAAATTGCACAAAAGGTTTCAAAAGCCTGGCGTTCTTTGCAGGCCGAATGGAAACATTCTAATAAAAACATGTCAAAATATGGTAAGAGAACTCGAAGAAGAATCAACTTGGCCAGTCAGAATAGAGGTGGCGCCGGTTGCAGTACAAGCAGTTCCTCAGAAACATCAACTTTGTACGGCATTACAGAAGATAGATCTCCCGGTCGTTATAAGATGACGTGGCAAGACGTTTACTCTATCGCTGTCAAATGGAGACAAATTTCTGAGCCCTGTGACCCAGTTGTGTGGGTTAACAAGTTAAGGTATACCAAATTCATGCTATTACTCTAGCCCATCAAAATGAACAGGACATGTTACTTACCATTGGAATACGTGTTATGCAAGATTCACATTTTACTACTTTAGTTATACAGATTTTGTTATGTAATATCTGGGAATTGGCATTCTAGACTGTTCATAGATGTTTGTACCAGTTTAATCAATTAGTTCATCTATTGTCTGAGTATTTGCATGCTGAGCAGTCATGGCCTGTATTTGACCTGCGAAATTATTGATATCATAGCACCTGTCAATTCTATGCCTCAATCTTAATCCGGTCCCCAGAATGTCTGATTTTGGCACTGTTTGGATGACTTTGTGTATTATTTAGAGATTCAAGATGAATGAGTTTTTTAACTGACTCAAGTCTTTGCTGTAATTCTTCTTTTTGTATGGATTTGGGCATCTCTTCAATTCAGTGAAGAGTTTAACTCTGGATTTGGGTCTCACACACCATTGATTCTTGGACAAGCAAAAGTTGTTCGCTACTACCCAAATTTTGAAAGGTGAATCCTAGTTCGATTCTTTATTAGGTCCATCCAGGTTTTAAAATTCTCATCAGTTGTTAAATCTGCAGAACATTAAATGCTGCAAAGACAATCATGAAGGATAAACTGTATGTGTGCAGCAAGGCGGATGAAATCATTGATATATCCAAGGATGAGAAATTACAGGATGTGAGTAGTTCAATTCTCTGTTTCAATTTTATCTTCCTCCATTTTGTTGCTTTTCAATGATGCTCTAAGATAGGATCATGTCTGTCATTCTTTGTAATGTAGATAATGAAAGAAATCAACCTGTTTCTAAAGTGGTTATATGGGCGTGCCTATGTCAGCATTTTGGTTTTTCCTCTTTTTTACTACTGTTAGAAGTATCTTTTCATGGGGCTATTAAATGTGATCCGTTTTTTATTAATATGATATTATTCTATAAGTTTCATCAATTATTCTCCCACTTTGTCATTGAAATAAAACTGGTTTATCTATATGCATATGGTTAATTTCGTTATGGAACATACAGATCATGGATGCAAAAACTTGTTCTGATCTTTACAAAGTGGTTGGTGAGGACTTCTGGTTGGCTACATGGTGCAACAGTACAGCAACTGAGGGGTAACTTTCCTTTAATTATGAAATGCAATATGCAATATATAGTGCATATAAAATTTCCCAATGATAACATTACTCTTGGCTGTTTATACTCTTTTCAGGAAGCAGCTTGAAGGGACAAGGATTACCCTAGTGAAGATGTAAGTCCTATTTGTTTTTCCTAATTATTCTCCATTTTATTTCTTCTGATTTTTTTTTTTTTTAAGTTTACATTCTTATGCATTTTTATGCTTTCCCGGATGGCTGAACATCGAAATGATTGTTCCAGGGGTGAGCATGGATTTGACTTTGCAATAAGAACACCATGTACACCTTCTAGATGGGATGAGTATGATGCCGAAATGGCAATGGCTTGGGAGGTAAGGTTCCCATTTTCTCAATAAATGAACCCATAATTTTCTCAATCATATCCTTTGCTGCTTTTATAATTGGTGCAACATATTGATAGAATAAAGAATCACAGAACACAAAGGAGTTGAAGTTTCCTTTTGCACGTGACTGTTCAATTCTCTCTTTTTATGGTGTCATCTCTGTGAACTCTTTGTACTAATCAGTTAAGCTTGTTAGATAATTTTTGCACTTCAAATTTGATAACTTGGTATCTGGTTTGACATAAAATAGTCTATTTTGTGTCAAGACTTCAATTGAACTTGTCTAGAAGCTTTTTAAATCAGTCATTTAGTTTATTTATCTCTTCCAGTGTAAATATTAACCTTCCAGATTTGCCCGAGTAAGGTTTGGCAAGGGATTTTATTTGTTGGTTGGAAGCTTCCTTTTCTCAGTATTAATTTGTGTATAAATCCAGGTCCCGGATCTTTTCATATGCTTATCCTTTGACATGATATACAATGAAAAAAATTGGTATGGGCAAACTTATTGCATTTTGTGATTATTTGAATGAGTTCCTTGTACTAGTAAAGCAGCAGCCTGATAACATATACTTCTTTTACTTTTAGCACATGGATTTTTCCTTTCAATCTTTGCTGACGCATAAATTTTGAAAAATTGCACCTTAATATTATTCCTAAATTCTCCTACTAATTGTGTCAAATTCAGTACCTCTTTAATTTGATCCATATGGATCTTCTGTTGACATTGATTTTTATTTGTTTTCTATTTATTATTAACTGAATGTTTCAAAATTTGATTCACAGGCTGTGTGCAATGCTTATTGCAGTGAAAACTATGGGTCTACTGATCTTGATGTACTTGAAAATGTTAGAGATGCAATTTTGAGGATGACATATTATTGGTACAGAAAAATACTCTTAATACATAGAAGGTATTCTTTTTTCTTCAGAGAAATATGGTGGTTTGTACAAATAAATGGGATCACTTTTCAGGTACAATTTTATGCCACTGTCTAGAGGCACTGCTGCAGTTGGATTTATCGTTTTGCTTGGATTGCTTCTTGCTGCTAATATGGAGTTTGAGGAGAAAATTCCAAAAGGGGTACAGGTGGATTGGGAAGCAATTCTGAACTTTGACCCAAGCTCTTTTGTGGATTCTGCTAAGAGTTGGTTGTATCCATCACTCAAGGTCACAACATCTTGGAAAGATTATCCAGATGTGGCATCAACTTTTGCAACAACAGGATCGGTTGTAGCTGCTCTCAGCTCTTACGATGATTGAGCTCCTTCAAATCCTTAAGAGGTGAGTTTGCTGCATTAGTTGTTCACTGAGTAAGTATCAGGCAAATTTGATGATTGCCTTGTGAAGGTGAAAATATGATGGTAAGGCCCCTGGCATTTGAAGAGAGCTTTTGGAATGGACTTATAAAACAGATAACTGGAGTTGAAATTGATGGTACCAGTAAAAGGGGTCTGTCGTTCAGGTCTCTTTCTTTTTGTAACATTGCACATGGTAATTCTGATGCATTATGCATTACTTTAATGCGTGAATTTCATTGCTATTCACCCTTATTTGGTTCAAACGAATTTGAAATCTAGAACTCATTTATAAAAGGTAAAGATTTATTTTAATTATGTTGGATCTCATTTTTGTCCATATCAAACATAAAACATGAATTTCACAAAATTTCGTGGAATTCATTTATATCAAATGGGCTAAGTTTGTTTCTTTGCTCTGAGAAACTAATTCACTCAGCAAGGATGTCCTTTTTTAGTTATATTGAATTCCCCATGCAAATTCAACCTCTTTTTTTTTTTTTTTTTTTTTTTTTTTTTTTTTTATCTCCAACACGAACTTTGAAATCCTAGAACTCAAATCTCATCAAAGTAAAGGGATTTAGGTTCTTAATTCTAAATCTGTTGATCTCATTCTTGCGGTTCCATATCCAAACATAACAAAACAATGGAATTCTCCCAAAAATTGTCGTGGGTTTGCTGTGTTTATATCATAACTGGGCTAAGTATTGTTTCTTGCCCTCTTGAGAAAACTAATCATCCCAGCAAGGAAGTCCTTTTTTATTATATTGAAGTTCCCCCATAGGCCAAATTCACTTCCTTTTTTTTTTTTTCTGTATCTTTTCTTTCAGTTTCTTTTTCTTTTTGGGGTACTGAATACTTATGGGGTGTTTAAATTTTTTTTTTTTTTTTTTTTTTTTTTTTTTTTGTCTGAACTTGTGTAAATTCGAAATTGATGCAGCAGACAGCAGCTGGTCTTTCATGGAAAGTGTTCGAGTGGACCCATACAGACGAGTTCAAGTTGCTCAAGATGCCTTTGCATACACACTGACTTAAAAGTCTTGTAAGCATTCCTCTTTGTTGTATGATTGTGTTGTACAGCAATTGTAGAATAATATAGTTGCAAATTTCTTTACATCCTTAATCCAGTTCTCCTGACACCCAAATTAAATCCGTGCTCGTTAGATTCATTTCATTGGAGATATCTGTCATATCCATGCATTGCAATTGTGTTCCATTACATTAGCTCGACGAAAGAACTTACATTACTGAGGTAGTCTATCATTTGTAGTATATACTTTGGGATTCTGTCAAATCTAACCTGCTATGCTCTTTGCCCAATAGTGATGAAGGGAAGGTCGACTGACATATAGGAAGTGCTTATGTTGCCTTTTTTTTTTTTTTTTTTTAGAATGTGCTTATGTTGCCTTCTTTTTTTTTTTTTTTTAGTTAATGCCTTTCTTTTTTTTTTTTTTTTTAGTTATGCCTTAATTTAGATTCGATTTTCTGTTACTTGAAGCATATATTACATTAAGCAGAATGTAAATTGTATGAAAAGGTCTGTCGGAACCCTCGCCTTTTAATTCGACTGATTAAACACTTTAATTTCTAAATTTATCCAGTTGAATATTCAATTTAAGTTGTGTATATGAAATGTTTTAATTTACCAAATTGTATTTATTACCAATCTGTTGAGTAATTTAAAAAAAAAATGCTTGAGTTTATGTTTAATGATGTGATTTTACAAGTTCAATTGTTCAAAAGAAGTGTGTAGTTTTATAATAAATCAAATTAAAAGTTTGCTTTGTCAATAAAATTTTTATTTAAAATTCAGTTAATTTAATTTGCATATATTTGGCTGATTATATATGTATATATCAAAAAAAAAAAAAAAAAAAAAAAATTCAAGTTTACAGCGTTGGCCCATTGATTTTGATAGATGTTTTAAATTTTTATTGAACGCCAAATTCACCCTGTGAAGTCCATAGACTTATGGTATGGTGGGGATGGAAGCAGGACATCCTTGAAAGAGCTTAGACTTGCTTCGTTCCTGATCCATTTAACGATGGTCAGACTGCTTATAATAGGTTTAGGATGGATGAGTGATGAAATTATTACTGCCTACTACGTTATTATTCGTGTATCAAAAAAAAAAAAAAAAAAAAGGTCAGCGTGCCCATTGATTTGATAGATGTTTTAAATTTTATTGAACGCGAATCACCTGAAGTCCATAGACATTATTGTATGTGGGATGGAAGCAGGACATTTGAAAGTAGACTGCTTCGTTCTGATCCATTTAACGATGGTCCAGATGCTTATAAATAGGTTTAGGATGGATGAGTGATGAAATTATTACTGCCTACTACTTTTATTCTGTATCACCCGACATATTTAGAATTTTATCTTCTTTAAAAAAATTATTAAATTTATTTAAGTTATGATAAATTATTAAGTAAATTGACTATATTACTCTTAATTTATTATTAATTCTCTAAAATCATGAAATTAAAGCAATAATTATTAGTTATATATAAAAGGCAAACATGAAAAAAAAAAAAGATTTATTATTCATTGAAATCACAAATGTGATAAATATTATAGAACGAAAGTGATATTTATAATGGATATGAATATGAATATGTTATGAGATAGAGCTATGGGTATTCACTATCATTACCTTACCTGTTATATTAAATGAATTATGGTCGTGGATATATTAATTATCAGTTAAAAATGTATTTTAAATGAATAAATTCAATGATAGTGGATATACTAATTATCAGTTAAAAAATGTATTTTAAATAAATAAATTTAGATTTGAATTGTTTAAATTTTTAAATACTTCAAATGAGTTTGGCATGTGTAAAGATAATAAAATTTTAAACGTACTTAGATACAATTATTCAAATGAGTTTAGCATATGTATAGATAATAAAATTTTAAATAGATTTGGATATTAAAGGTATATTTATATGGATGGTGAATACTAAATAGATGTATAGGTACAAATAATTAAAAAATTATGGATATGCTTCCATCCATAATTATATGTTAGATATTTACTTTGCCTTTTGCATTTTAGGTCCAAAATTCTGAAATATGTCTCTAAAATTTGAATTTGGCCTTAAAACGCCAAGAGGAAATATGCCTAGTATCCTATGTAATGTGTTATGTCCACTAAAGTGCAAATTACTTTATGGGAATTGTTGGATCAGGACAATAATTTATTGTTTATGTCCTCTTGTAAGTATACAATTAGTGAGTTAGGTACGACATGATACATGAAAAATCAAGATTAGGTATTATAAAAGATTTCGGTTAGCTTTCAAGCTAGCTATCATGGTCGTAATTAGATTACGTGTCTTAATCTGTAACAGGGTCAGGTATCAATGTTACAAATTGGGAGGGGAAAAATATTGTGAGCTCACCAAAAGATAAGAAAATAAATCATGAAAAAGTAATTTATACCCTTAAACTGTTGCGAATTCAAATAAAATTCTCTAACGACTCCAAATAAAGTCGCCTGGGGTCAAAAGATAAGATACAGTGCACTTTTGAGGATCCGACCGATTATTGGTCCTAAATTCTTAAATTTAAAAATTTAAGAATAGCTTCTCAACACTCTCCGGTATCATGCAGCAGCATTTTCAATTCTATGCTTCAAAATATCATAAATACTAAGGACACGATATATTAGTTCACCGACAATTTCTTTAATTAATTACATTTAATGAGTTTATGCTAATACTTCACCTCTAATGAGTAGTGGAATTTAATATTTTGAGAGAATAATAATAATTAGACAGAGTACAGTGGCCCTATTTCATGATTTTGCTCTCCTGACTCCTGAAATTGCACAACTCTTTGACCACATCTATCAAACAATTCTCACACGTGCCAAAGCAGCAGTGAGTCCTGCAGCTTCTCTTCTCCGTTTTGCCGTACCTTGCTGTTTGCTTCTCTCCCTTTCGCCCAGCGATTCTTCTTGTACAGTGGGCAGTCCTACCAGAGACAAAAGTGTAACTTTTATGTTCTTTTTTTGTAGTGGATGTAACTTCCATTACCTAAATTCAGTCGCTAAAATAGTTCTTTTAGACATAAAAAATATAAATAAATGAATAAATAACAAGAACATGCATTCACCTTTCTTCTCTTTGATCTTCATCATCATCTTCACCTTATCCTCCCCATTGGATTTGTCTGCTCTTTTTTCAGCTTTCCTCTTTGACTTGGCTTCTGCAAAAATCCACGTGGCATTCATTTGTTTGTTGATCATGCGAGCTGCGTAGTATGGGATTTTGACATTCACATTGATGAACATTAAACAATCCATCAAGCTTTCCTTAGCCATCCCTTTCATGTCATAGGCCTGTGATCTTCTCCACAAACTCTTTCTATGAAGACTCTTGCCATCACATAGGCTCAAAGCTCTGGTTGTATCTCTAATGGCAGCTTCTGGAATTTTAAGTAACAAATAGCACTGAGCTCTATTACTATAAAGAACTATCCTTTCTTTTCTCATCTTTAATGGGCATAAATCCAAAGCTTTTGTATATTTAACCACAGCTTTTTCAACAAAGCCAGACCAAAACTTCTTATTTCCTTTTCTTTTAAAAATCTGAGCCAAGTTTTTCCTTTCTTTCATTTCTTTATTGGAAATTATCTCTTCTTTCTTTCTTCTCTCCACCTTTAACTCCCATATTTCCTTCAATGCGTCCTCTGCAATTTGGTTCTTCAATTTCAAGCCTCCATATTTGATTTTGTAATAATCTTGCAATAATGTTTGTGTAATTGTTTCTCCAATTTTGTCTTTTTCTTTTAAGCTTTTTAGCTCAACCAAGTCAGCAAGAAACGAAGCTGCAATTTCTATAACTTTATATCTTGTATTTGTATCTTTAAGCAATAAGAGTAGAGAATCAATAGCCATATATCGCCAATAATCACAAGTTCTTGATTTGTTGCATAGACCCACTATCACTTCTTCTATATTTGCTATACTTTCTCTACCAATTGTTGTATTGCATAAACTTCTTATAAGTCCAACCCCACCAGGTGATTTTCTGTTGCCTAATCCACCCCACAAGCCACACAAATCTTTCAAGAACTGTTGTTTCTTGCATATAATACTAACTGACCTTTCTTTACATGCAAAGCAATTTAAGAGATAAAGAGACCAACATTGTAACTGATTTGCCCATTCTTCTGCCTTTCTGTTTTCTCTCTCTTCCCCTCCAATACCTCTTGTGAGCAAGTCGCAATGATATTTCAATCTTTTTCTATCTTTTACACCAAGAAACTTTTTATAGATTGTCTTTGAGCAATTACTGGCTAATTCTATAGCTAATTCAACAATCTCCACTTCAAACTCATTAGCAATAGCTTCGAATGCTCTTTCATGGCTAGCCAAGTGACCTAGTGCTCGAACTGCAACTCTTTGCTCTACCCATGTGATTTTCCCCCTAAGAAGTTGCATTAGAGGCAAAACTACACCTGAATTAATTGCTTTCTCTGCAAATTCAATCTTGTTCATGGTATAAGAACCAATTATATGAGCTGCGTAGTAAGGAATATAAACGTTTTGGTCTCTAAGAAGCCATTCTTTATCTTTGATGCCTTTGTTTATAAGTTTCCCCATGCATTCAAGGATGCCTAGAGATGGGAATTCAGGGTCGTTTGGTTGAGTCATGGCGATGTTCCATAACCCACTTAAGACCAAGACATGTTCTTGGTCATCTCTTAGAGGCATTTCTTTGAAAAATTTGGTAATTTTGGATCTTCTGAGAGATGGGTTTGGTTCATTCACGGCGCAAAAGAAGCAAAAAGGATTTTTGCATGTTGGGTTTGGGAGGATCTTAGAAGCAGAAGAAGAAGAAGAAGAAGAAGAAGTGCACTTAAGTGAATTCTCCATTTCAATAAGTGTAATTAAAAAAAAAAATGAAGTTTGTACTCTGATGGAGGTTTTGGAATGTAGTGAGCAACAAAAGATGCCAACTTTGGTTTAAATTTTGGTGTTGTAATGACATCTATCATTAGAGATTATAAGGATATATATCTTATAGGGGGGAAAAAAGAATTGGAAGGATTAATATTATCTTTTACATTTAATATTCTGGTTTGAAGCAATGTTTACCAGTATTAAAATATCTCAGTTGATGAATGAATAAATAAAGAAATTGTTATTTATTTTATATTTTTATAACAATTTCATTTCCCCTACTAAAATAATGTTGTTTTGTTTATCATAATTTCTTTCAAAAAATATGCAACTTCCTCATATAACTATCATATAATATAATTATATAAAGCTAGAATAGAAAGTATTCAGGCAACTAGCACACTACTTAATATATAATCACTAAACTGAATCATAGCTACTAATTGACTAGACAAATTAAGAGAATAATTAGTATAAAAAGTGGAATTTAGATTTTATTTCCAATAAAAAGAAATTATTGAAAGTGGAAAAGAAAAATCTTAAAAATTCAAATATGGAGATGAGGTGTAAACAGTCAATTTGAGTAAAAATGCATAATTCTTTTCTGGAAGAACACATATATATCAAGTAATTCCTTTCAAAAAAAATATATATATCAACTAATTATTGCTAGTATTGAGGTGATAATGTGACTCAAATGAACAAAAACCCATGTAAAACAGAAAGTTCAAAACTTACAAAAGAACATATATAAAAAAAAGAAATTGAATTGCAGAGGTAGAGGTAGAGGTAGAGGTAGAGGATCTACAATTACTACAATATGTCAGTCATGAATGATGATGCTCAGTGGCTCACCATATCTTAGGTCTCTTTAGAACAAAGAAACTTATGGCATTGCTTGGTCCCCTCCATGCCTTGGTTTTGAACATACTCTACTTAAAAATTTACTTTTCAGTTTGTTTTAAACACAAAGAAGCCAATTAGAAAACCCATAATCTATGTTCTTTCAAGTACAAAAGTGGGTTGGTCTCAAGAAAATATGGCCATCATATGCAAACACTCTTTAACTATATGAAAATAATGATTAGTCCCATCTTTTAAGCTTTGGAACTTAATTTAATAATACGAATGCATCAAACAAAGTAAGTTTTTAAATACATAGTTTATGCATATTTCATTTCTTGACATGTGTACATCACAACAAATATTAACAAGATGGAAGCATTGGAAGATGTTAAAACCTTAATGTTTGTGAATATTTCATGGGTGAAAGACAGAAGAACAATGCATAAATACAAATTTAAAATCCTAATCTTGTTAAGTTTCCAAGGATCTGTCTTAGGAAGTTCCACATCAATATATTATACAAATAATTATGATATCATGTGTCCAAAGTGCACTGGACTGTTGTTGGGCTCAAGGAATTTCTGGGACTTGGGCGTCCGAGTTTTCTGAGCTCATTGGGCTTCTACCCTCTGAATTATGATTTATTCTGATTGGGCATTGGCCCAATTCATATAAAGGCTATGCGTCTACATATATTGGGCTTTGCCGTTCGCGAAGGAACTTCACAACTCTCTCTCTCTCTCTCTCTCTCTCTCTCTACAGACACACACAAAGCTCAATAGATAAATTGACATTTGAATTGTACCAAAGAGAAAAAGAAAAACAGTAGCTTCTTAAATTTTAAGTTGGCAAATTATGTAAAAGCTCACATGTTCAATATAAATATATACATTTTTTAATTATATACATATGTCCACTAATCACGGTATTAGATGCATATTTTAGAATAAATTAATAAAAAAATTAATTTTCGTATTTTTTAACCATTTAATAGATATTCGATAAGTATAATTTTTTAAATTGAATTATTTTAATAGGTGCTAATATTATTGGTCCAAGACTCACACTTGTTATTGGTTGACTATTGCCAGCAATTGGTTGAACTATAGGTGATTTCATTAAATAAAATATATCAACCATATATATATATATAATATATTCTGTGTTTATGTTATTGCAATTGATCATTTTTTAATGATATTAATATTATTATATGATGTTTTTAATTAATTAACAACTGGAACTATTACTTGAAGATCTCGATCAAGTTTTCTTTTCTTTTTTTTTTTTTAATCAATAATTGGAGATCTCGAGTTACAATTGCATATGGTAATATATATATTATCATATTGTGTTTATCATCTATTATTAATTAATAAAGAAAAATTTCCCAGTACATTATAAAATGGAAGAATAATTATTAACAAATGCACTATATCTAATTATATATAAACATTAAAAATATTTTATATTATATTTTATTTTATTTTGAGTCACTAAATAATAGCCTAAAATTATTAAAATTATATAATTTTTGTTTTTATTATAAAAACAATTGCCTAAGATTCTCACAAAACAAGTTTTCTTTTTTATTACAACTGCATATGATGAGAAAAAAAAAATATTTAAGTCCTCTTCACGTAGAACAAATTCTTTACTTATTTTCGTATTACATTGTAAGATATAATTCACTAAAACAGTATTTTTTTTTTGGCACATATTTCTTTCTGCATTTTTTATTTTTTATATCTACAACAATGAAATAAAAATGTTTCAAGTTATTTATAAAAACCAAATTTCTTTCTGCAAAGTTAAGTTGTTTTGAAATTAAAAAAAAAAAAAAAAGTTTTCAAAAGAGAACCATTATTGTTTTGAAATAATTTAGTCATAAGTCCACACATTATTCAGAATGTATGATTTTTATTATCGTATTTAGTTGATTATTTTAATTTGTAATTAAAATTTATTTTTATTTTTATTTTTTTATTCATTAAGAGGATCGATTGTCTGAAATAACACTACGGACTACATAATAGCAATAAACTTCCTTTTAGCTTATTAAATTGGTGATAACTTTTATACTCAAGACTCAAACTTAAAAACTCTTGTAATCGGAAAGATTCAAATTTAAAATCTATCACAAAAAACCAATCAAATCACTTACTATTGATATTTTTTTTTTAATTGTTATTATATCAAATAATATATGAAATTACACTTTAGCTTTTTTTTATCTATCTCATTCCTAAAATTTTTTAGTCCAACTTGTATTATCGTACAAGCAAAACCCCAAAATGTAAAAATGAGACAGGCTGGTTCTCAGTTCTCACTTCTTACTTTACAAAAATTGTAAGAAAGTGCCCAAAACGTAAAAGTAAACTGGGCTAGAAGACACGCTCCCCGAGACAGCATTTCCACCAGGGCCCCACGCTTTGGCGGTGGGCCGAAAATACAACTAAAGTCACCAATACTTCCACAACAATTATTGTCAATACCCCACGTGGCCATCTATGATTTGGTTGTGAAACTGGCAACGTCCCCACCTCAGTACTCACAGCTGTATCAATTCCCCTTGAACCAAAAAACACCAGACCAATCACAGCAGAGAATCGTATTGTTAATATGCGTAATAAAGCCCTAACCAAAGTATATTAGTGACGTGTCACGCGTTTATTACTTAATCAAAGACTCCATAATCACATGCGTTGATACACCGAGATTTGGACATTTGTGGTCCCTCCTTCCAGACTGTGTCAAGCGCCACATTCTTGTTTGATACCAATTTTGTGGGGTCCAAAAGTTCTATTCGTTAATCAAACGGCTATTAAGTGGGTCCCCCTTTTGTAAACGATCCAGATCTATCTAAACCTGTCCGTTATTTTTTAAGGAAAACGGGGCCTATATATATGCCATTCTCACTAATTCACCTTTAACTCGCAGTCTCGAACTCTCTCCTCTCTCTCTCTCTCTCTCTCTCTCTCTCTCTCCTCTGCCAAGATGGATCGCAAAAGCGTTTTTTCTGTTGCATTAATGTGCATCATTGTCGCCGGCGTCGGCGGCCAAGCTCCAGGTGCAGCACCGACTGCTACTCCGTTGGCTCCTGCAGCGCCTGTAACTGCACCTGCTAAAGCACCAGCAAAATCTAAATCGCCTGCTCCTGTTGCAGTTCCAGTGTCTTCACCACCAGCGAAGACACCAGCAGCTTCTCCGACCAAACAGAAGGTGCCAGCTCCGGCTGCGGCTCCGGTAGCTACACCACCACTTGCCGCCGCTCCTATTAGTTCACCACCTGTTGCAGTTCCAGTGAGCTCTCCTCCAGCAAAAACTCCAGCAAAATCTCCGGCCCAATCTCCTCCATCACCAGCACCAGTTACTCCACCAACAAGCTCTCCTCCGGAAACTGCTCCTTCAGCTCCAGTGGCTGCGCCAACCGCCGAGGTTCCTGCACCGACTCCAACCAAGAAAAAGTCGAAGAAGCACGCTGCTTCACCTGCTCCTGGTCCGGAGTTGTCGAGTCCACCAGCTCCACCGACGGAGGCACCTGGACCGAGCCTTGACGCCAGCTCTCCTGGTCCCGCTTCTGTGGCCGATGAGGTACTTTCTACTTTCCAGTGCTCGTTTTAGTTGTTTTTCCGATTGGCTTACCATCTGACATGCGCTGGAGTGCAATGCACCTCCAGATCTGAAGTTTAATGCAAAGATCCATGGTCTGTGTTTTCCCTCTTTAGCACTAGAAAAAAATCTAGATATCGTTAGTGGTCACCGAGCCTAAATTAGTGAAGAATGCTTAAATTTCCTAAAATGACCGGATTATTGCCCCTCAAGTTAATCCATTATTGAAATGCTAAATGTCGGTGCTGCCTTATAACTGCTTAGTGGAAGCAAAGCTTGGCGCTTCTCAAGTACTGCTTCTGGTGGTAAGCGCTTGTCTCTAGTGAGATGAACGCGACACTGTGGCGCGTAAGATTCACGCCCCATCACTGTAGTACAAATGACAGTGAATTGCACTGTGTCATCCGTGGATCTGCAGAACATTAATGTGGAGGTGATTAATTTTATTAGTACAGTGGGCAAGTCCTTTTAATTAATAAAATTATAACTGTTGATGAAAGGTTTTAATGCAATAGTAATAAAAATCTATGGCACAAAGCGGTTTCACTTCCCGTAAGGAGGATCTATCTTGAATCGAATAATTCTCAAGCTAATGGTTTTCTAATGAATGTGTATTTATTGTTTCTCTAAACCGAACATTGAAATTTCAACATCAGAATTTCAGATCATTAACTTCCCAACGGGGAGAGGCAACAACATTCTCGTGAATAATTATTAAAGTAGAAATTTATGCAAGTTTATTTATTCTTCTTAACATCTGGATTATGAAAATGAATTTTGATCCAAATTGCAGAGCGGATCAGAATCGATAAGGTCAGTACAGAAGATGCTCGGAGGCTTGGCATTGGGATGGGCAGCAATGACTTTGATCTTCTAGAGATCAAAACAGAGAGATATGTTTTATAATGTCCATTATTGCTATTGGTGTTAAATTATTTTAATCTTTTGTCCCCCACATGCTCTTCTTCTTTATTTACGGACTCACCATTTGATATTTTTATTTGATTACCATTGTTTTGTTAAATTATTGCTATATCTTACTGGCCAGTGGTTTGGTTTTTTCTGCCTGGGGATTAACCACATTTGCTTTGTATTCAGTATTCTTTGAGGGACAGGGAGGGAGAGCTGTGTGGGGGGAAAAACTCTGTATTTTTGTAGTTTTCTATTCACTGTCATTTTATATATTTTGGATTATTCTATTGGGAGCCTCTCTTTTGTTCTTTCCTTTCTTTCTTTTCTTAACAGCCTGTTCTTGCGTTTGCTTTTTCATATGTTTGGCTTTATTCTTTAATTGTTTCAGTTAAAAACTAACAAAAGATTAAAAGAGAGAAACAAAAAAGAGTAGTTATCTCTGGTTGTTTGTCATCTAAAAATTACAGTTTGATAGAGAAAAGGAAGGGCAAGGTAATTATGGAAAAAAAGAAAAGAAAGAAAAGCAAGTTGATTTGATGGCATGATTGTTTATCTTGATTCTGGCATTTGGTCAGAGCCCTACCATTTTGGTGTTAAAGATTTTCTTTGTTGAGGTAAAGCTTTTATCTGCATCCAATACAAAGAATATGTATTATTATTGGTAAGCAATGTTTAATATTTGCATTATGTAATAAGGGTAGGGGTAGTTTTCCTCTTGCTTATTAAATTGATAAAAACATCTGTAATCGATTGGATTCGAATAATTTTATTTTTTATTTAGAGATATATAATTTTATCCATATTTTTTACCTCATCCGTTACACACTGATGTATCTTATGTTAATTTTTTCTACCTTCTATTAAATATAGGGATAATTACTTAATTTTGCTACTTAATTTTAGCGAAATATGTAGACAATAATTGATACATAAATGGATAAATTGTAAATTTTAACAAAATATATGAAAAACATAGTAGTATTTATTGACGAAAAAAAGTATAAAAAATCGACAGAAATAGAGAAGATAAAAACAAAAGTATGCATTTCTGAAAAATGCAAGCAATTTATATATTATGACAAAATATAATGATAAAATCATAAAATTTTCTTATATTAGTAGTACAACTATTTTTATCATTCCTTTTAAGCCATTGATAATTATATAAATCATTTATGGCCTTACTCTACCCATTTAAACTGATACGATATAGTTCTTACTTTCCTAATTTAATCTCTAATATATAGTTTTTCTTTTGGATAGTGGGTTCTTTCTCTTCTCTCTCAAATCAAAAATAGTTTGAAAATCATAATTAACGAAAAAAAGATTATGATAATATGGAATATCTTTTAAAATTGAAAGGAGGAAGCTTGAATTTATTATTCCCCCTTGTGCTCCTGGACTAGAGCATGGTAGGATTAATTTGGAAAGACAAAAAAATAAATTAAAACCTCAATTTGATTAACTAAGTTTAGATTAGTTTTGAACTTACAAATGTATAATCCTAAAACTAACTTGAGAAGCTCGAGTATCTTTTTCCCTTTTGTTTTGAAAATGACATCTCTACCGATAATAATGATATTGAGCCAAATCCAATCATGTTAATGATCTCGAAAGGGTTAATGTTGGAGTTGGATAGATATGTATGGGCTAAGCCCAATATGATTGGGTATAAGGCTTTTGTATTTTCAATCCAAGCAGATATACTGTTTCAGCTGAGGCAAAAATCAAGGACAAGAATTTCAAACAAAACTTTCAGTTTCAGAGCTAATTAAATACAGCGTAATTAGTGCATTTAAGCTCAAAATCAAGAAACTGAATACTTTACTCTATAGAGTAGAATGCAAGTAAAATTGTAAAATTAAAGGGAGGGCAGTTTTGACATTTTTTAATTTTGACTTAATTAATATGATTATTTTTCTAATATTATTATAAATAAATAGTAACTTTCAAACTTAAATAATTATTATCCTAATCTAGTGATAAGTGCATATACGACCCAGCAATAGATTTGGATTCAAATCCCTCTCCCCCAATACTCAAAAAAATAAATAAATAAATATCTCAAAATAATATAATAATTGAAATTTTAAATATTAAAAACCAACAAATAGAACTAGCTATGAACTTTCAGTATTTTTTTAATGATATATAATTAATATATTAGATTTTCATTCGTAATTATTATAAATAACTTTTTTTTTTTTAAGAGAGTACTTACTATACACGTGACACAAATGACATATCATTTATTAAAACCATGATAATATTAACAAAGCATCCTAATATATATCTCTCTCACATACACACGCACAATTTTTAAACTTTAAAAAACTATCCTAGACGGTAAAATAAATACATAAAAATAAAAAGTCAAAAACTTTCTTGAAAAGAAAAAAGCAAAATACTAAATGAAGCGAAAATCAAATTTTGAACTTTTACTTTATCTTGGCTTGAATAGATAGAAAGATTTTAAAAATATTGTTAACTAGCTCAATCAAATATAGAAAAATAAAGAAATAATTTAAAAAATTTTAAAGGAAAAGAATATAAGAAAAAGGATAATCGAATTTATAACTTTTTTTTTATTCAGCTTTAATATAGATATATAGATTTAGATATGAATTGATATATAAAATATGTGTGGATATAAATACACATAGATATATGGATTTAAAAATATAGATATCAATATAAATTATTATAAAAAAATATTAATTTTAAAACTTTAAAGATACCTTAAGTGGTTGAATTAAAATATAAAAAATAAGGAAAAAAAAAATAAAAATTTACAAAAAGGGTAAAATACTATGCTAAATAAAGAGTGAACTTTATTTTTATTTCAAGTTCAATATAGATATACAAATTTCTCATGAACTAATCTAAAACAAAATGGTTAGTAGTATATGTTTGAAGTTACTAATTAATTAATTAGATTTTTACTTAATTTGAACTTATTTGATTATTATATGAATATCATTTCAAAATTAATTATATATTGACTCCACTGCCGTTTACCAAATTTAAAATGATGAGTAGAAATTTAAAATTGTATATGAGAAGAAAAAGTATAAAATGGAGATCCACTATTTTATAATTACTTGTTAATTGATCAGTTTACCGAGTCAATTAATAATTTAATTAAGCCATCATAGTAGGCTAATTGCCTAATTATTCGTTAGCCAATGTACAATCCTTTTCAATTTCCATAAGATATTCCTTTGGGTGGCACACGTGCTTCACAAGTTTTCTTTCTTGCATCTCTGTCTTTTTCTACAACTTGCTTTCTCCTCCAAATTCTTATTTTTGTTTCTTTCATAAATATCTTGTAAATCACGAAGGAAGAGAGAGTGTGATTTTTATGTTCTTATTCAATTAAATGACTCAATTTTTTTATTATATGAATCAATTTTTATTTTTATTTTTATTTTTTTAAAGTAGCAATATTCATCCTACCAAACCAAGCTAAATATAATCATGGACACACGCACACACAAGCATGCGCATGCGCGCACACGCACGGACTTGCGCGACCACACGTGAAAGACTGGTTAATAGTTTGGGTGCTTCCATATTGGCTAGCCGCGTACTTAAGGATTTTGACCAAAGCGTGTAAATGTTTTGCCTAATTAGCTTCAATCTTATCCTTTGGCAACGGTAGCACTTTTTTTGCCCTACTAAATATAAATTGCGATTATTTTATTTTAAAATATAAGACGTATTGATTATTTAAAAAATTAATAAATATTTTTTTAATCATATTATTATTTATATTAAATTAAATATTTTTTTGTAAGTTATTTTGAGTTTATTATAATTTGGATAAAGAGAGTATAATATTATAGTACAACTTTATTATTTAAGGTGTGGAGAGAAATTCAACCTTATACATTTTAACTTCCCAACCTTCAGTTTTTCCTTAAAGAAGCTTTAAATATTATGGTATAATTGCAATTTAACCAAACTTTAAATTCAACGCAACTAAAAGGTGCAAGCATAATTTTCTCTTAAAAAAAAAAAAAAAAAAATTAACTCGAAAATTTGGTGAACTAATTTTAAAATTGGATCCATTTGGCTTTTGCATCATTTAAGAAAGAGAATCTAATTGAACTGGCTATCCGTGATTGAATTAGTCGACTTGATCAATTACCGGAACCAATTTTTAATATTTCAATTATTTCTATTATATAATAATTATTGTAAATTGTCATTATTCAATTAATATATTACTCGTGTGTTCATGATCAACTAATCATCCTTGTCTAATTGTTATTATTTATTTATTTTTTAAAATACATCAAAATTCTTAAAGATGAGAGTTATTATGACATAGATTAGGAGAGCTCCTAGCCTTTTTCATCATTTCTCATATCTAATTATTAGTAAACACAGGAGGCTTCCTAATATAACTTTATACTTTAATTTTTAACTATGCAATTTTCTATGTTTCGCAGAGCTTTATAATATTTCATGATTTAAACTTAAATATTATCGTGTAGAATTAAAATTGTTTACGCTAATTAAGGTGAAACATGATTTTTAAGATAGCAGGTGAACGAAAATAAAGAACGTAAAAAAGTTTATTCAAATCAAAATGGTTATATCATCATTATTAGATAAAAGCACATGCAAAAATAATACTAGTTGCAAATATTTATTTTTGAACAATTTCTGCATTTACTCGTCCAAACTCCATATAGCTAATACCTATTTTCATTTGCAATATTAATATAGAAAAAATTTAATGCTAAAATTTTATCTCAAAATTAATTTAGCACATGCAAAAAATATATTAATTGCAAGTATTTATTTTTGGTTAATTTTTACTTTGCGGATCCAAAATCCATATAATTATTACCTTTTTGCACCAACAATATTAATATTAATATACAACAAACTCAATATTAAAATTTTATCTCAAACTTATTTTGTATAATTTTATTCCTAACATTCTTAACCTAATAATATTGAACTAATTGAAAATTTAAAATTATAAGAGAACTTCAAGAGCCATTATATTTAAAAGTAATAAATTAGAGAGTAATTTTAAAAGAGTTATTATTCAAGAGCCATTATATTTAAAAGATATAAATTAGAGATTAATTTTAAATGAGTTAGTATTATTTAAAAATTCATAAAAGTTATAAAGTAGAGAGAGAAAGAGTTAAGGGAGACACGTTTTCTCTTTAAAATCTTCAAATTTTCTTAACTAAGTTAAAACAAAATATTTAAATTTTAGAGAGTTTCACTCTCAAACACAATGTCATGTCAACATCCACTATTCTCATTTATTACATAATGATGATGATGACGATGATGATCAGTGCAAAATGTGGTTGTCAACCACCGTTATTCTACCACTGAGCTTTTTTTTTTCTTTTTCTTTTTTTCTCTAAGATACTAACATTCATTTTTAGGCCCAATCAAAACCTTCAATTAATTATCCTTCCATATTCTACACCTTCTAGGGATAGATAAAGAAATTTGATAATTAGTTGGGAAATATTAACTCATTAGAACAAATTCAAATCAAACAACTAATTTTATTTGATGGTGAACTTCAAATATTACTCAGAAATTAATTTTATTTATTTTCTTCTCTATTTTTTCATACAAAAAAAATGAGAAATAAGTATTTTATTTGACATATTTCTAACAAGCTTATTTTCATTTTCTAACATGATTAATGATCTTTTTATATTAACAATGTTGTCAACATCTTAGTTAGTAGTTGGGCATTGATTTGACAAATCGTGACAAAAATAAAAGCCACAGGATCCACTAAAATAATTTAACTTAATTCATTTTCTAATATACAAAATTATACAATGATTGAAGATTATAATATTTATGTGTTAACTTGGTGGTGTTCACTTGATATAATTAAGAATGTTTACAGTTCCGTTCCCTTACCAAAGTTTAAAAAAAATTAATTTTAATTATTTTTTTCCATATGATAACAAAAGGTAGTTGAGTTATTTTACACATTTTTTTTTAAATTTTACCTCCATAAAAAAAAAAAATATATATAGAGATTACCAAATAAAAGAAATCTAACCAAATATCTTACACTTTCTATATTTATTATATTTATAGGATGTAAGAGATTAATTACATCGCACATAATTCAATGTATATAGATATATTTCATTAATAAAAATAAAAAATATTAAATATCTTTTTAAACTGCGAATTGATTGGAGAATTTAATAATTTAAGCATTAGAATAGCTTTTCAAAATCCAATAATAGTTAATCATTAATTAGCAATGACTAACGATACATTTTTTTAGCAAATTGAATAATAGATTATCATTCAATAAATAAATAACGACAAATATAATTATAAATTAAACTTGTAAAAACTATTTGTATTATAATTGCGTGACTCAAATACATAATGGCCATTTGATGATGGTCCTAACTTCTAAAGGTAATCTTGTCGAATATTATTTGGTTGAAATTTCACTTTCTCTTCCTGCACTGAGTAATGTTAGAATTTAGAATTAAGAACAGGTGTGCTTATCCATTCGACATGTGTTTTTGACACTGTTAGCAATATTTCCCGTGTCTTAGATCCATTGACTTCATTTTTTTCGCCATTAATGTGAAGAACTAGAAGAAGCAAAGCTACAGTCACCAATCATTTGCATGGATATCTCCACCTTAGAAGCTCGGTATGATATTGATCTCTAATTAAATCTTTTTCTTTCTTTAATTTTTTTCTCTTCTGGGTTTTCTGGTTTCTTGTCTGTGTTTTGTTTTTTTTTTCCTACTGAATCATGGATTTAAGAGTTAAAGGATTGGTGGGTTTGGTACAGCTTTCAAGAGAAATTTAGACGTGGTATTTTGGGAGGTTAACCAATGATGGGAGTTACGAATGGAATTAGCCAAAAGAGGCAAAGGAAAATTAGTAGCAGGTGGCAAGTGCTTAGAGAAAGTGTTGGCAATTGTTACAGCTTTTTTACATAAATGACTGAAATTAGCAAAAGAGAGAGATCCTCTGTGGACACCCACAAAGCAAAACATGATTTTTTTTTCTATTTCAGATTCAAAGCTAGTATCTTTGCATAAATTAGTTCACAAAGCTAACCTTCCCTTTGATCTATTCCTTTTCTCTGATCAGTAGCGGGAAGAATCTTCAAAATTCAAAGCGACATTAACTAAACTAAATATTACTGTCAGCTAGTTGGATTGATTGATTAGTAATGATTGAACTAATGTACAATTTCACATACCCAAAAAAAGAAAAAAGAATCATAATTAAAATTTTCTGGGAACTTTTTACTGGCCAATTAAGTTTTTTTTAGAAAATTTTATAGTTTCTATGAGAATATGAGTCTTGTTGTTGCCTTTATTGATATTTGGCAAAGTAAATTTGTGGAATTATTAGTATTCTGGCTTCAAATACTTTTGTTTTGTAGAACATTTCATGTTTGGACTCGTTCCATTGGTTGATAGTTGCAAGTATTTTCAAAAGCTTGATTTCTTGATGCTGGTGTTGATAGTGGCTTTTGCTCTCTGAATCCTTGTACTTTTAGATTCTTATTGATTCTCAGATTGCGTTCTCTTTTTGTGCTAGGTATCTTGATTCTTGCAGGAGGCATGAGGTGCCACCCAATTCTGCCGTACTGTCATGCTTCTCTAAGGTCTATTAAACTAAACTTTCTTCATGAATGTTTGCGCCGCCCCTCATGTTTAATAGGGAACAGTGTTTCCTTTGTTAGGATATTGCACACGCACCTCCCCCCTTCATCTGCCTTTATCCCTTCAGACTGCTTTAGATTGTGGAATCTGATGTTACTGACTAAGGCTGTCCACTTGTTGTTGTTTTTATCAATTAATATCATATTTTTTGGATAAAAGTTGGTTGTTAGTATAGAATCATTTTGCTTGCATTGAGGGGATTCTTAAACCATCTTTCAGAAAAGAGCCATATGTTGCACTGTGTGCTGCTTGGACTGGATTTTTCTGAAGTTAGTTTTATCCCACCTCCTAAAGCAGCAAGCTGTCTTTTTTTTTTTTCTTCTTCTTTTTTTGTTTTTTTGGCCTTGGGAGGTGCATTTCTTTCTCTGAAATAATACTTATGGTCCTAACTTGATAGCATAATGAAACTTAGCTTTCTTCTCTATGATTATTAATCATCTTTGCTTCACTGGCTGGTAGATTGATCCAGTAACAAACTTGTACAGTTTTTGCATTGAAGAAACTATTTTGTGGCAAGCATAACTTTTCTTCTTTTATTTAGGCCACAATACAGAAGTTCTTCCAGAAGAAGTGTACCTTTGAGGTTTTGCTAAATCAGCTCAAGAATGATGATATTCCTCCTCTGATTGATATGTTCCTAGCAGTAGACTCTTCTGACATTGATGCAGTTGACATAGTCAATGAATCGCATTGCAATTTGAAGGAAGAATATGTTCTTTCCTTGTTGCGAGCAATTCATCTAAAACTCCGGGTTGTTGATCTTCAGGAAATGTCATTGGAAGAGGACTTTTTATGGTTGGTATCACCATTCTGTTTTATTGCTTGTCCTTATTGTCTTTGTCATTTACCATAGTCATAATGCATTATCTTCTATATTTTATTTTCCTTTACCTGATAGATTTCTGCCGTTTCCAATTTCCCAACCTTGAATTCCTTAAGAAAGAGAAAAAAGAAAAAAGAATATGAAGAGAGAGAAAAATGATGGTGATGCTAGAAGTTCTAATCACTTTATGAGTTTTAAGAGATGAGATTATCACTTAAAATAACTTGAAAAGGACCACTGCCGTCATATTTTTAGAATCTGGATGGAAAGACCATTAGGACGGCTAGTGGGCACTTTCTGTATTGGTTAACAATTATGAAGATTTGAATGCTCAAGTGAGGGCCTTATCTAGGATCCCAAGACCCTGCTTCAGCAGTTTACAGAGCCCCAACATTTGTGTCCTGTGTCTTTCTGGGTTCATGACAGTTAATTTTGTCTTTCTATGAAAAGCATATAGCATCCTCTTTTGCTAAGGAAACATTATATCATGCAGTGAGTCTAGTGACCAATTAACTATGCTTGAAAAGGATGAAAAGAAAGGTGGAGTATTCTCTATCTAAATCATATTTTAACATCGTTGTTTGTGGGACCTTTCCAGGGATCTAAGTCACCATGGCTTATCTTGTGAAATTTTAAGCTTGAGGTCCACTCACATCCAAAAGCTCAACATGGTTGGAAGTTTTATGCGATTGCACACCTTAAATCTGGATTTTTGCACTTCAATCGCTAGTTTGCATAGGGACTGTTTTTCTTCCATGCCCAATCTGATGCGTCTCTCAATGTGTGAGACAAGAGTGATTGATCTCTGGACAACCACTGCTGCCTTATTGAAACTTCCTTCTTTGCTAGAACTACGATTCCAAAATTGCTTGTGTTGCAAGGACACTGGGCCATGTCCTGCATCATTTGGTAACAAAGCAAATGTCCTGCATCAGTTGGATAGAGGTTCATCCATTGAACTGCTGCCTGTCAATGCTGCTGACACAACTATTTACACTCCTCATGCAATGTCATGTTGTGACTTGCTTTCTCCCAAAAATGCATTTACATGTAATGAGGTTAATGGAGGAACTGATAACTTTTCAGTCACTACTGAAGATAAAATTTCAAGCTGCCTGCAAAGAATAGATTTGCTGGAACTATCATCCAGCATGCTTCCTAATTTGAATGGAAAAGTCAAGTTGCAAAATGAGGTAAGCATATTAAATGCTTAGAAGGGGGAAAGTTTGAAATATAGATGTTTGGTGATGGATTTTTTTAGTTTGTCTAACAGGTTTCTTTTGGCGAATGATAGATTGAAGACAAAAATGAGTTGTTTGCAAGTGGATGCATGTGGGATTTGAAGAAAAACTGTACTAAGTTAAACAACATTTACAGTTCACACCACCCATCGCCTATCTGCTTTGAGAAACATTATAGGGAGTATATAATTGCTTCATTGCCTCATTTGGAGGTTTTAGATAATTTGCCCGTTGGAAAGCTGGACAAGAAAATGGCGAAGATCATCTCTTCAAAATTCTATGAGTACTTAGCCTATAACCGACAATACAAAGAAAGCATTGTCAGTATCCTGCAGAAACGTGAAATGAGAGCAAGTGGTGCCTGCCCAAATTTCCAGAAGACAAAGAAGCAATATCCTCATGGAAAGAGTCAAATTTTCTTTCCACGATCTCTTAGTGCTGCCAAGCTGGGTTCTGTTGCATGGCCCCTCTTGCACCCTTTGTCTAGCTTGAGCCATCTGCATAAAGAAGGAAGTAAGCGTCTTCGCCCTAGACAATTCGAATATCATCCATCTGATCCTAGTCTTATGGTTTTTGGAACTCTAGATGGTGAAGTAGTTGTCACTAATCATGAAAATGGGAAGACTGTTGGTTATGTTCCTTCCAGTGGAGCAATGAACAGTATTCTGGGTCTTTGTTGGCTCAAAATGTATCCATCAAAGGTATGCCATTTCCATAAAGCATTTTAGGCTTGTAATACTTTTGTCTTGCACTTTCGACCCTTTTCTTTTATCTGTTTCTAAGGCACTTGTGTTTGGTATCGTAAGTTCAATATGGTTCAACAATAAATTGCGGTTGTCTTTGGATTTGGTTTATTTTACTCGATGACTTTGTAGGTCAAGATCACACCTGAATTCCAAGGTGATATTTCCAACAGCAGTATCTTGTATACTTTCCGCAGCAATTTAAACCTTGAAATATTTTACATTTGTTCTTTGGATGAGGGAAATCAGCCAGTTGCATGCTTACACCTAAAAGATACTAGAATTGTATCAATAGGATAGATAATTTGTTGCTAGAACTTGTCTTTGGAAGTAATTCATAAATGCTATATAATGGGAAGGACATCTAATTTATTGCTTCATTTTGATTCTTAGAAGTTCAATTTTTGCTGAAGGCTTTTTGTATGCATTGAACAGTTGCTAGCTGGTTCTGATAATGGTTCCTTGAAGCTGTTTGACATCAATCATATGCCACCAAAAGTTGCAGATATAAATTGCATGACAGGAGTGGTCAGTTTTGATGATTTTGAGCCATTGACTTCTGTTCATGTCAATTCCACAGACGATCAGTTTCTTGCCAGTGGGTACTCAAAGGATGTTGCCCTATATGACATTAGTAGTAGAAGACGCATACAGTTGTTTACTAATATGCATCGAGAACCCATTAATGTTGCTAAATTTGCACACTGTTCTCCCTTCCTATTTGCTACTTCGTCATTTGACCATGATGTCAAGCTTTGGGATTTGAGACAAAAACCAGAGAGGCCTTGTTATACAGCCTCAAGTTCAAGAGGGAATGTGATGGTTTGCTTTTCTCCTGATGACAAATATCTGCTTGTTTCAGCTGTTGACAATGAGGTATTTTCATATCCATTATGTATGTATATATTCAGTTGGGCAAGGATAAAACGTACTAGATAAAGAAAAATTCTAAATCATTGTGTGGATGTAGACTCCCTAATCTTATAAAGGGGTTTGATAAGATGAGCATAATTTCACTAGTCCAATGTCATTAACGCATCTAACTGTAGATGTTCCCTACTAATCATCAAGCAGAATTCCTTGTTTACCTCTTAGGATGTAAGCATGCCACCTTAACATAGTAATAACAAACTTGTTGGCTTCTTTCACTGAGTTCAAGATAATATCCCACTTTTAACTTGTGTCAGGTCAAACAACTTCTGGCAGTAGATGGTAGGGTTCACATGAACTTTGAGATAGCTGCAACTGGAAGTTCTCATAATTATACTCGCTCCTATTACATGAATGGGAGGGATTACATCATAAGTGGTAGCTGTGATGAAAATGTTGTCCGCGTCTGCTGTGCTCAAACTGGAAGGCGACTCAAGGATGTTTATTTGGAGGCATGACTATTGATTAATTTCAGTTTTATCCTTTTGGAGCATTTATTTGCATCCACTTCTGCTGTTTATGACTTGTCATGTTTAAGAGTTCTGGTGTTTATTCCATTGCAGGATAGTGACTCGGGGAATTCTCTGTTTGTGCAGTCCTTAAGAAGCGATCCTTATAGGGTAATTTCCTATGCAACAAACCAAGAAAATATAACTTTTCTTTATTAACTAATAACTGCTGTGAGTCAGAAATCACATTGCTTTGCTTTCATGTCCAGTTCATCCTTTCTTTAAGTTTTGTACTAGTTTCCATTGCAAGTACCGCAAACAACAGTAGAAGTTAATTGTTAGATAAAATTTTCACGTGTATTGCTTTGTTTATCATTGTGTTCTTGAAAACAGCTATTTCACATGAGTGTCCTAGCTGCCTCCAGGCGACCAAGCGCCAAATGTGACATCGTGAAGGTAACTTTCTTGACCAATTTTTCTTTGCTACCTACCTTTGTGTCATTCTGTCAACTCTAATTGTTGAGGGCCTTCTGCAGGTCAATTTACTCACTTCCAGTCGCTCTGCCAAAGAACATTCTTATGGTCAACATATCCGTGCTTCCTCTAGTTTGGGAGGTTGACATTGGTATCTTTTTGTTTATTTTTCATCATATTACATATATAGATAGGCATACATGTGTCTATGTGGATTGACATTTTAATGTTGTTTTGTTTTGCAAGTTATTGGGAAGAATTTATAGTACATGTCAAAGCCTGAGTTCTTTCTGTTCGCAAAGACGTGCTTCCTTATTGTTTTATCACGGCCACAACTCTCAGCAGTTTAAACGTATATAGGTTTGCATCTTCAGTATCACTAATCCGATGTATTTAAATTGTTCCATGCTTGAATATAAAAAATTCTGCTGTAAGAATTCACATTGTTATTAATGAAACTTCTTGTGCATTTAGCCTTTTTTTTTTTTTTTTTTTTTTTTTTTTTTTTTTTTTTTTTTGAACATCAAAATATTTAAAGAGGAATCTCAGGAGGTTGAGTCCAATTTCCTGGAACCTTCGGGGGCCTGTCTATTCTCTTCCTCCTCTAGTTCCCACACATATAAAAAGGAAATAATTTAAATAAGTGCAAGTTGGGGGAAGCCACAGCCTGGAATTGTGCGCCAAACTAATTGAGATTCTCTATCCCTGTCTATATCAGTTTTCATTTCTTTGTTCCCTTTTAACTTGAAGTTGGAAATTATTTTTCAAGTTACATAGAGATTCTGGCGAGCCAGAAAGGAAGAGCAAAAAAAGATCAATAAACATATGCAAATGGGCTACATCGGAGAAGCCAGTACAGCTTGTACCCTTTCAAATTGTTGGTACTAAAATTTTATAAATCATCAGAACTTCACAAGTGTTAGTCAAAACCTAATTAATTAACCTTAAAAAAGGATTATCTCCTTCCTCAGGAAGGTACTTGCAAACTTCCCTATGTATAGCATAAACCTGAGTAGAAATATAATAAGCTAATCAAGACAAAAATCTATAATGCCCTCCCCAATAAGTGCCTCCTTAAATTACAGACTGTAATGAAATTGTTCATTGGCCTTTTAATTTTATTAATAAAATACCCTTTTGCTTCAAATTTCCACATGACTTCCACCTTCAATCCACCACTATAAATACTCCTCTGAATTCTTTCAAGCCCATAGCTTCCTAAGCTAATTCTCATCGCCTTAGTTAGTACTATTTCTTGAAGTGTAAAATATCAATCAAAATAACTAAAATGAAGCTCTTGCTTGCATCATTCCTGATTCTTTCACTGGCTCTTTGCTCCTCTTTACTTCAAACAGCCATGGCTTCAGCTCCACCATATATGGCTGCACCACCACCTACCACAGCTGCTCCAAGTAAGATTATTAAATTAAGCCAAGCAAATATCAATTTTTTTTTTCTGGGGTTTTTCCATTTTGGAATAATAAATAAGTACTTATATTTCTGTTTTGGTGATATTAGGTGATTGTGATTTGAAGTGTGGGACAAGGTGTAGCAATGCAGGATATAAGGATAGGTGCTTGAAGTATTGTGGAATCTGCTGCCAAGAGTGCAAATGTGTACCTTCAGGAACCTATGGAAACAAATCAGAATGCCCTTGCTATAGAGACAAGAAGAACTCCAAGGGTCAATCCAAGTGCCCTTGAACTGATTAATATTTCTTGAAACATTTATGAATATGAACAAATTCTCGTTTGCTTTTGGAATAAATGAATTTTTTGTTCTACTCCTAAATTATGTTACTACTTTTTGAATTTTAATATTAAATTTCAGTTTTACCTTTTCTAGTTCTTGATTATACGCAGATAAAGACTTCCTCTCCATTTGAAGAGTATTTGTTATCATGTTTAGTAAAATTGTGTAAGAATTGTTTGGAGATGCATGGAAAAGTTGAGGATATCAAACTTGTATGAAAAAAGAACATGGGAATGAATTAAATTAGCAAAAAATTGTTTAACTGTAAATTTTAAATCTTTTTTGAAGATTTAAATCTACAACACACATATAAATATGAAATGAAAAAAAAAAGAAAAGAAGAAAATTTACCAATTAATTCATAATTAAGGAACTAATTGAGTTGAACATATATGTAAATATCAATCTGCCATTTTATTCTATCTTTTGTTTTGATAATCAGTTTATATAAAGTTGAGTTTTTCTTTATTCCTTGTATTTTCTAATTAAAATAGCTACTAATAATATTTAATAAAAGAGACTATGACTGTGTTCGGGCAACCGCTTTTTAAGTAGTTTTTAGCATTTTGAATAATATTTTTTATAGTGTTCGGTACTATAGCCTTTGAACTAGATTTTAGAAGTTAAGATAGTGTTTTATGAAAAGTTAATTTATATAACGTTTTATGAAAAATTATTTAAACAACATTATTTAAAAAACTAACAGCTAACAAAACAGTTAATTTTACCCGACATATCTTATATATACTATTGACATATGCATAGCGGAATGACCTATTTCTAATTGTATGTATGCTACTTCATTTCTTAAAAAAAAAAAAAAAAAAAAAATCTGGAATATAGTGCAGTTCCTATATAAAGTTGAGTTTTTCTTTATTCCCTCTGTGCTGACTCTCTCCTATAATCCTCTCCAAAGCGATAGCTTCACTAATAAGTACTTGGTATAGTAAGGGTAGTGGCACTATGACTGTGTTTCGCGCTTCGGCAACTTCACTTGTGCTGTCCCTTGGTGTTATTAGCTAGACTAGTTTTCTGAGCAAATCCTTTGTCATTATAGCCGATTACTTTTTTTATGCATCCGTTCTATATAAGTGTTGTTTCGATAAGCCGACTCTTGCGGAGTTGGCGTTTGTGGCCTGAGTTATCTGGTGTGAACCTAGTGTGCCGCAGCCTCTTAAAACGCCCGTGAGCTATTTCTGAAAATGCCTAACGGATTTTTAGGACATGATATTCATGGATACATTAGAAAGGGGCCGCAGAAAAGCAATTTACGTTGTTGTTGTGTATGAAAGTAAATCTCATCTATATGATATTATCAACGTTTTACTGTAGACAGAATGAGATTTGATATATGTTCTGCAAACAAGCGTTTATTTTGAAATGCTATAACTAACTAGCTACAAAAATTTCCACCGTGTATCTCTGTTAGGTTTCGGATGCGCCCCCGTGAAATATCGTATTATGTTTAGCGTGCTTATACCTGACTTCGACATATGCCACCTAGCGGAATGATAGACGCCCTTTTCTCTAATTGTATGATTATGCTTAACAGGTTCTTCTCATTGCTCTGTGAAAAAGGAAAATGATGAGAAAAAAGACAAAGTATTACTGTGATGGAGAGCTCTACTGGCTATGCTTAATTTATTTTCTTGACATTGATGAAGGCGTAAAGCAAAGAAACCATCGTTAACCAGCACAATCCTGACTACACTTTACGCACTGACATTGGGATTGGGCGTTTTTCACGTGAAATAAGAGATGGACGGCAAAATGAAATCGACAAAACCTTATCTCTTAGCCACTACCATACCTGCATATTCTATCTTAAGTCATTATGTGACACATCTATGATTAAATAATAATATTGCCAACCTTTTTTTAAGCACAAAATATTACTCCATTCTTCTCTATATATAATCAAAAAAAAATCACTACATAAAAATCATAGAGAAAGAATACATAATAAAATTAATATTAAAAATAAATGATCTATTAAAAACAATAGTAACCTTGTACAGAATTAGGTCCCAAACTCGCGTAAATTGAACTTGTGTCTTTAAACATATATTAATATATATAATTATTATAATTTATATTTATAGTGTCATAAATCAAGAAGGGGGATCTGGCCCCACACAACCCTTTTTTTAAAGGCCTTTATTTTTTTTGACTTTTAAAACGAAAATGCCTAATACAACCAGAATTGTAAAAAGTCTTTTCGCATAATCATTTCTACCTTTTTTGGAACATGTACTAAACACTTAATATCTTAAAATTGATCGCGACATCTATTAAATCTATATATTAAAAGTATGTAAAAATCATTATTTCTAAAAAGTTTAATTAACACATAAATAACAATAAATCAATTATTATAATATTTCAAAATACATATATTCTCGCTACAGATAATTGCTCTATATAGATACTTGAAAATATTGAAGATACAGTATGTGATTGTGCACATAATTTTTTAGTAAGAAAAGTAAAGAAGACATATTAACATGAGTCCTCTCTTCATATAAGAAGTTTAAAATGCCCATAAAAATTTTAAAGCTTTTTTTTTTTTTTTTTTTTTTTAAGTGTCTAAAGGAACCTTTAGCTTTATTTTGATTTATTAAAAACTTCAACAAGATTAAAAAATTTGCAAATCATTCTATTGAATGTACTAACACTTAAATTTAAATTGATCGGACATCTATTAAATATAATTAAAAGATGTAAAAATCATTATTTCTAAAGTTATCCTAATCATAAATCAAATTAATATTTCAAATAATATCCCTATAGATAATTGTCGATGATATGGAAAAGTATGTGATTTGCAAAAATTTATAAGAAATAAGAGCATAAATGGTCCTCATCAAAATTTAAAATGCCATAAAATTAAAGCTGTAATGTATTTATGTATCAGCTGTAGAATTAAGATATATTTGGTAATGTATATTATTTATTTAATTATTTATTTAATTTAATTCGATTTTAAGAAACGTTGGGTATTCCATATCCCAAATCACACGTGGAGTTTATGCGTGTGTGAGAAATATGAGTTAACATATTGCATTAAAATTGGCTCTTGTATAATCTTTCCGGCAACTGTACGCATCATTCTAGTGTCCCTTGACCTATTATTTTCGGAGTGTGCTGCTGGAAAATCTGGGATCCACGCAATAGATGGTACTTTCGTGAAGAACATGTGACGATACAGAGGTTGAAAATGGAGGCGTTCTGCTTGGCTAAGAATATTTTCGAAACTAGTTTGTACGTGAAAAAGTCGAGATTCCTTCGTGCAATAAAGAATTAATTTCACTCACATAGTCTCCTCCCCCTAGCAACTGCGTCAATCTCAATACTAACACTTCTGTTACTGGACAATCAGCATGTGGTGGAGGTTTAATTCGAGATATTGCTGGGAGGTGGTTCAGAGGCTTTGTTTCTAACATAGGTTCTTGTACGGTTTTCAATGCTCAGTTGTTGGCAGTTCTGGAAGGTTTGCAGCTGGCCAAGAGTTTAGGGATGAAAAATATCCAAGTTGAATGTGATAATTTGGCTGCTGTCCAACTCATTTCAAGCAATGGTTCTTCTTCAAGAGCAATTCAGAAACTGGTGCTTGCTATTCAGCAGTTGATCCCACAATTTCAAAGTTGTGTGATCAAACATATTTACAGAGAAATGAACAATTGCGCGGATTACTTTTCTAGATGCGCAAGAAATTATCCATCAGGGAGTCAACTTCTCATGAACCGCCTCCTGGGATGGCAGAATGGCTTCTTCAAGAGGTTTTTTATACTGGACTTTCAATGTTTACTTAGAGTTTTGCTCTCCAATCGTTACCAAAAAAAAAAAAAAAGTCTATTTTATAGTATGGGGCCAACAGACATTCAGTGTTCTGTGTCACTATCCTTTCATACTCTTCTTCGGTGTTTCTCTTCAATAAGAATCGGCGACATCTAGTCTCAATGTGTAAAAACTGAATGAGGCAAAATTTAATGATAAAAAAATTGAGAAAAAAAAAAAAAAAAGTCTATTTTTATAATGGGTGTGTACTATCTCATATCTTCTTGTGTTCTCTTCAAAAATCGATCTTTCAATGTGTAAAATGAATGAGGCAAAATTAATGATAAAAAAAATTATACGTTTAATTGATAAAATTAAAAACATTAAATGCAATTATAAAGAGCTTGAAATTTTAATATTTTATTTAGTTATTACAAGATAATTCATACTACAATTTATTTTAGAATTAAGGAGACGCTGAACTTCCAAAGAACGTCCTTTTTGTAAGCTTAGCAGAGATAAGAGCTAATACTGTTGCTGCAGGCACAAAGACAACATCTGGCACAGCCTTTAATATCTTTAACTGAGGCAAATTCTCCGCCGCTTTCTTGGCAGCCATTGCTGCCGGTGGTGTTACTACTCCGGTGACCAAGGCGGAGTCATCTATCTTGCTAAGTTTTACGCTCTTCTTCATCAATTCAATGAAGAGTTCTTTTCTTTGTGCATCTGAAGCATGTTTCCAAAAACTAAAACATGCCTGCAATATTGAACATTTTTTTGTACATAATTATATAAATTTATTTGAGATAATGGGATTTAATTAATTAGAATATTGTAAGGTTAATGTCACTGGCCTCTATCTCTTTTCTTGAGGGTGCATCATAATGTTTACCAGGCAATGCTGAGTTGAATGCGCTGTAAACAATTAAACAGCAATAAAATTTCAAGAATGAAAAAATTAATGTATATTTATTAGGTCTAATCACAACCTAAAAAAAGATAATTTTTGTAACTCATGTTGATTTTGGTGGTAAGGAACCTTAACGGTGATGATATAGGTCCAGGCTTGATTCCGACCCTCTCATTTGAAGATATCAAGAATAATAATAATAATAATAATTTCTTTATAATCTTACTTGAAGATATCAAGAATAGCCATGTGGAATTCCTCAACGTTCTTAATATCTTGGTCCACAAATTGCTTGTAGAGAGTCCCCATAACAAAACCTACCATCTGGTTTGAAGGCAACCCTACAAAAAAAAAAAAAAAAAAAAAAAATAGCCCCATAACAAAAACGACCTTCACCATTATGTGTTTTAGAGGCAACCCTACTAAAAAAAACAAAAAAAAAAAAAAAATTCTTTAAATTCGTATATTCTGTGTTATGTTGAATAAATGTATATTATTAGAAAAAAATCTAATCCAAATAGCTCAAGAATTTAATGAAAAAATTATCTGAGGATATAAGCACTAAAGGCTGCGTCAAAAGAAAAAAAAAAAAAAAAAAAAAAAAAAAATTCTTTATTGTATTTGTTATGTAATAATTTTAATCAAATGCAAGAATTAAGAAAACCATTAATATGCAAGGGAAAACAAAAAAGATTACTATGTGAAAATGAAAAATTTGCAAGAAGATCACAAAACCTTTTCCCATGAAACTCATGGACATCCCCATTTTGTAAATTTGAAAAATTCAAGTAGATTGAATCGCAAAATGGTTACATATATAATGGAAGGGTAAAATTGGAGAAATATGCAAAGAAATAGAGAGTGGATTTTGTTTTTTCTTAGATGAAAGAAAGGAATCCTTGATTTATATTCAATCTAACAATTTTCGAAATGAAAGGATATTCCTACCTTGGAACAACTTGTTAGCTTCACATTGGAGCTAAAGTCCTTTAAGCTTGCTGCCTTGCCTTGGATTCCTTTTGAAACAAAAATTAGAAGGTTAATAATTAAAATAAAGAGGGAGTGGAAATGAAATCTCATCTTATTTTCCATTCTATTTTCTGTGTCCCCTTTTTCTTTTCTTTTTTTTTTTTGTTATGATGTGAATTTGACATTTGAAATACAGAATTCATTAATGGCAGAATTTTATTTAGTTAACATACATGAATTGAATTCCTAAAAAGAAAATGAAAATGAAAATATAAAGTTTCAATAGAAGATCAGAAATGGGTTTAGTGAGAAAAAAAAGCCTTTAGCTCATACCTATCTTTGATGAAAGAAGCCAAAAAGCAAGTTTACGTAGAAAGAACAGCCAGTGGCCCTTACTACACTAAGCGCTACGAGAGCCAATCACCGAAGAAATGAAAGAAGGACTTGCTTCGGTTCGGGTCAAGCAGGAAGCCAATTCACCTTACTTAGACGAAAAAAGGGGGGGAATTAGACCTGCTATTAACGTCGGCTTATCTGTCAGTCGCGTCGGGTCTGCGCCGAAAAAGAAGCAACGCTATGGATACCATGACCGAACACCATCGATTTAGTTCCACAAAACTTATTTACTTATCATACAGGTTCTAAATTAAGAAGTATGTGAGGTTAAAATCCACTAATTTGGTCTAACATACTTTCAGCTCCTTAAGCAAGAGATATGTTTCCTGAAAGTCTTTCTCAGACTGTTTCCTCATTGCAATTTCTGAACTTTGCTACAAGTTTATCAATCTCCTGCCTAAAGTTAGAAATAGCAGCCATTTGACCAGTGGCTAAACCGTCTTCAGACCTGTAAGTGGAAACGAGGTGCAAGGCTCTCTTGAGTTTCTTGTTCTGTTCAGGATCTTGGAAAATGGTCCAGTTTAAAGGGCATCAGTCACATTTTGCAATGCAGCTTGAATTTCTAGAGTAGATGAGTAAGTTCAGATTCGAAATCCGCAAAAAGATGAAGCATTTCTTCAACCGTACCCTACAGAGAGAAATTAGTGTTAAAGACCAAGTCTACGAGGCATGAACAGAAACACCAGAAATGAAGACGGTGTTCTGAAGATGGTTTGCTCTTGAAATCGATCATGGATGATGATGAACGAGCTGAGATAGACCTGGAAATATTTTTTTTTTTACTTGGCTTTCTTGAACTGGCTTGGCGACTGACCGCTAATCCACCTTGTTCCTGTACTTGATCTTTTATCGGTTGGTATAAAGATTCTCCACCTCAATTGAAGGGTTGGAAATGGTTAATTTTAGATGCTAAAAATGGGAAAAATGAAAAGAAGTCCTTAACATAAGATGGAAAGTTTACTTCTTTTGACTGGATCGATAGATCTCTCACAGCAAACATATTTCACTATTTTCGCATTTCCTAGGAGTGTTTGCGCTCCTGAACAGACTTCTTGCTCAACCTCTTCAGGAATCTGGGATTGCATCTGCATTCTGATACGGACACAGGACATCATTGCTACTTGTGTTTGGCGAATGTTATAAAAACTTCTTAATTTGTATATTTGATTTATTTGACTTTTTCTTTTTGCAGTATCAAACATATCAATCCAATCCATCAGACTAATAAGCGAATCTTTATCTAAGAATTGCTTGTACAGTGTTATTATCACAAAAACTTGTGGAATGCGTTGAAGGAAAACCTAAAACAGTCAAACATTGAAATATTAACAAGCATTCCTGTAGTGTCAAATTGAAGAGATAAGGGAAAATATTAAGTCCTGTGACAAATATACAATCACATAACTTCTCCCATGAGACTCAAAAAACATCCCCATTTTGCAGATTTGAACAGTAAAAGAGACGAGTCATTATGCTACACAAAGGAGAAAGGAGAGAGACGAAACGCATATGGTCAATGTAAGAAAGAAATCCATGATATCATATGAATCTAGCAGTTTTCACTATCCAATTCAATTCCTGGCTCGGATCGAGCTGTTAGCTTCAAGGAGGGACCTAACAACTGTGCTTCTCCAGTGTACACATTCTGCAAATTCTCACTAATCTAAAAAATATTTCCACAAACAAAATTATAATTGTATTAAAATAATAGCACATCTCTAAACAAAGCATCCAATGCTCTACAGCATAGATAAGAGACCTAATGAATATGGAGCATGTACAAATATGTAAGCAGCAGATGGGCAGCGGGAAGATACACATCAGAAAATGCATCAGCATTTACAATTATCATCTTGCAAAAGTGTTACTTCCAACAACTTTTGAAGAAGTTTCAGTCTTTTATGTACTCGAGACATCTAAATCACTTATCCAGCTAAGCTCAGGATTTACGGTTCCGGCCACCTCTGCCAGATTTTCTCCTCCCCGTCTTCTTCTTGTCATTGGAAAGATTGCTCCTGGATTTTGGAAGTGTTTTTCCACCAAAATTTACACGAGGCACAGTTGTACCTGTGGATATGTTAGTAGCTTCAGGAACGCATGATGTCTGCTCTTCTGTCTCTACCTGATGCTTCTCTGTGACCTCGTTTCTGAACATATTCAAGTCTTGCATCTCTTCCTTTGCTGCCTGATTATTTATTAGAATTCCTTCTTTAGTCTGCAGAAATGAAGGACACATCAGTTATAAATAACTCTCGTAATAGATGGGTGGCAATACAATTTAAAAAGAAGAAAAACATGCTGGTCCACAAAACATCAAAACATTAATCAATTCCAAATTCTACACAGAAATTGTCCCGTGAAAATGAATATAATCTGTGACTCCCACGACCAAAGCTATAATTGCCAATATGAGTAGCGGCAACAATCATACCACTGAAATCTTATGAACCAAGAAAATATCTTGATAGAAAATTTTTATGGAGTTGGCACAGTACGAATGTGAAAATTTTCAACTCACTAGCTGACAGGACAAGGACAAGGACAAGAACGATATATGATCACACAAACTGGAAGCAAGTCAGCACCAAGTTCTCAATACCACAATAATAAATGTTCTGGTTTTTCTAGACAACTGAGATATATAGCACTGGCTCATTCCCATATATCAGCACAGAGTTTCTATTACAAATAGCAATTTCTAGTATTAGCTAACATGTATATTTGGGATGGGGCACTATCACTACATGATATTAATTGAGGCCAATTGTTGCCAAAACAGTCACCTAAATAACAAGCATCAGCTAAGCATAGCTTAAGCTTTTTGATGCACCCATTGTACAAGATTGCTCCTAATAGTATACCAACTATAGCTCAACTCGACAGTAATTATTACTCTCTCATATATCAAACCTGGGACGTCTTAGAGCTCTCACATTCAATTATTCTTACCCAAGCAAGACCTCTCCATCAACCCTTTATTTGCATTACATAAAGCAAGCCCAACAATACATGGAGTTGAAAATTTTTGCCAAAGCTGCCAGTATAAAGCAGTACAAATAGTGAGACAACGAAAAGGTACATTGTACTGACTTGAAGAGAATCCATGTAGCTGGCTAAGAGATGTTATCAAGAAGCATTTAGAACCATGATCAGACTGAGACAAATGATAACAAATGAACTTGTTGAGAGAATATATTGTAATTGTATTTCTTGTATCTCATCAATCGATTACATAGGTCTATATATAAGGAATTCCTATGTTACCTAGCTATTTAGGAATACAAATGAACCATGATCAAGACTGAACAAATGATAATCAAATGAACCTTGTTTGAGAGAACTATATTTGTAATTGTTTTTCTTGTTATCTCATCAAATCGGATTACATAGGCAATATATATTAAGGAAATTTCCTATGCTTACCTTAGCTATTTTAGCGAATACAAATCATAAACTAATTAGGCAATCTAGACTCTAAATAAGAACTCTATTTACAACTAATTCCTTAACATCCCCCTCAAGGTTGGAGCGATAGAATGATAAATCATGCTCAAACTGTTAACAACTAATTACTTTTCAGGCAAAAAGCCACAAATACGCATACTCAGCAAACTGTACCCACTTCATTATAGCAATAAAAGAACCCCAAAACCAAATAGTAGTATGGCAGGAATCAAGACGAACACACTTATTTGTCGGAAACAAATCTCACTGAACCAGAAAACAACTCCATTAGGGCTGTTGTCAAGCTTCCATAATTCAATGCCTCAAAGAGAAACCCAGTTAAAGCACAGATATTCAGAAACGCATCAAAGGGAAAATCTGGCAAAGAGCAGAGCACACCACTGAAGGCAGAAACAATGCTTAACTCACTGGGGTGCACTGGCTTGCTCGCAAAGAGAGAGCTTTCAAAGCAGAATACCCGTAACTGCCAGCAAAGGCTGGCAGTGCTAAGACCCAAACCTGCCAAAAGGAATCACTAGAAAATCGACCGAAAAATAAACCAAACCAATTGTCATAGGCAAAGGAAAAAATATGTTTCGCTAAGCAGAATTTGAAAGCAAACAAGCGTAGCAGAAGACGTGCCCGACACAGCTGTAACAGAATCCAGCAGAACAAAACCTATTGAATAAGCCGCAAGAATGAAAAGATGAAACCTCACTGCGTTGCACGTCTATTCTTCAAGTTCAACGCCGGAGAGAGGAACCGGAGTGAAAAAAGACCATTGGACATGCGCCAACGCCATGAAAGGCCAGAGCAAGAAGAAAGAGGGAGACGCGGTGGGGGCCATTCACTTTGAGCGAATTCCGACAACTGGCGATTCTGGGGGAGGCGCTGATCAGCGGCTGGGAGAATATCCTGAGGTCGGTGGGTGAGAACAAAATACTAACCTAGAAAAGGCTTCCTAAGGTGGTAGTGGCTTCTCTAAGGGAAGTTTTCGGAATTTTTTTTTTTTTGGTTTCTTTTTAAAATTGGGAAGGCTTCGTAATGACCATGTTTGAGGATAATATATTTGTAATTGTATTTTCTGTGTATCTCATCCAACTCGATTACATAGGTCTATATATAAGCGGAATTTCCTTACGCTAGCTATTTAGCGGAATACAAATCATAAACTAATTAGAGAATCTAAAACTCCTAATAGGAACTCTTATTTACAAACTAATCCCTTAACAGGAAATAGACAAGTTAAAGGCGAGATTTTTAAGCCTCAGCACCTCCCGTTGTAAGTTGCTGTATACACCAAAAATATGCCATGGAATGAAAGAAGCATTGCCCAGTATACACTTAAACAACACTGTTTATCTAGCACGAAAGGACGTCAGAATGGATTTGGTTTTTTTTTTTTTTTTTTTTTTTGAAAGGGGGGGGGGGGGGGGTTGGGGATAGAGAGAGAAGAGAGGATGAAACTTGACATCTTCACATGAAACCCCAACCACAGGCTGATCTGTTTGCTTTCAATTTCATATCAGGATGGAGTGCGTGACACCTCTCCGTGACTTGGAAACAGCACTTTCAGGGAGAACTGCTGAAGGGGGGGGGGGGGGTTGGGGATAGAGAGAGAGAGAGATGAAACTTACATCTTCACATGAAACCCCAACCACAGGCTGATCTGTGCTTTCAATCATATCAGGATGAGTGGTGACCTCTCCGTGACTTGAAACAGCACTTTCAGGGAGAAACTGTGAGATGGTGTATAGAGATCTAACAGGCATTCTATCATCATTTTCAAGAGGGGAAGCAGGATTTTGATCAGAACTGGTCAATGCATCACAAGATACAGGCATGATCAGCCTATTAACAGAAGCAAACTTCCCAGGATTTTCACTCACCACCTTCTCAATCCGGACCTTCAACTTGCGAACTAGCAATTGTAATGCTTCAATTTTCAAAAGAATATTTTCACAGATATTATCAATTCCTTTGGTCTCAAGAGATGCCCATCCATCTTGAAAGCCAAACTCATCATTAACATTGATTGCCTTATCTGAAAAAGACCCAGATAAGAAAAGTTAGGCACATGATAAACTGAATTTTAGCAATAATAGTCAATAGAGAATATATAATTTAAAAAAAAAAAAAAAAGTTTCCCGATGTGTGTGCAGCATGCAGTTTCTGATCTAGATAACATCCATTCATTATAGGCTGAATACATAAATTTACCTCTGCACTTTATTGTTTTAACCTTATAGAACTCTCAATTTTTTCTTGGAACCATCGAATACTTCAACTTATGAAATTACATTTGTTAAACACTTTAGTTCGCAACATCATTTTATTGAACACGTCAACTTAGAAAATTAGATTAGTTAAATACTTATTAGATCGTTGAAAAATGAAAAAATTATTGTTCAGAAGTAGTGCTCATCATACATCAAATCATGTTTTGCACATAAAAGCCAAAAACTCTAAAAGATGTTATTATTTGTGCAGGAAGGTGTGCAAAGTCCAAAATTCATAAGTTCAAGTGTATAATAGATCTTTATCAAACTTGAGGTCCCACAAGATTGAAATAAGAAAGTTCAAGATGAATGTAAGCACTTGACCAATCATTATATCAATTCTATTTTTCATGGCACCATCTTTTTTGGAATAATATTTAAGATCTTTATGCCAATAAACCCAACTCTAAATTCTGACAGCATAATATCAATTTTGCTTATAATCTTCTACTTAGTCTCGATTTGAATAATAATGAGGTATACTTTACCATTGCAGGAAACAAAAAACATCAGAAGTACAAATATGTAGAAACTTGAAAGAGAAACTGGAAGAAGTTGTTTAAAAGGGAAGACAAAACAATAAATTCTACAATCAACATCAAGAAAACAAGGTAAATTTTGATGCACGTCGTCTCACAATCAAGTAATCAGAAGTGCGCTCTCTATCACACAGAGCTATATGTTGTTGTCATCATATAGAAACATGTTAGAATACATGCACACATTTGCTAACGTGTGATTGTCTCTAGTCCTTTATTAGACTAACTACTTCAATCAAGTTGAGGCTCAAAAGGAAATGTATCAAAGACTAGCATATGGAAGCATCAAATCCATGAACAGATGCTAAACACAGTATATAAGGCATTTCTAGATTACTCAGTTTTATCATTTAAAAATTTCAGTTAAAAAACGAAGTCAAAACAAATTTTAACTCCTTACCTGGATTATTGCTGCAATTGTCATTCATAGAAGCACCATTGGCAGAAGACTTCCTAGTTTCTGGTCAAGAAAGAAAAGGGGAAAAGAATAAGAAAAGGGAATATGAAAAGACATTACTCTCCTAGGAAAATGCTTGTCATCGGGATGCAAATGCTACAGGTAATAGGCAAATCGGAATGCTTACCATAATAGGAAAAGAGGTTATGTTGTAGCATATATGATGATATGTCAGTTGCCTCCTCAATTCTTTTTCTTTTCTTTCTTTTCATGACTTTGTTCCTTTTAGTACAACTTGAAAATGGTGTTGACTTTGCATCAATTCCTTCTATTAAAAACGTACCATAATCAAACTGCTTTCTCTGTTCATGTTCTGCAAGTTCTCTGTCATACTTAAGCGCCTGGGACTGAAATTCTTTAATTTGCAATTCTATCCACTTGCATCGCCACATAAGAGGACGTATAAATCTCCTCCAATGGTCTGTCAACTTTTTCCTCCTGAACAATTGGAGAAAATAAATTAAACAAGGGACTGAATATTCCATAGTTGAACAAAGCATGAATATTCAATGAAATGATAAAATTAGAAATTGACTCCAAAAGCTAATTTTCCTTTGTATAACCATGGAAATTCAAACATGTAAAATAAGGAGGAAGTCAATAGAGAGGAGCACAATTAATGCTTTCTCTACCAGAAAGAGAGAACCACATCAGTCCACTTAAAGGATCAAATTGGTATTTACACTTTTTCTGAGATGGAATCATTGGATATTTTATTATCATAATCAATTCTCCTTCAGTATATTGAAAATTAGAAACAGAAGTGGTGTTAAGACATGAGAGAATTTTTAGCGGCAATCCCCCTAAAGGATTGCCCGACAACAAGGTGGACATAGATCTTTCAGCTTATCTGTAATAGAGCTACATGTGCAATCCCATTAAGACTTTCCAAGGAAAGGTCAATGCTGCCTTTATGCGCAGGGCAATTTTCCATCACTCCACAAGGAATCTAAGACCTAGATCATTGTACAAAAATCATCCCTGATGGTGTAACAGCGCTACTCAAAGATTAACCAATAACTTAGTCTAGGTGCAGCACACATGTTTGAAACACAAAAGATTGTGGTAAATAGCATTGATGGGTCCAAGAGGAAGCATACCCCAATAACAAAAATAAAGTCAATATTAAGTTACATGATTAAGAAGTCAAGAGCAGTTTGCCTATCTATAGTACTGCACACTGAAGTAAAAGGTACTAATCAAGATGTCTTTAAGCATAGAGAAAGATCCGCGCCTAAAGGCTCTCCTATTAAATCCCTTCAAAAAAGAGGGATTGAAACTACTGAATTCTTGCGAAAATAGTAGTGTATAACCTTCCATGCCAACAAACTTGGAGCAACTACCAAAGAAATTCTCATGACGGAGAACAGAGGAAGTGTTAAGAACCTGGAATCAACACAGCAAACTGAGGACACTGGTTCAAGGAGTATTAAAATTATCTTGTTTGGATATGTTTATAGGCATTATACCCATGGTAATGAAAACTTAGCAGCAGCAGCTGAAAGCTTGGATTAAGTAGCTAAATCAGTTTGTGGCTGTAGTGTAGTTTTTCTACATAATTGGCAGTTATTTCTAGCTTCCTTATAGGTTGTTATTTTCAGTTTTCTAGTTTACTAGTTTATAGTTGGTTCTGTCCACTGCCATGATATTTAAAGAACATGGGCGTGAACAAAAGGCGCAAAGATTAAACTTAAAAGTTTGGTTTTAGGAGATCAGAAGTTCTCTCCAATAAGCTCGTTGTCACGAGCAAATTTTATGGTTAATTCAAAATAGCCCACAAGGGAAGGAAGTCAACTATCAAGAGACCTGTGACCAATCACAAGTTGGGACTTTAGCAGCAAGCCAACCTCCATAATTGCGTAACCCAAAGTGTTTTAGTAAAAGGCAACGAGTGGATTTGACAGCGTTTTCGTTTAGTCTCATTGTTCCATGGTTTTGTTCCCTTTTCTGAATGTCAGTGATGGTTAAAATCCTCCGCCATGCAGGTTTCAAACTAAAAACCTTAGTCAAAGACAAATGTTCCAGAACACTTACAATGGCTAGTTAATCTTTTCAATTCTTGTGCTTCTTTAACAAGAGGTGGAGGCAATCCATGTAATCACATTAATTTAGTTATTGGATTTAATGATTCTTAAGATAATTTGCCCATATTATACTCACAACTGAACTGAGCATCATGTATTAAGGATAAACTGAGTTAACATTTAAAGATAAGTTACTATAGGCAAAACCGAGATGCTCCCTCTCCACCCTTGATCTCACTTACCAATGATGCAGCTTATAATCCAAAACAAAGTAAAAACAATGATGCGCTAATATTACTGTGGAGAATAGAGAAAAATTTGAAGAGAAACCCCAACTTAAATATGCTCAAATACATCCCAAATTCATCATCAAAAAGATCATCGTTAATATTTCTACAAAAGAAGGTAGTAAAACTTTCTTTTAATTATGGATGACTATACTTCCTCCAGCTACACAACAAACAAGTCATTTCACCAAGAAAAGTTAGTTGACAATGACTCACAATACTATACACCAAAATAGAGGGCCATGATATCACATATCTTTATCTTTCATCAGAAAGTTACCTACACATGAGCATTAAAATGTAATGAACCAATTGAATCAAACAGTAAGTACCTCATTTGAAATGCTCCTCCATCAAATACCGATGCTGCTGCATCACAGAGACAGCACTGTGATTCAACTTCAGCATCACCTAACACTGCAAGATTCTCAGTCTCAGATAATGTGTCACCAAAAGAACTCATACTCTCAGTTGCATCCTCACATCGAGCTTCAATTTGTCCATTGTCACCAGATTTTGTACACTCAATTATATTAATATCCATATCCTCGCTTAGTTTAGCTTGGTCATAATTTAAAGCTTCCTCATGGAAATTATTGTCCTCATAATTACTTATACATTTCGCAAACTTATCTTCTTGAACTTGGGATACGCCTCCATTGTCTTTACTAGCCAAAGCTTTTGATTTCTCCAAATCAGGCCCCATATTAATTTGCTCCAAGATTATTATACATTCATCTGCAACAAAATAATCTCTTAGTAAAAAGTTTAGTTATTGAGATTTCCATGGCAAAGCAACTAAACAAGGTAATAACTAGAACTTCACATCTTTTTTTTTTTTTTTTTTTTGTATTAGATTGCCATGGCAAAGGCTAACTTAAACAAGGTGAATAGACTAAGAACTTCCCATCTTTTTTTTTTTTTTTTTTTTCTTTGGGGGGGGGTGGCCGGTGTTGTGGGATTAGGTGGAAAAGCGGATGACAAGTGAAAATCAATTGGAAGATAGGGAACTGCGAAACTGAAGCCAAAACAAAAGCTTGGAGGGATCATTAAGTTTTGCCAGCAATGGGGAAGCTAATCTGTTACTTTTTTAAAGACAGAGGTCAGACAATATGAAGATAAGGCTAATCCAAGATAAGTGTAGTAAACTTAAACTATAAATAATAACATGTTTATCGGGGAGGGATTTTTTTTTTGTTTTTTGTTTTTTTTTTTTTTTTTGGGGGGGGGGGGGGGGGGTTATTAAAAGATATATAAAGCTATAATTAGAAGAAATCTTAGTGGGAACCGACAGCCACCCTCATGCGCGCACCTGATTAACCGTAGGTTTTGCCCTGGAACATCTGGCAAGACATAGTATAGACTTGTAGGGGGGGGGGGGGGGGGTTATTAAAATATAAAACTATAATTAGAAAAAATCTTAGTGGGACCACAGCCACCCCACCCTATAACCTAGTTTTGCCCCTGAAATTGGAGACATAGTATAACTTGTAGGATGCAGTCCAAGAAAAATGGGGAAAAAACCATTCACATAGCTGATTCAAACTATTTTGAAACTAAGCATTAGTCTAGATGAGTTCACCTTTATTTCAATTACTCCCTTTACTCCAAAATATAAGTCATTTTTGAGTGATTATGTTGTCCCAAAATATAAGTCGTTTTGAGTATTTTTAAAAAAATAATAAATGATGTTTTTCCGATGTTAGCCTTGTTTAGATTAGTTACAATAAATACTTTCAAAAGTAACTATTGGTTTTGAGATAAAGGATAATTTGGGCAAATTACCCTTGAATTTGTTATAATATAGGAGAACTAATTGCTTCCTCAATCTTTCTGCAATAACCTTAAACAACATATATTTTGTGACAAAGGGAGTATCCAATAAACTGAATTAAATGTAGTCATCTTTATAGCAAGGAACATAAAATTCAAACTTCAAAATGTTCTCTTCTCATGATTTGTTCACTGAAAGAACATAAAATCATTTGACTCATAAAGTTGCACGGTTAACATTTTCCTTTCTTCAATGACAAAAAATGGATGCCATGATAAACAAAATAACTAAAGAGCAGTTAATTGTCGGCTTGATAGCACAAGCTCAATCTACCCATCTCCGTCCATAGATGAGGAAAGGGCAGCTACACTTGACTTCAGAGCCAGCTAATCCTTAGAAATATAAATGCACACAAAAACGAAAAAAGAAAGTTCCCTAGACAAGCAAGCTAAAGCATAAATGAACAATAGAAACCTACAGCATATCTTGCTCAGTTTCATCAAAATATATGGAAAATCAACAGAATTCCTAGAAACAAGACTCCAAATGAAAAAAATAATCTTGAAAGCATCTCATGCCAAAATCTTGAAATTGCATGAGAGAGAGAGAGAGAGAGAGAGAATTTGAACTCTTTATGTGATAGAAAATTCAAGAAACAACAAAAATAACCCAAAATGAATTAATAGAGGAAGCTTTAAACAAAACCCTAAAACCGTAACACACAAAGAAAGATCAATTAACACTTACGCAGACAAAAAATTGGGATCGACTAAGTTATGCTGAAAAAGCGAATGCCACCTCCGGTGTTAATAGTCGAGCTGGTGACTGACAGAATCGTGGTGGTTAATGACTGTATGCGAGCAACGAAAATACAGTTTAAGGCGTGCGCAGCGAAGCAGACGCAAGATTAATGGACTCTTAAAGGCGGTTCAAAGGTTGCGTCAGTGTCAACTTGGTTGGCAGCGGGGCGGGTACCCGCAAAAAATAAACTATCCGAATTCGAATCCGTTAATAATGTAAGCACCCGAATCCGTTAAGAAACAAACCAATAATACCCAAACCCGTCCCAAATCCGTTTAGAAATACCCCGCGTACTAGCCGAATCCGTTTAAATACCCGTTTAATCACCAACTATTACAATTCCGCAAATCTAAATTCCCTTGTATAATGGCCATTCATAAATTGGTACAATCATAGCATTCTCAAGACATCAACGAATTAAGAGTAAAAGCAAATTATCATCATATCAAACAAATGGAATTGTTGCAGAAATACATTTTATTTTTTGCATGTAGAGATTTTACATTTTGTACAAAAAGCTGAACCCATAAATTAATTCAACAATTCCTCCTTTCTGTCTTTTTATACGTGTTTACAAAAATAAAATAGAAAAAAAAAAGGAACGATGCAAAACGAAAATAAAAAATGAGAATGAAATAAAAAAAAAATCAAGAACGAACCTGCGGCTGAAGAGCACTTGTACACTTGAAGAGCACATCTGCTGCGGAGGCGATGGCCAAGAACGAAAGCAACGGGAAGGTCTTCAAGTAAGACAGTGGCTGTAGAAGTGAAGAAAACGAGCGGCGCAGGGAAGGGAGGAGGGAGGAGAATACGTTTAACTTGAGTTTGAGAGAACTTTCTGTTTGTATGATTAAAATCCAACCCTAGGCTAAAACGACGTTGTGTTGGTTGTGGATTCAATTAAACCTCCTACACCAAAATTACGTCGTTTTGACGGTAAAATAGTTATTTTTGTTATTATTATTATTAAAGTTATTATTATTCCTAAAGTTGTTATTATTATTATTGTTATTATTAGTTATTAATTATTAATTAATTATAAGGCTATAATTATATTTCAATATTATAGTAAGTGTAATAACAAAATATTATACAAAGTATTAAGTTTAATATTTTTTTATTAGATATTATACCTAGTAGGTTGTAATTAATTATGGTTGCTGTAATCCTTAATCTATATTGTAATATCCCGAATTTTTATTTTCAAAACTTTAGAATTTTTTTTTTTTTTGAGAAAAAATAAAACTAGAAATTTCATTAAAAGGAAACTGTATGTAGATATGGGATATAGATCAATATGTTTCTATATTTTTGTATAGGAGTCTAATAATAAACCATTTATAAAAAAACACAATCTTGATTTGAAGTATTTGATTGAGTTGACAGAGCATAATATTTGTGCCATCGGTGATCGCTTGCTCCACTTGGTGGCTATTTGTAATATCCCGAATTTTTATTTTCAAAACTTTAGAATTTTTATTAAATCAAAAATCCGAATTTTTTTTAGTATGGGTCGTGACAAAGTTGGTATCAGAGCGTAAGTTGGGACTTAGGAATCAATTGCGGAACATAGGAATTTAAATAGAGAACTCCTCTGTTGGGATCGGCCGTAACCCACAAAAGGAGCTGTAGTCTGGATTTGAATTCCATTTAGTGCCGTTTCCATTTTAGTGCCGGTGGACGCATCGTGCACGAGGATGGAAGGAAATCTGTATGAAACTTAGGATGAGAACTAAAGGTACATAAATAATAGGAAATGAAAATAGGTCTGGGTAACTGACATTTATAAACGAAATATTTTGAGTTTGCTAAATCCCCTCTATAAAATTTGGAAGTAGAGGATCAGTTGGAAATTGGTGTAATGGCCTGATCACCCAGTACACCATGATCCCACAAGAGACGCTGCTTCGAAAATTATTTAAAATGGTTTAGAAAAGAATTTGGAGTTTTAAAGACAATAAGAAAGTGAGTTTATTTGAACTATGATTTGAGAAAAATGTTTTATTCTTTGCTTGTTGGAAATTGTTTTTATTGTGTGCAGATTAATTGTTGATTTTATTATTTTGTCGGGCATGTTCAAAAAATTTATTGGATTTTAAGAATTAAAATTACTTATAATGATCGCATGTTTGATTAATTTTATCATATAAAAACGTCTAATCCCGAGGACTGAAATTAGGCTTGCCAAAAAGTTAAATATATGAAAAAATAATAATAATGGTATAGAATATAATTAGAATGAACATTTCAATGAAGATAGAAATTAAATTCTAGAACTGTTACTGTTAGGGAATAAAAAGTGAAAATTGTAATTTACATTACATGAAGGGTAAAAAAAAAAAGAGGATCTAAGACAAATAAATTAAACTCTCAATTATTCAAGGCTAAACTCTAGGATGTAAAAAGAGAAAATTTGTAAATTATTTAAGTATAACATTAAGGAGAATAGAGACTTATTGGCATAATTAAAAAGAGTTAGACGTGAAAACAATAAGTTGTGTCTAAATACAATAAAAGGTATTTGATTGGTCAAATCTGATTGGTCAAAATATCGATATACCAAAAATTTAAATGGAGTAATAAAGCAAAATAAAAGACAAAGGTTAAATCATTATGTGATTACATTGTTAAAAAACTTTTCTTGGAGAAATTAGTGTGTAAGGTTTAAAATTTGAGTGTTTTAAATAGAATTAAAAAAAGTGGTTATGTAAATAAATTGCGCTAGTGGACGATTAAAAGTATTTTTAACAGAATAGAACTTGCGTATAAAAGAACTGGAGATAGGCTCGAATAACCCTGTAGACAATGAAAATTTTCAAGAAATTTTTTCTTAAAATACTTGGATTAAGTAACAGTTTTTTCGACTTTGAATTAAGCAAAGATTTCGTCGTAATATATGTTAAATAAATAAATATATAGATTTTTATTTTTTTTCAAATTGTTTTACTTTTTTTATTTGGTTTTCATAAAGAAATGTGTAATAAAATTTAATTTGGGAAAAATATAAGTATTAAGCATTTTGTTGTAAAGCTCGGTTAATTGTAAGATTTTTATTTAAAGAAAGATTTTCTAGCAACTGTCCGATGATAGTTTGGAGGCTAAAGTAACAAAGCTTCCTATAAGTATCAGCTAGGTGGTATTGTCTAGCTTGAACGAAATTTTGGTTTAAATATGATTGGTGGTAGAAATACAAGCAAAATACCTCATTCACTTCATTTCCTCGATTTATATTTTTGCTCGCGAGCTGTCTCCTTGGTATTGGAAGCAATTTCATATAACTTTAAAATTTCCCATGCATCCATTCTTATTCTTTTTTTTTTTTTTTTTGATTCCAATTCGAGGACGAATTGTCTTAGGATTCGAGGACGAATTGTCTTAAGGGGGGGAGATTGTAATATCCCGAATTTTTATTTTCAAAACTTTAGAATTTTTTATTAAATCAAAAATTCGAATTTTTTTTATAGTATGGGTCGTGAAGACCGAGCATTTCTAACTTGAGCCCAAATTTGAATTGAGCCCAAGCCCAAAAACAGAACGTTCAGAAATTTCGATGAAATAAAATGGGTCGTGACATATATACAGTAGACTTCTAAGTTTAAGTATACTAGTATATATAATGATACTAATAAAAAAATAAAAAGATATTTACTAATATCTAATTGTAATTATGTCTATAAATTTATTAGTGATATTTTATATGAGTTATATTATAATTTACTAAAAGTCTATCTAGATTTCACATTTCACACGAGTTATATTTCAAATTAAGATAGAATTATAATTATCATTAAAAGTTTAATATTGATGTTGATAAGTAGCTTTAAAAAATTTTAATTATAACATTATTAACATTCTATTCAATTAAAAACTTTTTTTATGTTTAATAAATTTCATAATTACCAAACAATAAAATATTCAATTAAATTATTAAAACACGACATGAATACTAAATATATGATTTTGTTTAATATATTTTATGAAAAAAAAAAACTAAATTCAATTTATTAAAATATTATAATTTAATTGACATAATTTTATTAAAAGTTTACTTATTCATAAGATTATATTACTTCCAATAATATTTTATTCATTAATAAATATTTAAATTATAAATTATTATAGTTATCGGTATATATATATTGTACGTATATTTTATACAAGATTTAAAAAAAAAAAAGATTATACAAGAATATTAAGTAGCTTGGAGTTAAATTAATTTAAATGATCCACTACTCGCCCACCTGAACTCATATCCACTCCAAACCCAATGCATGTATTAAAATCACAATCCAAACCCACCTCAAATCCGTTTCTATATTACCTAAACCCGCCAAAATCTGGTAGGTTAAATTATCATCCCATGTGTCAACTACCAAAGGAGGTCTCTAAGTGGGGTCTGTTTAGAGTCACGCGTCGGTGACTGACAGGACCTTGGGAATTTGCCTTTCTTAATTAATTATATATATACTATAATTAATCATTTAAAATAATTATGTGACTACATTCTATTTTATAATTTTATATTTCATGTTAATTTAAATACTCAATCATTTTTTAGTAAGAACGTTACTATTCATTAGGATGGATTAAATTTTCTTTTATCGTCTTTCTACATGATTTGAACGTCCAAAAGGATTTTGAAAATTTAATTTTCTTTCTATAAATTCTTTGAAAAATCTCTAGTCATAATAATTATAACGTTTAATATGTGAACTTTAATATGTTATCTCTCATTTAATATAGTTAAATAAAATAATTTCGTCAATCTAATCAAGTTGATGTAATTATTTGTTCTCCAAAAAAAAAAAAAAAAAACCAAAAAAAAAAAAAAAAAAAAAAAAAAAAAACCTATGCGCTCTCTATTTTTCTTCTTCCCTTCCATGGGCGACTGCCGATGAGCTTTCACTGATGGTCACCTCTTTTTCTTTTCTTTTTTTATTTATATTTTTGCAAATAATTCTCAAATCTGTATATTATTATTCAGTTATTGAGATTTATTGTCACCCTATATACTGGGAACCAATCAAAATTGGCTACGTGGAGCCATTCATAATCTCTTGCCAAGAGGGAAGATCTTGGTTCTAGAAGAACAAGATTTTGGTTTTGTTGTCAGATCTAATTATAAGTTATTCTTGTCATTATAATGATGATTTTGCCTAGCGTTTATGCAAAAATAAGTGCAGATTTTCGAAAGAAATCAAATTGGACTTATAGAGTCGAATAATGGCTATAAATAGCGCCCAAGTGAAGCAAGCGATCACCTTTTACACAAATATTATGTTCTATCAACTCAATCAATACTTCAAATCAAAATTGTATTTTTTTATTCTTTGTATAAATAGATTATTATTAGACTTTCTATACAAAAATATAAAAACATAGAAACATCTAAATCTGTATCATATATATATGTATACAGTTTCCTCTTAATGAAATTTTTACTTTGATTTCTTCTTAAAAAAAAAATAAATAAAACATATATTTATATTATATCAACAACCACCACCAACGCCCTCGACCTAAACTAGTGAAGGTATGGAACTAGTGAATGTATGAATTTTTTATTTCAAATATCCGCTTTGATAATTAATATCAATGCAAAGCTATAAGTCAGAAAAACTTTTTGAAATACAAGTTGAAAAAAAAAAAAAAAAAAAAAAAAAAAAAAAAAAAAAAAAAAAAAAAAAGGAAGAAAGAGAAATGAAAGATTATGGGTGGGTGGGGGGGGAAAAAAACTAGTTGCAGCTTGCTTAGTTTCAACTTCAACAATTGCAATTCCGAATTCCATTTATCTACTATATATCTCAGCATAATAGAAAAGATTCCTCAATTACTGGCAGCATTAAAGGAATAATAAAAAAAAAAAAAAAAAAAAAAAAAAAAAGGAAGAAAGAGAAATGTAAGATATGGAACTAGTTTGCACTTTGCTTAGTTTCAACTTCAACAATTGCAATTCCGAATTCCAAATGTGTTTGGCTTGCAAGACCAGCATAATTAGAAAAGATTCCTCAATTTACTGGCAGCATTAAGAAAAATAATAAATGAATATCCTAAAACATCCTGAGACAACAAAAGTCATGCATAGAAAGAAATGAGACACAACAACGCCCGAATACTCAGCCTTTCTCCATCTCTCTAAAAAGACTTAACTCACATTAACATGTAAAACATTTTTCACAAGGACTCAATCGCGTCCCCTGTAAATCAATTTCCTCTACAAATCATGTAAAATCCAAGCAGAAAAAAAAAAATTGCGTTATTTGCAATATCAAATGTACACACTATGTATAGAACCGAATCAAAACCTCAGATGCATTGACAGGATGATCTTTAAACAAATCAGCCCCTAGCATTACCATGTCGTTGGTTTCTGAAGTACTGAAGAAGTGCCTGAGCCTGCAAGCAAACAAAAGCTCGTAATATAACCTTCTGAGAAGATAAAGAAAAACAACACCTTGATTATGGAAAAACATATCTCACAGTATACCTTTTCTTTAGCCCTTGGGGTGCCAGACTGTGATAATGCCACTAATGGTGGCACAGCGCCTTCTTGGAGAACATTGTTGCAGAACCTACTGCTGTTTGTGCAAAGCTGCAAAAGAGCAGCAGCTGCATTTTCTTTCCCTCTTGCAGAACCTAACTCAACAACCTCAACCAGAACAGGGATTCCACCTTCCTGACCTATTGCAACCCTTCCCTCAGGAATTGTTGCAAGATTAGCCAAAACAGCTACTGCCTTATCAACCATTCCAGCTGCTGGGTCCATCAACTCTACAAGGTGCTTAACAGCACCAGCTTGTACAATCCGAGCCTTGTTTTCATGAAATATTGACAAATTAAACAATGCTGTAGCTGCATCCTTCTTTCCCCTTGGAGTTCCATTCCCCAATAAATCAACCAAAGGACCAATAGCTCCAGATCGTCCTATTCTGACCTTGTTATCCTCAATCACTGAAAGGCTAAAGAGAGTGGCAGCTGAGTTCTCCTTAGCCTCTGGACTTCCAGTTACTAAAACGTGAATCAGAGGTTCAATAGCATCTGCATTAGCAATAGCGGTTTTATTGTTATCGTTAATTGACAAGTTAAGAAGTGCTGTGACAGCATTTTCCTGAATCCTTGAGTCAGTTGATCGAAGTAAGTTAACTAACAAACTAATTGCCCCACATTGTGCGATAACAATCCTATTATCCATGTTGTGCTTCGCAAGTAACCTGAGTTCAGATGTTGCCTCTCTTTGAATATCAACTGAATCACTATTCAAGTCCTCAATCAGCTTCCGAACTTGGGTTTCTACACCTGAAAGATCAACTCTTGTTTCAATAGCAGGGGAAGAAACTATTCTTGGAACAAGCCTATCTGATGGCCGGCGCCAGATAGTTTGACTTCGTGACCGTGGTGGGAATTCATGTTCTCTGTGAGAGGTGTTTGAGGCAGTAGAAGCCTGTGGTTCTGCTTTTACCTCCCCAGAATTATCACTGCTATAGGAAGCAAGATGGTTTGACACCTCTGAAGACTCATTATTATCTCCCTGTGCTCCTTGAGAAAAGTTTGCATTAGGAAGTGTGCTGGAGGCTGAGGCACTTCTACTGTGGCTCTGAGCTATTGGTTCATCAGCTCTAAAAGAATTTGAAACTTCCTTTCTAGATGGAGATAGAGAGTGGTGGACAACTGAATCCAAGCTCTTTCCTTCCAAGTTAGCAGACCTTTCCTCAGAATTGGTTAATGATATTCTCATCAAGTCCAAACCCCGTTCATTTCCTATTATACCCGACAATGAACCCTCAGAAGTAGAACGGGGATGAAGTGGAGAAGCTCCCTCTCGATGAATTGCACCAGAAGATATCCAATTCCTGCCAGGAGAACCAGTTGAACGAGTTGACTCAGGAGACATCGGTTGGTTTCCCCTGGAATGAGGAAAAACAACATGTAAATCCCTGGGTGTGCCAGACTCAGCGTGTACAAGAAGTGGTGAAGGCTGATTGAAGCTCACAGATTTCGCAGGATCAGGCAGCTTCACATTATTTGACTCGCACCAATTTGCAATGAGTGCCTTCACGGTGTAATTAGGTATCAGATTGGTGTGAGTCAGAGTCTGCCTTGTCTTGGGGCAAACAGTGAGCCCAAGTTCTATCCAGTTCTTAATGAATGCACGCTCATAGGTTTGCCCTGATGCCACAATCACCGGATCAGTCATCAACTCAAGAGAGAGAGGACAGCAAAAATCAGCGGGTATTGGGACTGGGCTACTGGTCTGGGACTGTTTCATCAGGACAAGTCGATCATGCATGTGAGTCACAAGAGAAATCATTTGATCAAATAACTCAGCTTCCCTGGGATTTTCAGCTTGTTCAGCATTCTCCTTCAACTTCTCAAGGGCCACTGCTTCAATCAGAATCTCCTGATTGGACCTCAAGCTTAGGCTCTCTGCAATTTTCACTAGGATCTCTGAGCTGGGTCCAACGCTCTCCGCTTGGTCCCTAATAGCTTCTCTGACAACAGAGGATGTTTGCTCATATCCCATTTGCTTAATTTTCTGTAAGCAGTACTGCAATCAAGAATGTCAATACTTATTAAACATAAATTTATAAGAACCTGAATAAATTTATAAATTAATTCTCTCATATTCCAAATGCATGATTCTTCAATGTTTCAATGATCTGTAACTTAACAACAGAAGCTTCAAACAAGTTTTCAGGGATGATTACCTCAAGAGATGATGAACTTAATTCATCAGGAAGATGTCGAGGAGAAGACTTCAGCAGCTGAAAAATATCCAGGCCAAAAGTCCGAACCTTTGATATTAATGATTCTGCTTGCAGAATCTAGACAAAAAGAAAAAATTTGATGGTCAAAAACCCTCATCCATAAGAAAGGTTGCATATGTTCAGCATTATTCTCTTGCTCCTTTTGTTTTTTTCACTTTTTCAGCGAGTTGCTGCATTCATTATGAATCAACCTAAGAAGAGAGTGTTATATTTTTATTCATCAAGGAACAATACATGCAAGCAAAATGCCTCCTAGATAATCAATTCTAAGGTAATAATTTTTTGAAATTAGTAGGAAAGGAACATTAAAATGGAACAAAAGTATAAGTTAAGCGATGTTAACAGCAAGATAAATTGAAACTTTGCACTGATAACTGATTCAGTCAAGTCACCAATTTACACTGATACGATGATTAAAAAATGATTTAAAAAGGATACTTTAGCCTCCTTTAAGGGTTTGAACATAGGATAAGTTTATCAACAAATAAAGAAAGAGATCCCACTAGAAGTATGAATGATATATGTCAATAACAGAGGCTAACTTACAATCGCAATTTAATCTTCAAAGCCGCAATACCACAACAACTCAGGTATCTCAAAAACCTACACTATATTTGATGAGAATGACAAGCATAAAGACAACACTAATAAAATGACAACTGAAAAAAGTTGCATTTTACTTGAACAACTCCAAAAGATGATAGTCACTGTATATTAAATGCCTTGATTATTTGGAGACGACAGCTATTTTATAAAAATCATAACGATGATGATGTCCAAGCTTCAGTTGAATGCAAACAAAGCAATTTTCCTTTTAGCCTAAAACAAGGAACACAGATTTTCAAGAATTCATCTCATGATTATTCTCTGTTACATTGCAACTCCCAACACCATAATTGTTATCCTTACAAGGGTGAAACAGGTTGCCCACCATCTCAGCAGAATTTTATCCGACCCCTCTCCCACTCCATATCTCTCTTGTACACACTTACTGCTTAACCAAACCCCATACCAACACCAATCTCCGCATTTCACATCATTAGTTTCACCGTAAAATGGTGATCACTATAGCACAACCTCAAACTTTAAGCCACCCCTCTTGTTATAGATAGACTGACCACCATTAATACATTAGTCTCAGGCATCTAATAAAGCTGCCACGTCACAGATAAATTACAACCAAAACCTACTCTCAAATACCAGCATATTTATGTTTTCTATAGAGACTTAGAGACTAATTGAAAGCAGAAGACCTGAAAAAACTTGTGGATCAGAACATAATGAATTGCATACAAATTATTTAGTAACACTTCTGCAGAGGGAGTTTCAGGGGAGTGTAAGACAGGCTGTGCCACAAACAGCAATCTCAGCTCATGCAAAGTACAAATCAAAACATGCTGATTATAAATAAAGAAATTATATTAACAATTCTCATTAAGGTAAAATATATTGGTCAAACATGCATTGTCATAAGCAAGCTCAGGTTAGGTATTTCCCCCAAAATATAAAGCAGCTTAAATATGCTATTTAAAAGGCCTAATCACCAAAAAAAACACAACTGTAATCAAACCTCAAAGACTATTTTACCCTAATACCGAAAATTAGTTGCAATTATACACATTTGGTTAAACTTGTATCCATAATTTTTTGCGATTAAGAAGAGACTAATGGAGCTTTATGATAGAGTTGAGTTTGGAGATGAGTAGCCGAAAAAAAAAAAAAAAGAGATGTATAATAGTCTATTTTTCAGTATATTTTGTCCAAATGCATATAATTTCAACTAATTCTAGGGTAAAATAATATTAGTTAGGAGGTTCGGGTACAAGTACAATTTTCCAAAAAGTTTTGGGTTTTTTGTTTATTAGGCCTACATAAAATCATAAAAATATGGCTAGGCACTTACAAAATAAACTTTACTCGATAATGGTTGCCAGTTTACAAAGAGCTCCCTCAATTCATCAATAGATTTTCCCAATTCATCAAATGCCTTATTAAGCACTTCATCAGAAGCCATTTCAGAATCAACAATGGCATCAAGTATAGGCTTCAACAGCTTTAATATCTCTTCTGCCTTCTGGTAATACTTCTGAACCAGGTCTGAGCTTAAGTTTTCAGTGGACAATAAATGTAAAAAAGAGGAGATGCCATTAAGGAGTGCTTTCAACAATGATATTTCCATCACACCTGCATCATGGGAAAAATCACGAAGTGCACCAACAAAAAGAAAGAAATAGTAATAAATTAGCAAACACCATGAAGCTTCTTTAGACCTATAACACTGAAGGAAGCGTTAAGGCACAGATTCATGGTTATATAAGTGCGTGGAAGCAGATATCTAAATATTTACTTTACAGGCATCATATAGTTCAAGGTAATATAAAGTTAGCACGCTATCCCATTGCCCACTATCATTGTGTACTTTCATTGCACAGGTAACCTGATTCGATAACCACGACAATCCTGTCTCTCTTTATTATTCTCAACACTAAAAGTTTATATTCAATCATATGAATAGATAAATGAGGCATCAACACCATAAAAAGTATCAGGTGTTTCTTGCCAACCATCTTTTAAAGGAAATAGTCTAGATTACTAAAAGATATAGATGTTTCTTATTTCACGATATAACTGAAAAGAAAAGTTCCGTCAAAATTTATGATGCCTATACTCCTCTCTCCCATTTACCAAGTATAGTTTTTATTAAAAGAAAACACATCCACAAACTTTACACTTTCAACAGTACTGGTTGTGTTGATGGTACTGTCTCTTTTAGACATGCAGTGCATTATGGAAAAATAAATAAATAAGTGTTCCGCATGTTTGGCTGGAAGAAGGTAAGGTGAAGGGCAGATATTTAGATGATGGTAACTTGCAAGGAGCCAGTGGATTGAAAATATCAGTGCATAAAAGCCAACACTAAGATGTAGTAACATGCCCAGCCAAGTTAGATACTATTTAAGACATCAGTGGTTCGTGTTGTTATTATTCCACTAGTGTTTGCATCAAATTGTCAATAGTGATAAACAATAATTCACAAGCCCAAAAAGAAAAAGCTGTGTAATTTTCTATTTCCAACTAGCACAGCATACAAGTGTCGCAAAGCACAACACAGAAATAACCATCACACAAAAGAAGGAAAAGCAAAAGACCATAGAATAACAGCGACAAGCTAAGATTACATAACAGACAGTTTTCATATCAACAGGGATTCAATGTTAACAAAGACTACAGAACCTTAATTTCAATTAAATACCATAACCACACTAAAATACAGCACAAAATTCTATAAATACATAATCCTTTTTTCACTAGTCAAACTCTATCTCTATTGAATTTTAGACAATCCTGCTCTCTCTCACCACTACTATCAAAACTTATTAGGGAGAAAAATCACTTACAGACAAAGCAACTTTATTTGTTCACAGGAAAAAAAAAGGAAGAGATCACAGAATTAGGAAGAGCAGGAACGGTACCTTTTTCACAACAAACTTCTTACTTGAAATGCCAAAGTAATCTCTCACATTAATAATCGTCAATACTGTGGAAAACAAAGAAAAAACATTTCGAGAACCATGATAAACTTAAGAAATTCTTGGAATTGTTGCTTTCAGCCAGAAACTCCTGTACAAAAATAAATTTCCATATTATCTCTATCAGAAAAATACAACATCAAGTTGGACAGAAAATTAAATTCTATGCATTGATATAATTTTTCCAATATGAAACATTAGTAAGTAAACCTTCTTAGATAATTCTCAGTACAATTATTATGCCAAGTCTTTCCTAATGTCCTTTAAATAGTATTTAAGAAAGAAGATAAAAGGCAGTGTCCGTCATCTGAGTCTGCCAATAAAAACAAACATTTCCTGACTCATAGGTTTGAGCTCTAAGCGATAATAGCTCTAGACAGGACTATAACTGTGCAATGGTTGCCAGGAATATAACAAGTAACCATCTTGTTTTCTTTTTCCATTTCTGCTAATGATTTGTGTCATCAGAAAAAGGAAAAGACTTAGTTCGAAATTGATAGTTATGTTTCTCCATCATTTTCATTAGTTAAAATCATCTTAGGCATAGTCATCGACATCCAACTGATCTCATTGACCATGCCATTTCAATCTGCTCATAAATACTTAGCAGATAAAGAGGCTCAAAAGGACGGCGAACTCATGTGTATTTAAATCACATCTCTTATGGACCTCACAAATCTGTAGAAACAATTCAATTTCCAGTGTATATCAGGGAAAAGGAAATTTCCTGGTTTTTATTTTTTATCACCAGTAACCCCTAAACTTGACTTTTGTTACAAACGAAGTCCCCTTCAACTACTTGTGTTTGTTCCTTCTTCAAACCCGCTACCCCCACCCTTCCCTTTCAAAAACTAAATATAAATAAAAGACGGCATATAGGATATCTTCTGAGATTTCAAAACACAAACTCGAATTAATAGAATAGCTTTTCGAGCCACTAGCCATCATATGCTTCATAGGTAACATAAAATGAGTTGGTTTTAGTCAAGCCGAAGGACTCGAAAGATGGTATTTAATATTTTGCTCAACAAGATAAACATTCAATGTAAGAATATTTGCATAAGCTAAAGGTTATCAGGATAATGGACCTAGCCCATGCCAATCACAAGGGAAATAAACCCAGTAGAAGTAGACTATACCAAAAATCACAAGTTTTTAGTAACACAAATTACATAACAGTGAAAATAATCTCCCCCTATATCACATTGTAATTTAAAATCCTTCTTCATTGAATAAGTGTTTGGAGAGCCACAATAGCTAAAAGTCCTCCCTAAAAGCAAAGTGAATTCCACACCTAGTAATTCCTGCTTCCAATAGCATAATCTGAGTCCTGACTGAAGCGGACAGCAACTTTTTCCACAATTCCACAAATTTGGACATATATATTTATAATACTCATATACGAAACAATAAGCAAACCACCCTCCATAATCACTAACTAATTCAGTCAATAATTATTCAACTTTCACCTCCCCAACCAATTTGCAAACTAGCAGCCATTAGGTCAATGGCACCAAGAAGCAAAACCAAAGAGATATGAAGTCAATTAAGTCAAATCCCAGATAACTATCCTAAGAAACGTTTAAGAACTAAGATCAAGAAAGAGATTCAAACTTCTTCCAACATCAGAAATGTAAACAATAACCCACAGAACAACAACCAATTATCAAATACTAAAACCTTAAACTTATTCAATCACTTCAACAAACTATATAAATTAAAGAGGAAAAAAAAAAGACTTGTATAAATCTAAAACACAAAAGAAGAATCCTACGACCTTCAAATATTCAGTTCTGCAAAAAAAAGAAAATGCAAATGGTGGCTTTATAGTTTAAACTTCAAAACAGGCAAGCATGAACCTTAAAAGAAATGAAAGAAAAACAAACAAAAGTTACTGAATTCAGCCCCAAATACTTGATTTTGTAGGCAACTAAGAAATTAAGCTCAGAAAATGAGAAACCCTAGATGGATCAAATCACAAGAACAAGAAAAAATGAAAAAAGCATTACCTGTAGCGAATATAACTGATGAAACCAAATTATCAAAGAGAAAGTTTAGTTCTTTGAGGTTTTAGTATTTCAATTCTCATATGATAAGATCACAAAAAGATTTAGCTTATTCTTCTTCTCTTGAGCTAAAGCTGTGTTTTTTCCCTTTTTTTTTCTTTTTTTTTTTTTCAATCTTCTGCCCGTTTGTCATAGTCATTGCCTTTTCATTTTTTTATATTTGTTTTATTTTATTTCTTCGTCTATATTTGTTTGTTGGGGCTCTATTTAATTAATTATAAGGTGCATTTGGTTGGAAAGTGGGACATTCTCGTAATTTTGTATATATTTTATTATATGTTCGATTTTCTTTTTAACAAACTATAATATGGCAAGTGGGTTCTGTTTCTTCGTTGTTGACCATTTCATTCTTCAGTCTTTCTTTTTTTTTTTATTTTGATATTCTGTATTTTTAAAACATTTATATATTTATATAATCATCTCAAAAAAATTATATATTTGCTATAACACTTCGATATTTTCCAACTGAAATTTTAAATTTTTTGTATTGCTCCATTTGAAATACAGGTAAAATTACTATTAAGTCTCAATTTCTTTTATAACTTGGTCTCTTTTGGTAAATAAACAAATTAGTTTTTAAGTTTAGTTTTGTTAAATTATTTAATCGTCCATCCAAAAAAATTTCAATATTAATTAACAGACTAAATAGTAATTTAGTAGTAAACATGAGAGACGAAATAATATAATTATATTAAATAGTAATGACTGAATATAAAATTTTATAGAGCATTAATCTCTAAAATTATACTTTTTAAATTGAATGAATAAATAATTTAACGACCTTAAATCTGAAAGATTAATTAGTATATTTATTAAATAAAAACCTACAAATAATTTCTTATCCTTTCAAAAAATAAAACTCTTAAGCCAAACAAATATGAAGAGAAGAAAATGTAATTTCATATACTTTTTGGCTTTCAGAACTTTTGATCTATAAAAATAATACTATATGTAATTTATTTAGAGCATTATTTATCGATTAAGATTGACTTTAATATGGTTAATTTATTCATTAGGTAGCCGATAAAGAGGTTGGTTTTACTTTTACCAATTTTCTTTACCAAAAACTCATTTAAAAAAAAAAATTCTCACCATATTATATATGATTTTACATTATAAATTATCAATGCAAAAAGAATTTTTTTTTTAGGTATTAGTAACAAATTAATTCTATGGATATGAAAAAAAGAATTATAAAATTATTACTGAAGAACATAATTGATTTTCAAGCGGTACAATGAAAAGAAATATTTGTATAACTTTGTTAATTTTTCATTTTTAGTTATAATAAATATATAATTAAGTGAAATTATTGAGTTTTAGATATATATATGTTAAAAATTTTATATTTATTATATAAACAATATTCATTCACTTTTAAAGAATAGTATTGTTGTTAACGTTTTATTTTTGGTTAATGGCTCCGGAATCCTGTTTGACCAGAATTAGTATATTCTTCTAGTGTACGCTTAGCACCATGGAAATAATCAAATAATGACCGATTCCTTAGAATGGAATGGAATGTCAGCTTTGGATTTGTCGTAGAAACTTCCTAGGAAGAAACCAATGCATGTTTCATTTCTTTATTATTGTTATTTTGAGTAATTAACAAATTGCTATCACATTCTTATATTATTAATTTCTTTCTTTTAGAAACTCTCATTTTTATTGTTAAATGGAAAACTAAATAGAAATTCTTCTAGGATATAGATAAAAAAAGGAAAAAAAAAAAATATTTTTTATTAATATTCTTTTTTTTCTTTACTTGTTTGTATGATTTGATTGAATATATTTTTTTAAATAAATTTTTAAGTAATGGAAAACGAAATAGAAATTCTTTATGATATAGATAAAAAAAAGGAAAAAAAAAAATATTTTATAATATCTTTTTTTCACTTGTTTGTATGATTTGATTGAATATATTTTTTTAGAATAATTTTTAAATAAAATATATTATAATATTTTTTAGGAGGATGAAAAAAAGAAAAAAGAAAAAAATATATTATTTTTATTAACATTTTTTCTTTATGTTTGTAAATTTTGATTGGATATATTTTTTAAAGAGTAAGTTTTTAAATAAACTTACATAATTAAACCTTAGATGCAAATGGTTGAAATTTTTAATTTAAAAAATATATAATATTTTATTAATTTATTTATATATGTATGTACATTGAAATATTTTTTTGTTAGATGAGTTTTGAAAGAGTTTTATTTTTAATAATAATTTTTTATTATTTTTTTCATTATTGAATAATTTATAACTACTATCATTTTAATTTAGTAAGAGATTTATATCCCTTATAATAAGTAGATTCTATTGATGATTAAGCATTTTTAATTTTTCTGATATTTTTTTTCTCTTATATTCCAAATCTGTTTGATTCAAAAGCAAATAGTGTTAGAAAACTGGAAAAAAAAAAAAAAAACTAGAACTATATAGTTATATTTGGATCACTTTTTTGGGGTTTCAAGAATTTTTGTATATGCACATATATTCTTTTCTCAGATACATTAGGTAAATAATACTGTCATTGTAGTCAAAATTATTTCCATTATTAATTCTAATCATCCTCTCATTTTTTTTTTTTATTTAGCAGTAAAAATTAATTTATTATTATTTTTCATTATAGTTGTATGTAGATATTAGATTTGGATTGAGGGCAGGGGTTAGAGAATGTGTGATGACTTAATTTTCTTTTTGAGCACCTATTAGGATTTTAAAAATCTGCTAAGATTATTTCATTATATAAAAATAGAATTAAATATATAATAAGTAGTATTACAAGTAGCTTGTACGGCAAAGTGTAATACAAATTAACACCACTTGTATTTATTTTATCGTAAACAAAACTTATACTTAATATATATAAATTAAAAAAAAATGAGTATATAATAAGCACTATTAGAATTTTGAAGAAATCTGCTTAAGACCAACTTCATTATATAAAAATAGAATTAAATATAAATAAGTATTATACAAGTAGCTTGTACGGCAAAGGTTAATATAAAATTAACCTATAAATTAACCACTTGTATTTATTTTAATCTAAACAAAAATTATGCTTTAATATTATATAGATAAAAAAAAATGAGTATATAATGAGCATAGTCAACATACAAAAGACTAGTTATATTAAATGTGAAAGACCAAACAATCAAATATATGGAGTATTTAACGGTAAAAATAGTATTTTCTATACTGTATATTTGGATAGTCTAATAGGACCAAGTTTAGTAGTAATTTTACTAACTAGTTGTGATTTGAATAATACTCATATATCAAATAGTTAATTGACCTTATTATTTCAAAATAAATTTTAAGATCATTAGATAATTTAATTTTAGTATTTTTAATGTTTGATTTTAATACTATGTTGATGCTTCATAATTTTACATTTGAAACACCAAACATTGCTATTAATGAAATATATGGATGATAAAATCCTCATTTCCAAGGTCAAAATCATTTTATTTAATTAGTATTTTATATATAAAAGTAATAATAATAATTCCCTTTTGTTTGAGCTTTCAACAAATTTCTAAGGTAACATTATTCCATTGGATTTGTCTATAGCTCACGTAGTCTATATAAGAATCTCTCCATATTCACACATCGTCTCTTATTCTTACCTGTGTCACCCTAACAAAATTAGTGCATAGCTGGTGTGAGTTGCATAATCTACCTAGGATTTTTCCCAAATCAAGCGGTTAGAAGTTCACATTGTATGTAACAACTAGCTGGTAGGAAAAATTAAGCAAGTGTTTATCAAAAGCAACATGTAAAGTAGAAAGAAAACAAAGGAATACATTTCTGCAATTCCTTCTTTACATCCCTGTTTGATGAATAATTTGGTAAGGCCTTTGATTGTAGATTCAGTAGCTCCGCTTGCAAATTTACAGCATTTCGAGGCTATATATATATAAAAAAAGCTAACCGAATACAGTACATACAGCGTAAATCACGAAGCACGGACAACCACTGGGGGTTCACAATGGCTGTAGTTCTTGCTCAGGAACTGCTGTATTGACGGGTCTATATGCACTGAATGTTTGTTCTCTACACCTCCAAATAAACAATAATCCAGAAGCTGATAATCCAAGAATGAGAACGATAATAACGACTAAGCCTGCGAATAAATAATGTTGCTGCCACCATGTCCTGCATGATTACATAAAAGAGAGTAATATTTACTTGCAGAAACATAATAACTTCAGCCTATACCAGAATAACAATTAATGCATAAAAGTAAACATTAAACAATAAAAGAAAGGTAACGTAAAACTATAATAAGAAGAAGGATATGTGATGAAAGTTAAACAGAAGTCACTATGTTTATAACATGCCCAGCTGATTAATAAATTAAAGACACAAAAATAACTATTTAAATTTGAAAGTCATACTGAACTTGGGATTAATAGTTTCCCATAAAGTGACAAAAAAAGAGCCTACCGATTTGCTGGAGGCTCAATTTTCCAGTGAACCAACCGGTAACTTCCAAAGGTATCAGGAAGCTGAATGTGATGTTCAGCAACCCGGGAAATTATACTCTGCAGGTAGAACCAAAAAATAAGTAAACAGTTTCAATCTTCCATAAATTCACAGTCATGCTTCTACAAAAGCAAACTTACAAGAGCAGTAGCATTAGAAATGTGGTCAGCAGATCCTGAAGGGACTATGGTCCATCCAATGAGTGAATCATTTCCTTTAGAAGCGAGTTTCAGTAAATGGACCTGAAATTATCAAGTATGATTATTGTCGCCCCTGAAGGAAGGAACTCAGGCAGAAGTATGAAAAAAAAAAAAAATCATTTATCATAAGCAGCATTAATTACAAGACAGATTTTTAACTTCTTTTATCCTGGTCAAGAAGAAATTTTAGATTTCAATGAGCAAATGAGTAATTTGCACTAGTTTTATGCAAATGATGCAAAGGAACCTTCCAATATAAAATTTTTCTAACCTGGGAAGAATTAACACCTAACTGTTGAGCAATGAATCCAATAAGTTCTGTAGCATGAATCTTCAAATGTGAGTAGTTGGCTTTCAGTGACATTTCAAATGTTATTTGTCCAATTTGAAGTTCATCTGTCAATAAAAGTTAATGAGAAACCATTGTCCGAAAGCATCTCAAACAAGATGTGATAACAGACTAAAAGAGCAACATGACGTGTTGACAATGCTACAAATTGAGAATAACTTCAGTATCAAGTAGCTGGCTCTTGTCTCTTGTCTCAACAAAAAGACAAGATATATAAGTGCATGATTTGGACTTAGGGATCAAATTATTTCGAATGTTCCTTTACATCTCACAATTAGCCTACTTTCACTAGTATTTCTTTCCATTATCCCCTTATAGTTATTTTTAATCTGTAGTCCCTACTTTTTAATCTCTTTACTAGAGATATAGTTTGAATGAAGTCCACCAGTCAGATCTGGTGACAAAAAGAAAACAGAATGACTGACTTTGTCAAAGCCAAATCATAACAAAGAAAATAAAAGAAATTGGGAAAGCATCTGTGATTGATGAAGGTTTGATAACCAACCAAGTCATCACAAGAAAATAAATGTCATTTTTTCTCTGCAACCCAGTTGCCGAAACGTCTGCACTATAACTTTTTATTCAAGAAATCCATCATGAATGTCATATCACTGTAACTAGCATCTTACGCTATGTGGTATGGTGTCGACACAAAAAGGGTATGCTAACGTAGTGAGTTTAAATGACATATAAAACATAAGAATTGCACAAACCACAAGCGAACCAAACCTGGAAGAACATAATGCAGTTGGTCACTAGGAGCCAATGTAGGCGGTATTTCTACAGTTATGTTTGTGCCATTTGAATCTGAAGGTAATGGTGCTGCAGCACTAGTTATGTGGAGTCTTTCCCATAGCTCAGAACAATTGGTCTTCCAGAAACCCACCTTTGAATTTTCACGATCATACATCACAAGAGTATTGCGGACAATTATTCCTGTTATTGCATCCAAAATAAAATTATTATTAGTAAAATAAATTAGAAACAAATTTGGTAGTAAATGATAGAAATAATTAGAAAACATATCTATTGCCAAGGGAGCATAAACTGACTTAAATATCTTTAGAATACAACGCAAATAAAAGCTCATATATTGCATACCTCCTAGAAGAGTAGTTGGATCCTTCCCATTTGGGAATATCCCAAGACAGTATGCACCGGGGACTTTTGTATGCTTCATGAGAAAAAAAAAAAAAAAAAAAAAAAAAGGCCCCGACTCAGATCACACATGTCATCATACTTACGGCTCAGAATAGCGCCGGCCCAATCGTACTCCTTGAGATGAGCCAGATTTTCTAAACTCTTCAAGATAGAAGGGTTAAAACTCTCCTTCCTGTTGGACCACTCAATCCCATAAAAAATGAGCTTCCTCATTGAATAAAGCACAATATATTTACAGGAATTATACTTCAGGGCCTAATAGTTCCAAAAGGGTCTTGATATTGTATGAATTTACTGATTTCGTCCAATGTTTAAACTTTGATCAATATGAGCAAAAAAAAAAAAAAAAAAAAAAAAAAGAAGAACAGGCTTCATCAGTGCGTCACATCAAATACTGTCGTTGAAACCAAAAAACTCTCAATCCCATAAAAAATGAGCTTCCTCATTGATAAAGCACAAATATATTTACAGGAATATACTCAGGCCTAATAGTCCAAAAGGTCTTGATATTTGTATGAATTACTGATTTCGTCCAATTGTTTTAACTTTATCAATATGAGCATTCTACTTTCATGCAACACCTGATAGGATTGAGCTACAGCTGGTTGGCAGTTGATATGGCTTAGTAGAAGTTTATCTATTAACTAGATCCCACAGTAACACTCTAAACGCACCCCACTAGAAAAGGTCCATGTTGTATATGAAAAGAATGGAAAATCAGGTTAGATATCTTCAGGCCGGGCTCATGCCAATAGTTGGAATCTTTCTCAACTCGCCAACTATGTCAACATGCCAATTCAATTAAATACCACTTTAGGTCTGCTTCTCATTGTTGTTGTACTTATCGCTGATACAAAATGAGACCTTGAATATATTAAAGTCATTAAAGAATATTTCAAACATAGATGTGCATTTATGATAATACACACTCCAAGAAAATAAAATGTTTCAAACTGCATTGCAGTAACATCTAAAACATGCATTTTCAGAAATAACAGCCTCAATGCCAGAAAGTCACTGATAAAGTGTACAAATTGATAAAGTTCAAATAAAATTGAAAATTCATGTAAAGATCGGGATTTCTCTTATCTTCACGTGTCCCGCCTTTTTTGCTTCAAAAAAATGATAGAAAGATCAATACTCACACGGAATAGGTAATTTTCAGGTGATAGTGACCACTTTTGCCCATGTTCAAATATCATGTCAACCGTTGGAAATGCATTTGAAAGTTGGGAGACTTCACTGAGGACATTAAATCAATTTGACTTTTAATCACGCAATAACAATAAGAAACCCATCTATCTGTGGAATTCAATTCACACATTCTTTTCTTATTTAGATAATACCTTCCAGCACCAGAAAAGCAAATGTCATTATAATTTGGATCAGGACCACGGATCTGCTTTAACGAGTGAAGTTCCTTCATAATCTATACAAATTAAAAAGGAGAACCCATTAGATACAAATAAAAGAACAAATTGGTAAGCTGCACTAAGAAGAGGTGAAGACATGGACCAGCACTAGAATAAATTTCAAATTAGAACTGAGGAATGAAAGATCTTTTTTCATGGGAAAAGCAGAGAAGCACTAGAATGAATTTATACATTACCATACCATACACACAATCCACTTGAATGAACAAAACAGACAAATTACTGTCCTTGCTTTTCTCAGATGCATCATCCATGTCATAACATTCAAGCACTCACCCTATTCATTATCTTTCTCAGAATGCATTACTTCATAATTCATTAAACTAAAATTTAAATGAATGCTGTCTTAACATTTTCAGGAATTAATCAAACCATGCTATATTTAAGATTGTAATCTTAATTACATGAAGGCAACAATTATTTCTCAGGAACAAACTGGTGCAAAGAATAGGTTCCTTCAATTATTAATTGCAAAATGGAACAAATAGAAAATGATAAAGGATGTAAGCAAGGAAACTGAAGCTTACAGCGTCCTTAAATGCTTTAAATACTGCTTCTGGTAGGTAAGCATATGTTGTGCCACTATCCAGGATAGTACCATGTTTTCTATCAAATACACCAGGCTCAAGAGGCAACCGCTTCCCCGCAACATGTATCTCTCTCAAATCAATGTTATAGTATTGACTGTTGCCATCCCGAAACTAGAGTAAATGTATGAAAGGTACCAAATGTGCTTGTTAGGAAAGTTCAAGATGTATCACATCTGACAGAGAGAGAATTTTTAACAACACACCTGCGCACAGGATCTGAATAGGTAAAGACCATGCCGGAAGGTGGGGACAAACTACCAAGAACCATTGCACCCCCACCAATATTCATTCCGCCATAACACAATGAGAATGAGTCACTAATCACGCCTTTTTCAACAAGTTGATCGACAATACTGAGATCACCACTGCCCAATCCCATTATGCCATCGGCATGTTGACTGTAAAGGTCACCAGTTTCTACATTTTCACAACCAAAAACAGCACGCTGCGGTTCAAGTTCACTCTGATTGCCAAAGGATATAAAGTCCTCAGCAAGAACACCACTGCTAGTGCTCATTTCAGCATACCGTCTGTCATAAATGCACTGTTCCCTTTCATCATCACAGTTGCAATCAGGATTGCATTTTAGAGGCTGATAGGTGCTTGACAATTCTGGCTGAAATTTTGGATCCTTAGGAATAACAATAATACAAAAAACTTGATTGTAAGATTCAGTCAATTCTATAATGAAAATAGTTTGGACAAATAACAACATAGAAGTTGAACCACTCATTTTTCCTACTCTATTTCACCGCACTTAGTAGAAACCCCTAATCAATAGACTTCCAACTACATTAAACCGCAGCTCAGACTTCTACAAATTCACATGCCTTTTCGTTTACATATTGTTCCTTTTCTCAATCTTAATGAAAAATCTACAAACTGGGAATCTAACAAACAGAATTCATGAGACGCGGAATTCATGCGTAAATCATTCAAAAACAAGCATTGCACTACTTATGAAACAAAGTAATTAACACTTCCAGCAAAAATGCCAGATGCCAATTGAAGTTAGCAAATTCTGATCCTTTTCCGTTTCTTAATTTTTCATAATGTAATTCATGTGAAGTTCAAAAATATCACCAATAACTGGAAAAAAAAAAAAGAAAAAACATTTCGAACAAACCTGGTGGTTGCCACATTGCTCACAAGTAGAACAGGGTACGTATGTAACAGTGCTGCCAGTATCAACGATAAGCGCAAATCTCTGTGGTGGCGTCCCGATCCAGAGCCGCGTAGTGTAATACCTTTGGACAACAAATCCAAATTTACACATGCAGTTACGATCACGAAGAAAAAAAAATCACAGAAAAGGATCAAATCACAGAAAGAGAATAACCACACAATCAGTATATATCTAATGCGATACCCGTTGAGAAGAAGATCGTCGTAGAGTCTCATGCGAGCATTAGGACGAGCGCTGGCATTGGATCCCAGGAGATGGCGAGGTGGATTCGACAATTGTTTGGAAGAATTTGAAGGAGAAAGAAAGAGGGGCAATATCAAGGCTGGCGTGGCCCCGCCTAAGAGGACAGTGGTAGTAGAGTTGGCAGAGACATCGAGCACTATGGCGGCATCGAGTTGGAAGAAAAAGAAGTAGAAGAAGATGATGAGCTGAATCGGTGTCGATGCCATGAATGAATTGGGGGTGGCTCAGGCGAATCAGTAGAATGTATTTATTTAGATCAAGCAGGAATATGTAAGGAAAGGAAATAAATGGCGGTAACGTACCTGCGCACAGAGAAGGGGGGGAGGGAAGGAAAGCGAAAATGGAAGAATTGAATAGAAACTAACCGGTGAAAATGAGCTACCACAGTTTACGTTGGATTTTCGCTTTCAATGGCCGATAGGTTGATTACAAATTAATTTAAAACCTTCAGACCGACGTCGCTTTTACAAAACAATTAAATTACTAAAAACTCTTTTCCCAAATATTAGCTGAGGTCTCAGGTTCGACTCCCTCCTTTTGACGAAACGCAAAGGGCCCATGTGAAAATAGTCTTTTCCATCGCAGCTAGATAAGACTTTCTTACATAGTTAAGATTTTCATTTCGAACTAGAATTGCATTGTTAATAAACGCATTTTGGTCATATAAGCCTGACAGTAACATTAAACTACAATCAACAGCATCTCTAACGAGCTTTCTTACAAAATTGGCATTCAAGATTACATATATGGTTGATGTGAAGACCGCATTCCAGTAGTGCCCATATAATTGCTATAGTTAGAAGAAGCTGGATCATATGAACCAGCAGTAACCCTGTCATCCTGAGGATAGTAGTACATTCTTTGATCAGTAGCTGGCTGGCCATAAGCAGAGTGGCTAGCAGCTTGATAATCATAAGGATTTGGAGCTGCATGAGGATACCTCTCTGGCATTCCAGTATATGGTATCCTATCAGCAAAGACGGGTGGAGCTTGCCGCCCACCAGCAGTTCCAGGGGCAGCACCTCCACGGTATCTACGGTATCCTCCATTTGCTCTTGGCTTCTTTGACTGTTGATGTTTGCCAAAATCTGCACCCCTCTTTTTATCAGACTTTGATTTTACTAATTGGGCAACCCTTTTCTGAAGTGGATCAAGTGGGTATTCAGCTTCAAGCTTGTACTCTTCAACAGACCTTATGACAGCCTTGAGGGCTGCAAGTTCTTGTGCATTTACATCAACCTGCAAAGAGAAAGGAGCCAGTGAATAATTTGCTAATGGAATGTTTTTGCCCAACTCCTTTATACTGCAATGCAAGAGAAATGTACCTGTCCAGTAGCACCACCTGTGTTTGCACCCTTTCCTTGGGAGTTTCTCCTAGAATCCTTCAAGTATGTCTTTAGTAATGGAACAGGGGGGAAACTTTCAGTCAGCTGAAAGGCATGAATAAACCGCACAGCTTCAATTTGTTTCCCACTGTTAATCAATGTCTCAATAACACCTGCACAAAAAATAAATGTTCAGTAAACTCTACATTAAGTACATTTTGGATGTGAGTTATGCTGGACTGCAAGAGTCAATGAGCAATTAAATATACCACCAGTCTAAAGGAATCAAGTGTCCAATGCTCCAGTCTCCAGACTCAGGTCAGTTAATGAGAAGAACACCAACACTCAGGTCAGTTAATTAGAAGAACACCAACCTGGCATTTTGTGTGTTAGTCCAAGAGAACGGCAGAGCTCAGGTGCCTGCCTGCGGCGAGCAACTACAAGGACAAGCTTGCAGAGTTCTTCCTCATCAAACTCCGAAGCAATTCTAAAAGTTGAGAGAAGCTGCAAGAATGCGTCTGCTTCCAATGAATTTCCATTGGGAGCATCAGTGTCTGCACTAGCCAACTTAGGCTTCCACTCATCAGCAATTGCCTTGGCTTGCTGCTTTATTTCAGGGTTTAGAAGGTGAGCAGCACCTGGGTCAATTCTGGCCAATAAGGCAGCCATGGCTTCCATAAACATAATACAGGATTTGCGCATGCCCTGAAGGGCAGCATCCTTTTTATCCATTAGTTGGGTATTTTCAACAGGAGGATAAAATCCCTCTAGTGAATCCAGCACCAAACGGGCTGGTTCATTTGCACTTTCTAGTGCAACAGAAAGTTCCTCACGTATGGCATATAGATTTTTTTGATTCTCCATAGTAAAAGTCAGTAACCCTCTTGCATCCATCTGCTCGCAAAATTGCGTCAGCTCTGGACGTGACTTAATCTCAACAGCCGCGCTTTCAGCATTTTCACCCATTTTAGGAGGAGAGTCCTCCTCAAGGGAATTTGTGTCACCAAGAGAGCTGCTTACCTTGCTTTCCTTGTTGTCGGCACCATCAGTGGCCTCCAACATAGACGGCTGATGATTAGCTCGGGCCTCTGCGATGACAGCAGCAGCAGCATCCTTTAGTTCCTGCACTCGATCCAGGAAGTCTTGCTCTTTAGCAACGACCACTGCCTCTCTTTCTGCAAGTAATGCAAGAGTTTCAGCTTCTTTCTGCATGTATTCCTTCTCTCTAGCTTCTAACTCTTCAAATTTCCTCTTCAATGTTGTATCAAGGTTGCGAAAGTGTTCTTCAATTTCCATCCACTGAACCCTGTCCTCAGAAGCATCCTCGAGGGCTTCCAATTCATGTAATGCTCTTCCAAGCTGATTTATTAAAGAAGGTGCTGTATTGTTTTCCACATCTTGCTCTGAATTAGTCATGGCTATGCAAAGTGCCTGTGGAACAATTGATCAAGATTCATAAAGTCATAAGAGAAAACAAGTAAAAATAAGAAATAAAAGCTGAATTTACATCTTGATAAGAAGGCAACAAGTGACCATGCACAAAATAAACAATGCAAAGAGAAAACGCACCGAATCTACACTTCATTATTTTAGATTCGCAGGCATTCAAACACTGAGTGCCTGATGACTCATATGAATTTAAGTAACCATCAGTGATCCAACCCGAAGACAACAAACTCCATCACGTTAATTAGGAGAAAAAGTTTCAGAACAAAGAACTGCAACAATTATATTTTTTAATCACATAAATTTGATATAATTCTAAAAAAAAAAAAAAAAAAAAAAAATTTAAGTAACCTTCAGTGATCCAACCGAAGACAACAAACTATCACGTTAATTAGGGAGAAAAAGTTTCAGAACAAAGAACGTGCAACAATTATATTTTTTAATCACATAAATTTGATATAAATTCTAAAAAAAAAAAACAAAAAAAAAAAAAAGTCGCTTTTGAAAATATTTTTATGTTAAACTCTTGGTGATGCCAATATGCTTAGACAAGTCTTAACAAGAAATTGTTCCAATTTAAATTACAAGTTATTGTAATCACATCCTTATTGTTTGGAGACCAGAGGCCACCAAACTGGGCAATTCTGGCAATAGGAAGACAGGACGTAGTTAAAAAAAAAAAAAAAAAAAAAAAAAAAAAAAACCTTTAAAGCAAACCAATGAAAAAAAAAAAAAAAAAAAAAAAAAAAAACCTTTAAAGCAACCAATGAAACAGTCCAACATAAACAAATTCTTTGAACCTAAACAAGTAAAATGATATCCAAGCACAGATTTGGCTGCAAAAGTAAAGAATATAAATGCAAATCAGTGCAAATGAAATCTAACATGAACATTCTTATTGCATATCACCAAACCCACTAAATTCAGTATGAAAGTGTCAAGACTTAAAGGAAAATAATCAGAAGGGTGATGCAAGGAGATTTTAGTATATTAAATACAAATTATAAGTGTTCATTGAATTGTAAAAAGCTCCTTATCTTCTGTTAGGAAAAAGAAATTCCCAACCCTAATACACCCATAAAGAAAAAGAAGATAATACACCCAGAAAGATTCCCCCTGTAGTTCTATGACATCAAAAGTGTGTATTCTCTGTCTCAATGTTCAAACTTCAGAAATTATGTAATCCAAGCACCATTTCTTCTGGTGTATATTACTTTCTAAGCTGCCTAAGTATATTACGAAGGACTTATCCTCATTCAGCAACACCACTAAGCGTACAAAAGTTAAAGGTTCTCATCTCTTTTTCTTCCCCAAATTTCTAATTAAATGGCTCATTATACAATTTCTCCGCCACAAAGACACTTGCCTATATGCCAATAACAAACACATTTTTAAGATTCTTCTGTCCCTACTTTATTTCCATTTATTGGGTTCAATTCCAATACACATTCATTTTCATAATATTCCCCAGCTTTACAGTACTATGATCCAATTAGAAACATTTATCATCCAGAATAAAATCCATTCTGGAATTAATCTTCTCCAACAAAATTCCAAATGATGTTCTCAACCCACAACTTTTTCTTTTCTCCACAACCGTTCAGCTAAAACCATTTGTCTCATCCCATTTAAAATAAAAACAAGCCATAGCATCCGATTTTAAGAGGAGAGGAAAACAAAATCCTTAAACATGAACAAAATTTGCGATTTATGTGCAAATAAATGGACGATAAGAGAAGAGAGGGAAGAATGCGGTACCTTGACACGCACAATCAAACAAATAAAGAAAACCCTAGAAAAACACTAAATAATTGTCGTTTGTCGCTGAAGGGAAGCAAAGCAACGGGAACCGGCTGGAATCTCCCTTCTTTTAGCTCTCCGGACGCTGATAAAAAATAAAATTAGTGGATTTTTTTGGGTTTTTTTTATCTTCTTCCTTATGGAAATGTGCAGATACTAAAACTGCAATTATGGTTGTCGTTTTTCATGGACTATAAATGAAATATGAACCCTAACAGGCTCTGGGTCGGTTAATGGGTTGGAGGAGTTTAATTGGACAGAGCAAAGTACACAAGCCATTTAAATGAAAAATAAATAGTTGTTACTCGTACATGCAATCGGTATTGGGCTTTAGCCCATTTCGTTTGCTATTTTAAATTTCCATGAATGATTACTTCAAAAAAAACAAAAGACAAATAATAGAAAACTATTTTCCCGCCATTACATCCATTTATATGGGTTAGGTACTTCGGTGCCTAGCTAAATAACAGAATAACTTAGATTTGGTAAGCAAAATTCATCACCAAAATATTATTTCTCATGATTTTACTTGTTTTGATTTGTTCCGGATCAATTTTGAGATCTAACTTTGTTTTTTTAATTGAATTTGAGTTCTAACTTTATTTTCTTTAATTGAATCTGTGCACCAGTCACAAATTTTGCGACTTTAGAACCCATCAGTGTGACACTCGGTTAAAATTATAAAGTTGAGACTTTAGAACCCATCAGTGTGACACTCGGTTAAAATTATAAAGTTGAGAAGCATATTTACACATTTGCAGTAATAAATTGTCATTTAAATATTTTTACATGACAAATTAAAATTACGAGACGAATACATGCATTAGTAATTCCGATTGAAAATAAACTGAATTTTATTGCAATTTGATATTCAAATTTAATAGTCCATCTGATTTAACAATAACAGAGAAATAAGTAACTATTTACATGATCTACAAGTTAAGGACTAAAAACTAGTGAAAGAAATACTTGTTTGAATGCAGAGGTTGCATTCAAAGCTGCAAATGCACTGCTATTTTCTTGGATCAGCATTCATCCAGAATGTCTAAAGAAATCTAGTCAAGGTTTAGTTAAGAGGATAAATGAACAAAGACAAATGGATAAGTAATCTAATTTCAGTACATTGTTCAAAGCTGGCTCCTTGCCTAACAAAATAAATTTGAGTATAGCAACTACAACATCACTCCACTAAATTTCAAAAGCAAAATCAATTTTCAGGCTATGCTTTCTTCCAGCCATTGATACTGTAGACGAGTAAGTACGTAAGTTCTATGATTCAGAAACATTGTCCATAAAATTCAGAAATATAGAAAGTGAACTTTGTACACAGCCAATATCAGTATGCTTGAAGATTAAACTCTATGCTTGAAAAGCTCAGGTTTTTCTGCAACTATAATTGGACGTTCATTGAATGTAATGCTGTCTTGCTTTCAATAGACACTATACGTTTCCCCATAAAATTCAGAAATATAGAAAGTGAACTTTGTACACAGCCAATATCAGTATGCTTGAAGATTAAACTCTATGCTTGAAAAGCTCAGGTTTTTCTGCAACTATAATTGGACGTTCATTGAATGTAATGCTGTCTTGCTTTCAATAGACACTATACGTTTCAAACAAGTTGCAAAAGTAGTTCGGTTACTCAATTACTTCTACATTTTTAGATGTAGAACACCATGAAACAAAGGTAATCCCCATGGAAACAAGGTAAATTATGAACAGTACATATGCAGCGGTGAAGATGCATACCACCGTGGTAAAAATTACTCCATTCACTTCGCTGAAGAAAAAGTCAACTAAAAGGTAACCGTTGATTATTATCACCAGGGCAGCAACAAGCCATGATACCATCTGCAAGGCAAAAAAAGAAGTCGAGACGCAAATTATTTATTTGTAAAAAAAAAAAATGGTAAGTAAAAGAGAATGAGCAACAAGCAGAGCAATCCATCAAACAAATCTTTATGTACAAAACAGAGTTAAGTGGAAGATCCAACCTAACAAGAAGTTATCTATCTAAATCTAAAACATTTTTTTCCCTCTCCAAAGGAAAGGGTGAATGCTGATAAATTAACAGGCTCTACCTTCCACGAAGGTAAATAAACAAAGAATAATCAGAATGCCTAGAGTAGGTTTACAACTATATCCATTAGCGAATTATGGCTCCATATTTATTTTGGTTATGGTATTGTCTTCTTAGCCTCCTCAAAAGCATACAGGAGAGTACTTGTGGAAGCAATCAGGAAGAAATGTTGCCAAACCAGTTCAATGATGATGAACTGGCAATATCATGCATGTTGAATGCATTAATGAAGCATAAATCATTACTTTTTCTGGAGAAAACACTGACGATAGCAAAGCCACAACCAAGCACAACCTATGCAGAACATAAATCTTCACAAAGACAAACGAAAAAGCTTCTTCTGGGGACATTTATAACAGGTAATAAATCATTGCACCATAAGGCAGAAGTAACCAAATTTTTTGAAGTATAAAGTGGCATTTCAGATATAAATATTTTTACGGAAAAAGCAAAAGTCATTCCACTTTACAGCATGCCAGAAGACAATAAGTATATCACCACCCAACACGTCACATAAGACATTTGTTGATGTAAATAGTGGTACCGCAATATTGATTTCACGACAAAGGCATAGTTACTACTATGCGGAATGTTTTGCTTTCTGAAAAGCGTCAATCTCTAATAGTACTCAAAAAATATAGACAATAAGTTAATAGCCCATCCAACACATTATTTCTGGATTCGTAGTTCATTCCACATTTCAACTCTCAAGTCTCGAAGAAACAATGTATGGTTAGTTATAAGATACTTCAGAAATACTTGACAAATATGTGTATGTATATATACATATATGGGTTGGTTGACTTGATGAAGATACTATGAATGAGCTATAAAAGACTAGTTTCACTTCCCAATGATATGAGCTTTCAGCACACACCCACAAACACACACATCTCGCAATGATCATACCTTAAGAATAGGACCAATTCTGAAACTGCCCATGATTTGCTCCTTAGAGACCAAACAAAGAAGAGGGATAAGTGCAAAAGGAATCTGAATTGATTGAAGCACATTTAGCCACTCATTTAGAACATCCAATGTATCCTCAGAGGAATCAAAAGCAAGTGCAACAATCATAGTAGGGATGATTGCACAGCTTCGAGTGATCAATGCCCTGAGCCATTTTTTCAATCTCAAGTTCAGGAAACCTCCCATGATAAACTGCCCTGCATAAGTGCCAGTGATAGTGCTACTCTGACCAGCTGCTAATAAACCGATACCCCAAATGTATAAAATTGGGAAAATTCCACCCCCATACTTCTCTTGGAGGTATTGCCCTGCATTCACAAGGCCAATACTATTTGCCATTTCTGTACCATAAAAACCTTTAGCAAACACTGTTGTCACAAATAAATTGATAATGAATGATATTATAAGCGCAACAGTAGATTCTATGGAGTAGTATCTGAGAGCTTCTTGAACCCGGCCTTTCTTGGTGTGGTCAACATCCCTTGACTGTACAAGAGCAGAATGCAAGAATACATTGTGAGGCATGATAATGCAACCTACAACCCCAACAGCCTGTTGTATTGTTTTAGAGCTGAGTTTTGGAACTAAGATACCTGCAATACAAAATTCATTTGGCTACATATTATACGCAGTGCAACAGAATAGCTGATAAATTCACACACTCACACAGAGTTTTAAATTCAAATTTCTATTCAGGTGAAACATCACTCACCCATAAGAAGCTCCACCCCACTGGGTTTGGTTTCACCAAACATCCAAGCAAATGATATCGCCATCGTTGCAATTAGAACAGCAAACACTGCTTCCAATTTCCTCACACCATAGTTCTCAAGAAATAGGAAAATGAAACTGTATTGAGACAATCAACTGCATCAACATAATGAACTGAATATGTCTGTATAACAAGGTACAGTAAACTAAAAAAATAATGCACATAAAATAACTGTTTAGTTGCTTAGAAAACTAGGAAAAGAAGACTGCATTTGAAGTAAGAACACAGATTACAATCATTTGAAGGGAGGAAAAGATTTCTTCTCCCTGCTAAGCCTATTACAGTAATGGGCCATCAAAGATTCTTTTTATTGCAAATATTATCCTACCCACAGTTTTCTGGCAAACAACAAAAGTTATAATTCAGAGTGAAAGCTACAACGAGAATTAATCCGTTAATTTTGTTTTGAATTTGTTTATAATTTACCTAAGTTAAGTTTTTATACTCTCCAAGAAAAAAAAAATCATTTACATGCTTGATGAGGAATTTGAGTCTTCAACTTCAAAAGTCAAAACCAATTTCTTGAATATAAAAATCTAAATACCCAAAAGTAATACTGTTTGAAAGACAACGAAGGCTGAGAAATTAAATTCCCAAACATGGGACAAAAAACCGGCACACAGAGCCAAAGAGGCAAGGACCATGAGATTCAAAAGCTAGGAAACTTTTAATGATAAAGCCCACAATCGAAAAACAAAATCCCGAAAAGGGAAATCAAAATTTATAACCCCGAAACACTTGAAACTCAACAGAAAAATGTTGAAAATCAATGTAATCCACAACAATACAAACTGAAGCATAGAGAATTCGAAACTTACCAATCACAAGCTGTAATAATCACACCAGCCCACAAAGGCAAAACTCCATTAGTCAAAATTTTAAGAGCAATAGCACTTCCAATAACCTCCTGTATGTCAGCCCCTATTAAAGCCAACTCAGCCATAATCCACAGCACTATTCTAGCCCAAGCAGGATACTCCTCTCTACACAGCTCAGCCAAATGTCTTCCAGTAGCCACGCCAAGTCGAGCCGCCAGGAGCTGAACAAGAAGCCCCATAGCAGTTGCCCACAAGAGAAGCCAAAGTAACGAATACCCAGCAATCGCTCCAGCCTGAAGGTCCCCCTCCAAATTTCCGGGATCGAGGAAGGCGATGGACATTAGGAATCCAGGACCAGTGAAGAGCCAAAGCTTTCTCCATGAAAATGGCGGAGCCTTGTCGGCATAGGCGTCGGAATCGACTCCGATTATGTGAACTTTCTCATCGGAATCATAGGCGGTTTCTTCTTTCTCTTCTTGTTCATCATCTTCTGGGTTGCGTAACAATGGCTGCTGTTGATTATCTTGCGCTATCATGGTTTGTTTATAATTAAAGTCTATTAGCCCGAGAAAGAGAACGATGGATAGGCTTTGGAGCTTTGGATTTATGTTGCTTCTGATCCTTCTTTAATCTTTCATTCTTGAAGTAAATGTATAATTGCTTCGACAGCGAAGGGAAACTACCTGTCGTCACCTTCACTTCTTTTAGCTCGCTTTTCTTCCATTTGTACATTCAAGCTTCGAATTGGAAACTAACTCCAATTAAAAAGTGCCACGTGGAAAGCATCATTGGTTAATTGCTAACGTTTTTGTGGTATTTATGTCATTTGACAGCAAGGGAATAAGGAGCAGCAGACTAGCCGCCCTTTCCTGTCCTGAGTGGTATGCTTCGTGAGGAATCAAGCTTCTTGCACGCCGCATTCAAATTTGGAAAAAAGCTGAATTTACCCCTGGAATTGGCAGAAATAGACAATTTATCTAAAAACTAAACTTTTTGTATAATTTAATTTCTCAACTTACATTAAATAAATAAGAAAATTTTGATTTTTTATCAACATTTTTTTATGTAAATCAAATAGATTAAACCAAATATAATCAAATAAATAACTAATAAATATTTTTCAAATCAATTTTCAGAATTCCAATTTCACCATTTCAAATCTTTCTAATTAATCTCAACGCATCGTCCAAGAATTCCAGAGGACCCACCTAGAGGAAAGGATAATTATAAGTTAATTGTGTTGTGCCACATGTTGAGATACAGCATCCACGCAAGAACATCTTTGATCCGATGTGGCAAAATGACGTGGCTTTAACAGTCATGTACAGGCAGTTGCTACCGGTAAGGGACAAGGAGGAAAGTGCGAGGAAGGGCATGTTAGATGTTGCCATGTGTACGGCGTGTAGGTCCAAAAGCGTGCGAGATTACGTTTTTGTTGTGTTTGGCTCGTGAGTGCAATGGTTGCTGCGTGCCGCTAGAGCCTTGTCGATGCGTTCTATATTTGGCGCTTCTTTTTTTTTTTTTTTTTTTTTTTTTACTGTGGCAATAAATGACGTGGCTTTAAACCAGTCATTGTACAGGCAGTTCGCTACCGGTAAGGGACAAGGAGGAAAGTGCAGAGGGAGAGGGCTATTGTTAGATGTTGCCATATGTGTACGGCGTGGTAAAGGGGTTCCAATAAAAGCGTGCGAGTATTACGTTTTTGTTGTTTTGGCTCGTGAGTTGCAATGGTTGCTGGACGTGCCCGCTTAGAGGGCCTCTGTCGATGCGTTCTATATTTTGGCGCTTCTTTTTTTTTTTTTTTTTTTTTTTTTTGGTTTTGCGCGTTTATTGATGGTTTTATTCAATCTGAATGTTGGACGTATGCCCAGAACGGGCTTGTGAGCACGTGCGCCCGTGTGAGGGGTAGTTATAAGTTACTTTTTTTTTTTTTTTTTTTTTTTTTGGTTTTTGGCGCTGTTATTGATGGTTTATTCAATCTGAATGTTTGGACGTATGCAGAAGGGGCTGTGAGCACGTGCGGCCGTGAGGGTAGTTATAAGTTACTATGTGAGTGTAAGGCCTCACGCTTGGTTTAAGGTGCTGTTTGGTCGAAAGTACACTTTTAGGAAATTACATTTCCTCTTTTTTTAGTAGCAGGGTAACTGGGTAATTAGCTTCGATTTAAATCAATTATATTGCACATATATTCATTGCTAGATTATGCATTAGTGTGTAAATGTCATTTTCTTAAATTAAATAAGATAATGCAAACTAATAAAGTAAGGGTGAACGAATTGCGTTAAATATAAAGAATTGATTTCAACCGATTTGATTTGATTATTTAGATATTTTATGCATACACAAAATGACAATAAATTTAAGTTCAAATCACATTTTTCAATACTAAAAAAAAGTCTTATTATTTAGAGTCAATCTCGATTTCAATATTTAAAATTAAAAACCAACTAAAACGATAAAAATTGATTGGTTTTCAACCATATAGACCGAAAACACAAGAAAAAAAATCAAAATTGGTCAAAATCATGTTGGAACGAGAAATGCAACTAAGACCAACGTAATATAAGTCGGTCTAATTTCTAATTTTGAACAATCCAAATTGAGAATTCTAAAACTGAAACTAATGTTCCTAAAGTTAGTGGTGCTTAAAAAGAGAAAATCATAGGAAAATAGTAGATTGCGCACGGGGGTATGATTAAATTAAGTCAAACTGATACATTATAAACTCGATTAGAACACTTAAAACTCAAAACTTAATTTGAACACTTAAAATTTGAATTAGTTTGAATCTTTAACTCTATGGTCATGAGAGAGCCGAGAGGTGCGTAGAAAGAAATATTAAATCGATTCTTTAATACGTCGCCGTCACGGCAGCTTACGATTCCTTTATCTCCGATGTTATTATGTTGGTGACCCAAAAAAGAATGGCTGATTGCTGTTCTGCCAAAAAGAATGGCATAAAAGTAAAGGCGCACATGGTGGTGGTGCGAACAGTGACACGAAATCCAAGTTGTTCTCTCTTCTTCTAGCCACCAACTTCTCTCCTTTATGTCGACATAATGAATATATGTATTCTTGTATTCGTATGCCAAAAAATCAAATACAACTTGTATTTATTTACGACCCAAAAATTATCACTTCGCAGTCGGCATCTCCTTAATGGGTGAGTTGAAAAATAATTTTAACATATTTTAATTTAAAAAAATTACTAGATAATAATAAAGTGTTGGTTGGAATAATAAATAAATTCAATTTCGGTGAAAGCGAATACAAATTTAATTTTTGACAAATTTATCTTTTTTTACTTGAAGGGAATTACACCTTACCTCCTGAATATATATATAAAAAAATAACAATTTTTACGAATGTTAATGATGACAAAATGATATTAGGACAAGAAAAAGAAAAGGCAACATGATGCCATCATGTCAAAAGATCTTGCAATTCTCTCATGCGGACTCATCTCTATGACTCTTATCTTAAGTATCAGCATCGTTCTATATATTTTAGTAGTAAAAATTGGTCAATAGATAAGTAACCAAATTCTCTGAGTGTCTCATAGCACAGACTTTAATTACTACGTCCTGAATGTTTTGTAATAATAAAGTTTTTAGGACCACAAGTGTCCTGTCTCTTTCTCATTATTTACTGTTCAATGGAAGCAATAAAACCCCCTTCACTTCAATTTCATAGTTATATTATTTTCCCAACATAAGTTGCATTATTGCATTCTTGGGATTTTAACTACTAATCATGTTAAATGTTAGCTAGACTACAATTGCAACCTCATCCAATCTTTTTAATCATTTATCCCTATTCAAAAATCAATACTTAAAACAAAAAAAAAAAAAGAAAATATCCAAAAAAAATACCAAGAAAGCTCTTTAAAAGTCGAATAGAGCTATGACCGATAAGAGCAGTACGAACCATGAATATGGAGGTGAAAATGACGAGCATAAAAATAGCAGTGATGGCTATTCATAAACACAGTCTAACGATGCCGGTGCTCATTGATCAGCTACTCTCCTTTGCATAAATGTCCATAGAATTTATTAATTCTATGAAGCAAAGAGCTTTCGTACTTTGCTAATGAATCTCCGGCAAATAGGACAAACCTTATTTTCCCCGCTAAAAATTGTCTTAGCACAAATGTAGCAAGTAGCACAATGACCACACGGAACAAAGAAACAATTTCGTTCCTCATCATAGCATATTATACATATTTTTCCGTCGTACAATTCCGTTGAGGAATTATTACTGCTGCTACTACCACTGCCATTTCCAGGCTCAAAATCTCTATCGCATGTTCCATACCTAAACGTCATTGCCTTTTCCGGTAGTAAAGGGTTAGTATCATCTCCAATATCCATAATATATTTCATAATTAGGAAAATTACAAGCACCATCAAAGCTGCATAATTGAAATAAATAAGTTAAATTAAAGAAAAATTAATTTCTATTCTGAAATTGAGCAGGTAATTACTAATGATCACCTAAAATTCCAACATAAGCAGAGAAACGAGCGAAAAAAGTAAATGCTGCACACCACTCATCCTGAAATATACCAAAATGAAAATCGAGATTTTAATTATCAATTAATTAATTTGTATATGATAAGTTCTATATCACGTTTCTTGAACGTTAAAACAAATAACAACAAGAAGAGGTAAAATACTCACTGGATTTGTAGTGGGTAAATCTTGCATAGTGCACATTGTTGCTGCTTTGTCCCCTCAACGTCTTCTTGGTATTGTTTTCTTATATCTGGAAAGTAAAAAATGAATATAAATAGAGAGTGTGAGAGGAAGAAACTATTTGAGCAATTAATTACCTAAATCAGTCAAATCATTTACTTTCCAATAAATAAATAAAGACAAATTACCTCTGGAGCCCCTGAAATGAATCTTGCAGGCTCAACTCCATCTTCTTCCATGACTAGACACTCACAGGCATCTCAAGAGGAAATGACAATGCCATTGTTAATAGTTACTAATATTCATTCAAGAAAACGAAAATTACAGGCACAAAATAAACACAAGAATTGCAATTTTGGAAGCATATATAGCGAGAGACCTCTTGTCATAGTAAAGGAAAGGTAGGTGTTAGTCTCTCTTTAGGACTGTACTCATCAACTACTCTGTTTTGATGATTTGGTTGGGAAAGAGACAGGATTTTGTAATTTGAATGTTGGGTTGGCTACTTGAATGTATTACAGGATAAGTTGGTGGGCTCAATTCATTTTTGTATTAATTAATTGTAGGACCTTTTTGTCTTTTTATGTACTTATTGTTGGCCATTGGAAAATGTTGACTTTACAAAATTAAGTATGATGTCTGATATCAAACTATGTGGTTTCGTGCAATAGAAAGTTGGATTTGGTTCAAGAATTATAGGTGGAATGTTAGGTGGATTATAGTAAGTTTTAAGTATTATTTTATTTGAAATCTGGCTAAGGACTCCAATGCAAAATAGAATGGTAGTTGGGAGTTGGGATTGCAAAGCAAAGAACAACTAACATATCAACCAAAAAAAAAAAGAAAAAAGGATTGATATCCCTAAGAATAGGTTATGGTGGTTTTTTGCATTTTAAGTCCGGGATATTAAATATTTTTATTAGTGGGATAATTATATTTTTGGTGTTTGAATTTTTATATTTTTATAATTTAGGTATTTGAATGAAAAAAAATATTATAATTGAGCACCTGAATTGATTAAAAATTTGCAATATACTATTACTTCTACTCCATAATATTTATCACATTTGAAAAAATAGTTTGTTCTAAAATCCTTGTTACCGTCACGACCCGTTTCCGTGGGCCGGATTGACACTAGGGCCCAGGTAAACTTAAGGCCCTCGAGGCCCGTAGTAAGCCTGAAACACTAAAAATTTACTATCTCAATATAATTTTAAACATTTAACCCATATTTATCAGTTACAATATTCCACAGTAATACTATTACTTCTACTCCCATAATATATATCACATTTTGAAAAAATAGTTTTGTTCAAAATCCTTCGTTTACCGTTCAACGACCCGTTTCCGTGGGCCGGATTGACACTAGGCGGGGGGGCGGCGGGGAGGGCCCCAAAAGGGTTAAACTTTTTAAGGGGGGGCCCTCGAGGCCGTAGTAAGCCTGAAACACTAAAAATTAAACTATCTCAACTCAATATAATTTTAAACATTTAACCCATATTTATCAGTTACAATATTCCACAGATCGGGCCCAATTAACATTACATCACATTTTTAATATGGCTCACATAATTATATCATCTATGTTAATACCTGACTAATTATTCACAAATTCTACAACTGCGGAGTCACTAACTATTTGATATACATAGCTTTTTATACATATAGTTACATAACAAAATAATTCTGGAACTAGGAAAATTTCTCTACTGCCCTGTGCCGAAGAAATATAGCCTAAATCGAATTAAAGAAAAACTTACTTCCTGAAAAAAAAAAAAAATCAAACAAGACATGTGAGTTTTCTAAGGAGTAATAATTTTTGCACCACACACGCGGTCACACAAATGTGTAAACATATTAATCTAGTCGTCCGACTAGTTATATGCTCACGCAACCAGTCACACAAATGGGAAATCACCAGCACTCACAATCATTAACATTTTCATATAATCACATCATGTGGAAATTGATCTGTGGCATCACCGAAACCCCCGATGAGCCGTCCTCCCACATACCCATCCTCTCATATCGTGTGCACCAGGGAGCCAATCCCCCATACTGGCCGACCGGTCTAATCCTCACTTGACCAGCTTTCTCATTGTTTTTCCATTCTCTCTTTTCTTTTCCATACCAACAGGAGGCAACCCGGTCGTCTCCATCAAATCTAGATCATCAGGCGCTCACAACACTCATTCCTCTCATTTATCGTTTTTGCTACCAGTGAGCCATATCTCCTCCTATTACTGGGTTTTTTTCTCGATTCCTTGGGTTTTTCTAATCCTCACTTACCAGCTTTCTTCTATTTGTTTTTCCATTTCATTCTTTTCTTTTCTTTTTCCTATTACCTATACAGTGAGGGCAACTTTTTTCCGGTCGTTCTCTTCCTATTCAATCTTAGTATCATTCTAGGCTCGCTTCATTCAACATGTTGAGGGTCCATCTCCTTTGCGTTGGCTGTCGATTCATTAATCTTTAGATTATTCTCATGTGTCGTCTTCTTCTCAATTAATAGAATGCTCAACCTTTATTGGTTATACTTTTTTAGTTAGCTTTTTTTTGGTTAATCTGGTTTAGTGTTGCACTACTCGGGTTTTTTTTTTGTTTTTTTTGGCGTTTTCCGTATCTTTTCCTTTCATTTTACCGGCTCGACGGTGTCCTTTGTTTTCTATAATTCTTCATTTAATCATGGATGCGCGATCGCTTTTATTCGGACCGTTTTCATTCAAACCCATTTGGTGTATTTCCCCACTTTCATTCCCAATTCCACTACTAATATCAAAGCATCTAGCATATATCTTACAACAACATTATTAATCAAACATTTGCAATCAAATGCAACTAATTATTTTAATCAACTTTTTAGAACATTCTCATAAATTCAATGCATATATAAATTAAATTTAATACATAATAGTTTATTTATACAATATAACAACAAATATATAAAATTAAAATAATCTTTAATTATATTAACATTTAATAATAATTAATGAAAATTATATATAAATAAATATGTTATAATATTTTTAATATATTGTATATAATATAAGATAAATATAATAATTAGAGCACTTATTATTTTTTTATGTACCAAGTTTATTAGATTACTCTAATTCCTTATATTATTTAAACTATTTATATTATGTTGTTAATTAAAATTTAGTCTAAGTTTTCTATCAATATTTTCTGCTCAAGAACATCTCACTTTAAATATTTTTCTCATGTTATCTATTTCTTTATCCTGTTTAATTATCTACTCTATTATTTATATATATTTCAATTCAATACTACAAGTATCTTACCATCTCTATTTCGTTGGCAATCATTCAATTAACTTTTTCTCCTTTATCCTCCTTTTTCAAATTTACTAACCATGTCGGATATTTCACTCAATTTTAATTACAATTTATAATAACCTTCCAACATTGTTTCCAATTGATATTGTTATAATTGTCCTTCTATAATCTATATTTATTCGTAATAAATTTGTTTACATTCTTTATAAATTATCAACTTGTCATCTGAATATAATTTAAATTCAACTTTATTTCGCGTTTTTGATTATGTTACTTAGTCTCTTCTATCTCTTATTTATTTAAATCTCCTCCGTTCGATGCTCATTTTACTTTTCATCTAATCCTTTGATCTTAATGGTTTTTAAATCCACATTATTTTATTATCTCTTTAGTTAATTATATTTCTTAACACCTATTCTAATGATATCTATATGCTAACCTAAATAATAAATTCAATTTAATGTTTTATTGTCATCCCAATTTCTATAGTTTCATATTTTTTTCTTTGTCAATCACATTCATTAATACTCTTATCAACTAACTTTTGTCATAATACTGTAATCATGATTATTATTATTATAGCATTAATATTTAAACCTATTTAGCAAAAACTCATATTATAATTCTTACCAACTGCCCTGCTCTAAGCTAATTAGATAATCATGTATTTCTGTATTATATAGCTTGTACATTTATACAGGCCAATTGGATACTCCTTTTCTCAACTCATAGATAACCTTAATTGATTTAATATTCTCCTTATATATTCATATATCAAATGCAATAACTTAACTAATGGTAGATTGATGTACCTGCCATATCTAAATTTTGTTCTATTTACACCTTAAGTGAAATATACTGTATATTTAACTCAAATTCATTTTTTATCATTCTCTTGTTTCTTTATAACCTTTGAATTCCAATCTTTATTAAATTTATTCTTATTTTTATTGTCTTATATTTATTTATTTCAGTTAGATTTTTGATCTATAACTTAAATTTAGTTTGTAAGAATCTATCTTCTTCCTTAATAAAAATTGGTTATGTATACAGTAGTAGCTAGGGATTTTTAGTTCTATCACACTCTAATTTTAATTCATTGAATCAAATTTCCTTCATCATTTCTGTTTTAGCAATAGATATACTTTTCTTTATAATTTCTTATACTGTAAGGAAGTGTTAAAATAATTTGGTTGTTTTTTACCTAGTTTAGGATATAATAGTGGCCTCGCTTGCTAGTTTCTTGTCTGAAAGGAATTGTTATGTTATTGTGGATCGAAGGATAATGTGTTACGCTACTGTCCTGCCTCGTTGTGAATCGTCAATCCGCAGTTTCCTTGCGTTTTCCGCTTTTATGCCATGCAGTTTTTAATTTTTTTTGTGTGTAACTCGGCTTTAATTGTGAGTGAAGAGTTTTGATTATAGTCTGCTCGTGTCCGTTGTTCAGACCGCTTGGAACTCGTCCGGAATGAGTCCGAGGTTGAGTGTTTGTTTTTTTTTTTTATTACTGCGACGCTTTTTTTGTGGTTTTCGATCGAGGGCAATGGTCTGCTAGCTCTCCTGTCGTACTGTTTGCTTTCTCTTAGTTATTATACGAATACGGAGAGAGGGTGGAAGGGGATTTTTTTTGGCCGGAGTCTGCTTTTTTGTCTTGCTGGCAAGAATTTCGACGTGGCGAGGAGGCGCGGGCTGTGCTGTTTCTCTGGTCATCGTAAATACGATGAGAAGATATAGATTGTCGGTTTGGTTTGAGTGGTCGACGTCTTGGAGGTTAAGTGAGAAGAAAGGGATAAGATAAAAAATATATGAGAAGAAAGAGAAAGTTGGGGTTTGCTAGCCATTTTTAATATTCTAGGCCATTCCGTTTCGATTCATACCGGTTTGGTTCTAATTTGATGTCTTATTTGTTGCTTGTATTTTGTGGTGTCTTGATTCTCGGATTTTTTGTCAACTTGGGTTCTCAAGTGGTGATTTATTTCTGTGTGTTGGTTTTCGTAAATATTTAATGTGTTGATTTTCCGGTTCGGGTTCGATTTATTTTTAATTTAATTTAGTTTGTGTTCCATTATATTTTCTCTCTATTTTATCTCCAATATTAATAATAAGGTAAATTATTTAATAGAAGACAATATGTGTGGTTTTTTGGGATTAATTAATTATTTTTATATATATATATATACAAATAGATTTATATGCTGGACTTGGTCATTTTAATTACTCGAAAATGTTTGTGAACTGTGTCTCAATACCGAATAATTTCGATAATTTACGAACTATTTCGGGCTTTAGGCCCTAATTCTCATAAAATTTGGTGCTCGAATTGGTGGACTGTGTTACTTAATGTGCAGCCCACGCTGGCCAAATTTTGCGATTTTTTTTGATTAATAAAAATTGTGAAAAGTTTTGTATAATATAATGTTTTATTCTAGTTTGTGTTTGTTTCAGTTTACATTTGTTGTTTCTAATTTGGTTGTAATAAAATTTTTATTTTATTATGTTTACACTAATTATAGAAAATTCAATAATTAATTACTTCATTTTAAAATGGTATTCTTTAGAGAATTAAATATTAACATTGAAAGGTAATAATAGTCAATTTACTCAATAATTTATTGTAAAATAGAAAAATGGGTAATATGAGACCAGTTAATTTATTGTCGTTTTCGGGGAAGGATAGGGAAAGGAGTGTGCGGGCTCATAATAGATTTCACCGTCTGTGGATGGAAGTCAGTAGTGTCATTGTATTGGTTGTTTTTTTTTGTTTTTGAAGATTGTGGGAGGGGGGGGAGTTACATGTCAGCCTTTTTGAAAGTTTTATATTTTTACATCATGGCTCAGTTTGGACTTCTTAAATGTGCTAAATTATTATTCATTGGTGATAGTAGTGTTTTAGACTCAGTTTGTGCCTGTTGTTAGTTAAAGGGGTAGACATGTGCAACTCTCTATTATATTTTGTGTTTTTTAATATGTTAGTTTTTCATTCTCTATTTCAGTGTTTTATATGTTAGTGTTTCATTTGTTATTAATTTTCTATATTTTCCTACTAGATATGATTTCTCTTTTTTTTAGTACTGTTAATAATTATTTTTTCTTACCGTTTTTCAACACCTCATTATTTTTTTGTTACTGATTCTTTCTGCTTTTTTTTGTATGTCACATTGTTTTCTATATTCTTTCTTTCTTTCTTTTCTTTTCTTATTGTTCTTCTCATTTTATTTGGTGTGTTATTATCATGTATTTCGTTTTTTTTATTAAAAAAATAAATGTATATGTTTGATATTTTTTATTGATTGCTGTTTAGTTTGAGAATTATCTCTTTATTAATTTTTTAATATATAATCTCATGTATATTAATGTAGAGTTTAAAAATAAGGACTCTTGATCGTTTAGATTAATATATGATTTACTAATATTATATATATATATTATTATATTATATATTTATTATATATTTTTATATTTTTATTATTTTTTATATATATTATTATTTATATATAATTAATATAATATATCATATGTATTATTTCTCGTATTTTATTCCATTTTGTTTTTTGTCGTAGTTGCCGATTCGTCTATTGTCGTGGTGTTTAAATTTTATAATAAGTCTGTTATAGAGATTTTGCTTTTTACAGATTTCTGTGTGTTTCTATTTGTTTTTTCTCTTTTTTATTTATTATTTTTTTCATATTTTAATTATTTTTTCGATTTTCCTTTTTTTTATATATATATACTATGTATATCGTATTTACCATTGTTTTTGTCGTAGTTGCCGATCGTCATTGTCGTGGTTAAATTTAATAAGCTGTATAGAGATTTGCTTTTACAGATTTCGTGTTTCATTGTATTTTCTCTTTTTATTATTATTTTTTTCAATATTTATTTTTTTCGATTTTCCTTTTTTCCAGTGTTTCCTCCCTCTTTTTCAATATTTCTTTTTTTTAAGTATTTCCAGCGATTTTTTTTAGTGTTTCTCGTTCTCTTGCAAAGTTAGTTTTAGTACTATTGAATTTTTTTTGACCGAATTTTTTATTATCTAATAAGTATTCTTTTATGATAATAATTTAAAAGTGGAACCTTTAACTTAAAAATCCATTTTTTCTATTATTGGAAAAGTGGGTTTATCTTCCTGTTTCGGCCCATAAAAGGTTCAATGGGCTTCAATTTTTCTCCACTGCCTTCTTTTCTAATTGTGGGCCTCTTGCATCTCTTAATCCAATAAGAGAGAACTTTGTTTCTCTGTGAAAAAGAAAGTGAAAATCTACCGTGCAGACTTTTTAAAGTGTGAACACACTGTTATTTTTGTTGAATCCTTCTGAAATTGGGATTTGACTAAAGAAGTAAGGTCCACAATTCCAACAAATGGCAATTGTCTTACTCTACACATAATTATTTTTCCAAACCGTAACCGTTAGAATTTCAGACACCATAGTCAGGCAGACCCACACAGATAAAATCCAAAAAATAACTGTTGTAGGTTAACCACCAGATTTTCATTAATCAAATTTGGAAACTAATTAACTTCACCTCACATGTGTTATGCTCATTCGAACTGGCTTTTTGGCTTCCTAGTATAATCATCAAAAGCTGTGCTCTGCCATTCTTAATTCTCCAGTTGTACAATTTAGTTTCAGTCCATTCACATTTATATCAATTTGACAGTATAAATTTAGAGTTGACTTTTCATAACGACCAAAATTCAATTTTCAAATTATATTAAAATACAAATTTAATTTATAGAATCAGGAGAAATAATTTCCTTTCAAACTATAGAGCATAAAGGAGTTAATAACACTTTTAGAGTTGGTGGCATTTTTAGATTTTACAACTTTAATTGTGATAGCATTTTAGATTTTAATTGTTAGATAGTGTAGGTTTATCTATATCTACATATATAGAGGTTATTATTATTATTATTATTACTATTATTATTATTATCAAGGATAAAATTATTTAATTATATTTTCAAAAATACCTTTAACAAAAATCAACTTAAGATTAACAAAATTAATTAAAACTTAATGGTTGATGCACACTTGTAATTTGGGAATCTTTTTTTCTTGTAGCTTTGAATAGGATGAAAATGGGAAGTCTACCATATTACATAGAGCCCAAAAGGAGTCCATAGAAGACCTATTTGCTTATGTGTTGTTGTCCAAAAGAAAGGTATAGAATATAAGTTATAAGAAAGGTAGAGAAGAGAAGTTGTTTAGGGAGAAAAGAGATGGGGAGATCAAAAATAATACTTAAGAAAATTGAGAATCCGACTTACAGGCATATTACTTTTGCTAAAAGAAAAAGTGGAATTATCAAGAAAGCCTACGAACTTTCTACTTTATGTGATATTGAAATTGCTCTTATTGTCTTTTCTCCTGCTGGAAAACTCTTTCTCTATGAAGGAAAGAAGAGGTAAATGATATGAAGAATTATTTTTATTCAAATTTTCATTTAATTTCCGATTTTTGTTTTGTTATAGCACATTATATCATTTTACTAAAAAGAAATTGATAAGATTGAATTATCAATTGCTTTAGGATGATAAGGTATAGACTTGATAATATTTGGTTTATATGTACTTAATTTGATTCACTTATAGCTAATTAGTTTGAATTTTGGATTTTAATTATAGGTTGGAAGAAATCATTGATCATTATTTTGATCTCCCCGATAACCAACGTCAACGGTATGAAAATTATAATTCAATTACTTCAGATTTGGTATAATTGTCCTGAAGGAATAAAACAATTAATTTACAAATGGTTATGAAGAATTTCTAGTTTGCAGAAACTCTATTTTTAAAAACCCACCCTTGTTTAATATGACAATGTAGATGAAAAATGGAAATTAATCTCCTACAAATTTATGTTAATATATGGAGATTAAGGCTAATAGATGAAAATTTATCTCTTACAAATATATATTAGTATATGAAGATTAAGTCTAATATCATTTTTGAGAAATAAAAAGATCATTTAGAAATATATTTTTGTTTTCTTTTAAAAAAGAATATGAGGACGAGAGATCAATTTTGGTAGTAATAGTCTTTTCATTAGAGAGGTTAGAATCTGCGGTTATTATTTAGGAGGAGGAGAAATTATGTAGAGAAAAATAAAAAGAGATGGAAAAGTGATGAAGTACATGTACATTTGGTTTGGTTTGATTTGAAATCCAACCATTCAATTCCACGCTTTAAATTAAGAGTCTCATAACTATAATAAATAAAAAAATTACAAAATTGTATCGTATTTATTTATATTTATATTTATATTTATATTTATTTACAAAACGTGTCAATTTTTATATTTATTTATTATTAAGATTCCAAACTTGTAATTATATATATAAAATTTTGTCATACTTATTTATTATTAAAAGTTAACTATAATGAATAATGGATTTATTGAAACGTGTCAATTTCTCATATTTATTTATTATTAAAAGTTAATTCTAACGAATAATGGATTTACAAATAAAAAATTTTAGAACGTGTCAATTTTTCGTATTTATTCATTATTAAATCTAAATATCTAATTATGTTTCATATAGTTATTTATGATCACAAATCATTTCAAACAATTAAATATATTTTTAATTGAAAGTATATAACGAACAATACACATAATCTACAAATTATTTGTATCTAATATAAATTCTCAAAAGTGTATGGCCAAAAATAATTTATAAAATGTCAATAATGTTTCTTGGACTTAATTATAATTGGAAATCTTTTTTTTTTTTTTGAGTAATCAACGATTTAGAGGATGTTTAGCTCCATTACTTATTTTTAATTTTTGATTTAAAATGTAATTTTTATTTTTAAGTTAATTTAAAATAATTAAGTATTGTTAATAGGTATTTTTTTAAAAGTTATCACAATAATATAGTTTTTGTTTGGTTAAAGGATAGTTTTAAAATAAGTAGCATACTTAATATTTCTATTTTATTTTATGAAATATAATATTTACTCTGTTCTGTATTTAATTAGCAAATATTAATTCAATATTGATTTCATTAATTCATTCCATAAGTATTGCTGATGACTTTATCTTCTTTGTATCTCCCCAAACTACATGTCGTAAAGGCTGCACAATGAAGAGGTAATTAGTAATTACCCACAAATTTAATAATTTATTTGCTAATAATTTAATTTTTCAAAATCAATTTCCAAAGTTTCACTAATCTTATATATATATATATAAATTATGTTGCAGTTGATTAAGCGGATTGCTCATCAACTGGGTCTTGAGACAAACATCTACCATCACTTGGTCATGGCTGGGTTTGTTCTCTTCTTACAAACTCTTTAATTTTCAGATATATATGTTTATTAATTAATTAATAATTACTAATTAATCAGTAATTAATTAATTGGCTTAGTGCATAATGTTAACTATTTGTTTTCTTTTGACATAATTAATAGTCGCTGCCATGTAAGATCTGGATCTCAAATGCAGGTATTTATACATACATATATATGATTAATTAAATTGTTTGTAAATTTCTTTTATATATTTATACATAATAGAGAAAATTCATCAATAATTGAATTACAGGTGATTCAAAATGAAATTCAAATATTCAGTTCTGAAGTGGAAGATGTTGAGAAACAAATAAGGTATGAAAAATCAATAAATGTGCAAGAAAATATTTTTCAGAGACTGCTGGATTAATTACTAGTTCATTGATTATAAAATAGCTAAACATGGAATTAAATGAAAAGAGATTAATCCATTTAATTAAAATTTTTCTATTAATTAATCTTTCAGCCAATTTTTAAAGAGCCCAAGTAGCATCGAAACAGTGACTGAGGCTGAACACCAGGAGAACACATTCATTGAGACATTGAAACATGTCCAGATCCGAAAGGCAAGAAATCTTCAGCTTTCTTTTTCTTCCCCAATTTTATTATTTTTCCTCTCTCTCTCTCTCTCTCTTTAAGGTCATGAGACTGAGGTTTTGTCTACTTCTTACAAACTCATTAAATTTTCAATATATTCATGTTTATTTTAAAATCTAATTAAAAATTACTAATTAATATCAAGTAATGTAAATTAATTGCTTAGTGCATTGTGATATATAATTGTTTTAAATAAAAAATGGGATTAAAACTATTGTTTTCATATTGACATTAATTAATAGTCTGCTTCCATGTATTAGATCTGGATCTCAAAAATGCAGAGAATATTATATAACAATACATATATATGATTAATTAAAAATTGTTGTAAAATTTCTTATAATATAATTGGATATACTATAATTAGATAGAAAATTCATCAATAATTTGAAGTTACGAGGGGTGGGTGGATGCAAAATGAGAATTTCAAATTATTCAGTATCTTGAAGTAGGGAAAGATGTGAGAATACATAATAATGGTATTGGATTAAATCTAATTAATTATGTTGGCTTAATGAAAAATTATTTTTCAGAGACTGAAAACTGGAAATAATAAATACAAGTAGTTTCATTATTGGTGTATAAGGAGATAGCGGGATAAATCATGGGGAAATATTAAGATGAAAAGAGATTAATCCATATTAAAATTAAAATTTTTATACTATATATTAAATCGTTTCAAGCAATGTGTGTTAAAGAGCCAAGTAGCATACCGAAAACAGTGACTGAGGCTGAACACCAGAAAGAGAACAACATCATTGAACATTGAAACATGTCCAGATCCTTTTGAAAGTGCATAGGAAATAATCTTTTCAGCTTTCTTATTTACTTCCCCAAATGTGTGAATTATTTATTCCTCTCTCTCTCTCTCTGCATCTCTCTCTCATCTCAACAGGTAGGTGATAAGGTGAGATATATATAGGATATGAGTATGGATATAAATAATTCTGTGTAGAGTTATATGGTCTCTTGTAATTTTTTTTTATCTTAGCATTACTTTGGATAGATAATTGATAGGTATATTCAGATCAGGTTCCGAGAGGTAAAAGATCAGCGTGAAGAAGCTGTAGGTTAATTCAACATTAAGCTAACCCAAATAATTATGTAATAACTATATATATATATATTCCTTAATTATACTGTCTTCTGTAATTTTTAGCAGCAACTTTTGGAAGAAATTGAAAGCTTTCAATCAGTTCCAGAGGTAAGTCAGCTGAAGAAGCTGTTAGTTAATCACATTAGCTAACAATAATTAGTAATAACCCATAATTAGGGAATATATAAACTTAATTATATTAGGGAATAATGATTAATTTATTTTGATTTCTGTGGCGCATAGCAACCTTTCTATCCAATGAATATAAATTCTGATGGCTTCATGATGGGAAGTTCAAGCTATAATCCAGTTGATAGGCCTCTACAGTTTGATTTTGATGTTCCGGGGTTCAGTGAATTCCCACTCTTCAGGTACATTTGACTCATCATATTTGATCTTCTCTGTAACACGAGACACATCCAATTAGAGCTTTCTTCACGAAAATTAATAACCTAATCGATATGCTTAATTAGAATTAGTTAATCCTTAACATTTCTTGCTATGACTACAGCAACCAAGAGCAAAATTTTCCTGAACTACAGCCTCCACTAGCATTTCTTGATGGATATGGATTCCCTCTTAACTATGTCCAGAACAATGACAACAATTTTAATGCCTGTGTTCCTTATTCTCATCAAATGGGGCAATTTCCTAACATGAACTTGCCTTCAACTTCAACTTCAACTTCAACAATCAATACAAATGAACAGGTACCATTTTTTTAAAGAAAGAAATTACATGATTCCATTTACTTTTACTTCTTAATTAATAAAAATTATATTAATAATGGATCCCTTGTTGTTGATCAGGGAAGTGCTTCGAATGCACCGGTGCAGGGACAAGAAGGCGATCCGGCTACAGGTTTTTACAACCCTGGCTATGGGAATTACCCTTTTCGATTTTGATTTGAATCGAAGGATGAAAAAGGAAAAAGAGAATCATAATCGAAATTCAAAATAAAGATTCAAATTAAAGATGAATCATTGTGTTTGGTTGCTAATCATCTTTCTTTAATTTTCTAAACTGTACTCAATTCAAACATCATGAGGGTGTGTCTTAATGAACTCCTTTTAATATGGCTTTTGATGATTTGGCTGGGATTTGAAAGCTTTATCAGTTTTGCGTTTAGACTTAATAAGATTATTAACCCTAACTTTTATTAGGCAAGACTCAACAAAGCCCTTATAAAGTTAATTATTTTTTTTAATTTCAATTTTGAATTTTGATTTCTTTTAGAGGTAAAAAACTCTTGGTTAGAGTTATAGTTGAAATGCATATTAGATAGGTATTTAGCATACCAATTAAAAAAAATATTTTAGAGCAACTAGTAGTCCGTTCAAGATCAGCGGAGGATTAAGAACGAGATCTCTTAATCATATCCATAGTCTATGCAAAATATAATCTTTACTCCATAACAATATCTAATAAAATCCTGAAAAATATTTACATTCTTTCGCTTTCATAAAAAAAATTTGACTTACTAGACAAATGTAGAATATAACTTTAAGAGACAAGCAATCTTACAAGTTTTACTTTTACCAACAATATATCACTTTAACCCCATATTTGCTCAACCGGCCTACACATATATTAGTGGCCTAATTATCTTTTTAATCAGTTAATTAAGCTCAAAAAAGAGCAGAGCTGAGACTTGTGAGTCAATTTGGCACTTTAGGCTTCTTTTAAAAATTTTGTTTCCTAATCCCTTTTTGAAACTCTCTCTTACCTTTAGAACTAATAATGAGAAATCCCTATGTATAGTAGCACGTTTGCCAGGATCTTTCCAAGAAGCTTCATAGCAAAAGCAATTTTATAATGCCAAAAGGATTGATGTTTTTCCTTCTTGTTACATTATGTTATCAGTACTTCCTCTCCTTTTTTTTTTTTTTTTCTTTTGCTTTTTTTTTATTTAGAACGTGGAAAAGCTATTCTATGAATGATCAACTAAGGTATATTCCTTAGATTTTTATTAATTGGTAATGTAAATATTTATTTAATTAAAAATTTTAATATAAGCTAAGAAGGTTGCGTGACATAAAGCTTTTTCTTTCGTTAGCTTATGTATATATAAATGTAATTAATTCGGAGAAAAGTTATTGCGTCTTGTCTTATAAACACTTAGGCTGTGTTTGAAGAGGAGGAAAAATAAAATAATGGAAGAATCATTTTCTTCTCTGATTGGGAAATATTCTAAGATTGTGCGTCAGGAAAGAAAATAGTAGAACTATTTTCCACACCTTTTTCCTCATATATTTTCTTTCCTCCAAAAAATATCTTCTTTTTCAAACAAATTAAGCCTGTGAATATTTTAATCATATGCTTGAGTTATAATATTTTCCATCCTTGGGCAAGAATAATTAATTGGAGGTTCCTTCACATGATTTCAAATTAACCATACAAATTAATTAAACTAGCTAGTTAATTTAGCAACCATCAACACTATTAATTTAATTACAAAAATGAAATAATATTAATCTTCTGCAGAATAAATATAAATGATGGGTAAATCATCAAGGCATACCATTTCAAGACATTGTTTGGCTCTACTACTAGAAATTCATCTATAACGCTTCTGCAACTAATTTCCACTGTCCCATATATTTTTCCAGTCCCAAAATCGAAGCACCCAACAAACAGTCTCTGCTATATATATATAACAAAATCAGAGCTCTTTCTTTATATTTATAAAAGAGCTGTCTGCGATTGATGCTTGCCCACTATATATATGAATCTAAGCATAACTTATAATATGCATATCTACTATATATAGATCCAAACAAAAACCCTCTGCAAGAAACTTAGTAATCACAACAGATCAATAGGTCCCCCACAAGTGTGTGTGTGTATATATATATTATATATTTCAAGAAACCCTAGCTATACCAGAAGAATATGTAGCACGTGCACTACAATCCATGCACAAAAAGCCTAGATATATCCAAAATAAAACACATATCAAGAAGAGAATTGATTAATATATATATATAAATATGAAACGGTATCTGTTTCAAAACTTACACTTTATGGACGTCTTTTCTACAAACTTTAGAGAAAGCTGAAGCAATATAAAGAACAAGAAAAGAAAAAGAAAGAAGACAGACACATACAGGGAGAGAGAAGTAAAGGATTCCAATGGACAAACAAACATATAATGGACAATTACATCATGCGCAGTACAGATTATGTGAACTTATTACACAAACACAGACTCCCCTTATGCTATTTCAAAAGATACTTTTAAAAGCTAATAAAATTCAAGAAAAAGAAAGAGACATAATTAGAGAGTAGTTGCTGTCTGTCACTGGTACGTCTATCTTCCCAAGGAGATAGATTAAATCCCTTCTTTTTTTTTTTTTTTTTTTCCTTACTGGTACGTCTATCTTTCGCCGAAGGAGATAGATTAAACCCCTTCTTTTTTTTTTTTTTTTTTTTTCCTTGCCGCCATGCATTCATGGCGTCGTTCTGGTTGTTCCAATGTGGTAGAGATGGGCCTGAAATGCTTTGAAACAACTCTTGAGCTCCAAACAAGTCCATTATTGGCCGTGAAACTAACACATCTTGGTAGCCTTATAACTGTTAATAGACCGCACGCACTTGATATTTGATTTTTTTTTTTTTTTTTTTTCCTTGCCGCCATGCATTCAATGGCGTCGTTCTGGTGTCCAATGTGGTAGAGATGGGCTGAAATGCTTTGAAACAACTCTTGAGTCCAACAGTTCCATTATTGGCGTGAAACTAACACATCTTGGTACCTTATACTGGTTAATAGACGCACCTCTTGATATTGCATAATCCATAAGCTCTTCAAAAGTGCCATTTTTCACTACTCTTATCTCTAGAGGACCGATTGAGTTGTCAGCAACTCGTCCTTGTCTATAAACCGAGTTCAGTGACTCTTCCATGGCGAGACAGCACTGGTTCAATACTTCCTCTGTTGGTGAATTTGCTGTGTCCTTAACCATCAGTTCCCAATATATGACATAATGACCTGGAATTGTATTAGTATCAGCATAACTTGTGTATTCAACAACGCTTGTGTTGAATTCTTTTAGAAGAAAAGAAGCATTTTCAATGGCCTTTTGCAACTCAGCTTCGTCGGTTTTATCCGAGTCAATACTCAACAACACGTTCTTTCTCCTTATAAACCGAAATTGTGGAGCTGAGTTATAAAATCCGGTGACTCGGAGAATGTCACCGACTCGGTACCGGTATAAACCAGCGTAAGTAGTGATTACCAGTTCATATTCTTTTCCAACTTCAACGTCGGCAAGATCAACAAGGCGTGGAGGAGAGTCACGAGAGAAAGCTCCAGAGGGTTGATGAGGCAAGAACTCAAAGTAAGCCATGTTCGGCATTATTGTATAAGAAACCTCAGACGGCTTGCACATTGGCTTCAAATTAAGCCCGAAATAACACTCAGAAGAAGCGTACATGGTGCAAGCCATAGGCAACCCACCACTGTAATATTCTAGGGTAGGAATATACTGTGCCATAGCTCCAGTCACAATTACGTCTAGATATTTTGTATTAGGCCAAATTCTTGTTATGATACCTTCCCAGTTCTCTTTCGAGCATTCTTTTGCAATGAACTCAGCGAGTTCTGGGTTAGGTTTCAAGATTTTGCCAATACATTCCCTAACAGAGACTTCAGTTATTCTAGGGTTTAACGTTCCAGATGAAATATCCTCTGCCAGTTGCTTCCAGTGGACCTGAAGGAAATTAATTGCTCTTAGAAGACCAGAGGCGAAAATTGCACCAACACGGAGTACTTCTTCGCGCACAAGGAGTCCACAAAGCATTTGGGAGTACATGCTTTGGAAAGAGTCTGCACAAAGAACAGCCTCGTTTGGGCTAGTATAATTATTGTAAGGATCATATGGTCTGTTCTTGAAATGTTCGCTCTTGTAGTAGCTTGTGAGTACTGGACGCGCCACTAACCCACTTGGCGTTTTTGTCTCAGCCTTCACAAACAAGAAATATAGTCCTTTCCCTTTGTCCAAACCAGGCACATATCTGTCAAAGTAGTAAATTATTATCAACTTCAAATTTTATCAAAAAGATCTGAAAATAAACGAAAATAATATATGTACATACAGATTCATAACAGGCATAAGAAGACTGTATAATAATTGGCGACGATCCATCTCTTCTTGAATTGTTGGCATCAGTTTCCTCTCACCAGCAGAAGTACCAGAGCTACAAATATTTACAGTTATTATTATTTTTCTAAATGAAAAAAAAAAAAAAGAAACAAGGAAAAATTTACATATTATGTAGTGTTCTGAAAAGTTCTAGCTCACCTAGTGAGAAACTCAGAAACAGGGTGTGCAGAGAAGATGGGAGAGCGATCACCATTAGCTATACGTTGAATATCAGGCTGAAGATCCTCATAGGTAACTACAGGGATTTTTGATTTAAAAGTGTCTCGATCAGTTGCTCCTTGAAGCGAAAATCGGCTAAGATACTCAGTCTCTGAGTTTCTGCTGAGTATTTCCGCAAGAAGCCTTTCTTGCACTGAGTCTACGTTTTTAGTCATGTCTTCAATGAATTGAAGAACTTTGGCGTCCTTTTCAGATGCAGGAGGACTCAGAGGAGATGATAGACCAGAATCAACGGCCATGATAAAAAATCAAAAGATTAAATTGTTTTTGAAGAAAAAGAAAGAGAGATGAGCAGATGGTGTTTCTGTGTTTAGGCTGTGAGAGGAAATGGAGAAGAGAAGGATGTATATATAGGAGGAAGTTGATGTGTAAGCCAGGTAAGCGTGCATTGTGTATAATATGTCGACGTGGACAAAAGGAACCAGTAAGAGGGTTGATTTGGAAGGACGTTGACGGATTTATATTAGCAAAATCATTTCAATAATATTTATGTTACAGAGGTTGGCCGGGTGACCAGAAGACACGTAGGGACCACTACACGTCACTTTTGTTATTTGAGACCCGACATGAATGGGTCCACATGTTCTGCCATGTCAGCTTAGTATTGTCTCAACCTAAGCGCCAGGCGGACCACGCGGCACCTATATGGTGAGTTTGTTGGTCTCAGATAGCGATCGCTGCCGGCTGATATACCGTCTGATTACCGATTCTTTTTTTTTTCGCCTTCTAATATTTTATTTTAGATATTAGATATTAGAAATTAATTTGGTAACATGAAACGAATGGATTTTATAAATTAATTAATACATATTCGAAGTAAAACAAAGAATTGCTTAAACATAATAAATTATTTGAAGAATTTTCCATCACAAAATTTTTTACTAATTTGATGAGTAATCTATTGATATTCTTTCGACTCGTTGGATCTCTCTAATATATATATATATTATGTTGTTGACAGCTTAGAAAATCCTACTAGTAATAGAGTATTAGTTTAAGTAGTAACCAGAGACCTAGAGAGTATCTGTGACGCTGGGCAAGAATTCTTGTTTTGCTAATGGCATTGAAAGTTAATTAGAAATAATATAATTAATTAGAACAAAAATTATACAATCAGGTGCAGTAATCACGTGGATGGGACATGGATTGGTGTTAGTTAAATTTGATGGTTATTGTAACGGATTTAATTTAAATTAATTTAATTTTTAGTAGAATATACTAGTATAAGATGGTGATGATAAGGCCGGGGTAGGTTTGCTTTTCAATTTGCATTGTTTTAGTGTCATGTCAGTTTGCATATTTACAAACTCCATTGTTTTGTTCACCATCCTTTTGGGAAATTATGATTAGAATAATTAATCTTTTAATTAATAATGATGATTTCGGATTAAAATAAATGGGGGTGATAAAGTTTTTAATGGCGGTTTAACATTGACATTGAAGGAATCCTAAGGAAAATGTCAAGAGTTATATATTATAAGCAAAATATATTTATATAATTAAGAGAGCTTCATGTCTATGTGTAGCTTAGTGCTATAGCAATCTAATTGGATCCAGCAATTTGGTTTTTCTATATGAAAGAGAAGGAAGGATTAAATGTATGTAGTGGACTCCAATTAGTACGACACGTATATGATGTGTCATGGTATATATACATCTTACGTTAAAATTTTAAAAAAATATATATAAAATAAAAGGTTAAAATTTGGTGGAAAACCCTACAAAGTGCCTTTTGGGTAGTAAAATGACTTGTAAATGATAGTAATAAAGCATTTTCAGAAGTTACATATAACCCCCTTTTAGTGTAAAACTTTGTCATTTTCCTATTTCTTTCAATTTTTTTCTTTTAGAAATTCTGCTTTTGCATATGTAATTCTGCATCACAAATAACTATTCCACTAGCAAACTTGATTTTATTAATTATTCCCACAAGAAAAAGGTAAACCTAATAAAGAACTATTGATTTTTTTTTTTTTTTTTTTTGCTTTTAGAATAATTCTGCTCTGCTTTTGCATATTAATTCTGGGCATTCACTAAATAAGCTATTCCACTCAGCAAACTTGATTTATTAATTATTTCTGCCGAACAAGAAAGAAGGTAAACCTAAATAAAGAACTATTGAGTTTTTTTTTTTTTTTTTTGGTATCTTTTAGTTTTTTGGCCGAAATTTCATGATTAATTTTCTTTCTCCGATGCAAAGAAGCTGACTTTAAGCAAAGTTGAATGTTGATGTTGGGTTTATTTTAGGGTTATGATTGTATTTGGCCTATGCAAGTGCAATGTTTGTTTGTAGCTCATAGTAAATGATAGTTTTTTTTTTTTTTTTTTTTGGTATCTTTTAGTTTTTCCATTTCATGATAATTTTCTTTCTCCGATGCAAAGAAGCTGACTTTAACAAGTTGAATGTTGATGTTGGGTTTATTTTAGGGTTAGATGGTATTGGCCTATGCAAGTGCAATGTTGTGTAGCTCATAGTAAAGATAGCAATACCAGGAAACTTTCAATCTTCCTTTTTTATGTTTCTTATGCTTCAATAAACATCTGTGCACCATCTTCAAAGGGGAATAGATTAATTGAAAAAATAAAAAAAAAAAAGATTTAGTAACTATTATGGAAATAGAAACAACACATCTGATACGACATACCACGTGATATGACATTTTTGATAAAACACAAGACAATAAAACACTATTGTAATAGAAGTGTTAAACTTTTACATGTATATGATATAATTTTGATAATTTAATCTCAAAACTCTAAAAATGATTTTTTTATGAGCAAAATTAATAATATTATTATTATTAATAAATTCTGGGAATATTTAATATAACCAAGAACTAATGCACCAAACCAATAATTTTAACATATATATACATCCAAATCTATCTCAAATATATCAAGTGAAAAAATTAGAAAAATTATTCAGCTAGTGACCCAACCAATTATTTTTTTTTTTAAATTACTCCATAAATTATTGAAATTAATTTTTTTAGTCCCGTGAATTTAATTTCTAACTTTGTCATTGTATTCAGCTAATTTCTAACTTCGTCACTGTATTCAGCTATATATGTCCTTTTAAATCTAAATGAAATCCATAGCATATCATGCTTAATATAATTTTCCATAAAGTATTTCCCTGGGCGAATTTAATATTTTGAATTATATAGCAAGGAGAGGTTTAATTAATTTCTTAGATAGCATAGGTTAGGATTTTTTTTCCTTTTTAGGTCCATCAATTTTGTTCTAGCAAAATAAAAAAAAAAAATTGTAGGAAAAAATAATGGAAGGAGCTAGACACTTTGTCCTCCAATTATTTTTCTATTGTTTTCAAATTTCAACCATTGAAACTATAAATATCATTAATAAAAAAGACATTAGGTTGATTCCTTCCTAACCAGTAATACAGCACTAAAAAATCATTCCTTATTTTGCTATATAGTTGCTATCAATACTCATAGTGTGGCCACTGGACACTACCCTACATACCCAGAAAAAAAAAAAGGTGGAAAATATGTATATTGTTGCTTCACATGCAAAGCAAAATCAGGAAAAATTGAATTTTATGGGTATAAAATAGACAAATGCTGATTCATTGATAAGGTAATTAATAATAATTATTTATTATGTAGCAGTAAACTTGATAATTAAATTAAATATATTAATTAAGTGTGTCATATAAAGTGCCAACAGATGGAAAAAAACACAAGATTTAGGAAACTATTTATGAAGGCTACAATATATTACTTTAATCAAACCATTCTTGTTACCTATGTCATATGATTAGTCATACACAGAAACAAAAATTGTGGAAATATATGGAGAGATGACATCCCAACTACCACCTCTGTAGCTACCCATTCCACAAATTGGATTTTTTATTTTTTATTTTTACCCATTTTTATTTTTCATTTTTGCCATGCAGTAAATATTTAATTGGGTGTAGAGGAAGTATCATCATGATGCATTAAAGGGTTTGATGAGTGAAAAAATTATAAGGAACCATTCATTTTATCAGAAACATGTTCAAATGCAATGATTTATCATAGTATTTAACTAATCCTTAATTTTATATATCCAAAAAATAATAATTTTTGTTCTTTTTAATATAGTATAATATTGTAATAAAATTTATCATATCATAATAAAAATTAGGTAAAATCGTGTATTGCGTGGATTTACCAACTAGTTGAAATGTGCACACACAGCCATCAAATTTGAGAGGTTAAGTAACAAATGCAAGAAATTCTCAATCTCTGATCCACTTGAGTTGACTAGTCCTCTCTTGGTAATTACGACTTTAATATAAATAATAATTATTATTTACCATATCCTGCTTTGTGTTTCACGTAATTGACTTTCACTTTTTTGTAAAGGGTCAATTTATCTGGTACGATCAGTTGTTGATTAATTTCTCTACTTGTAGCAATGTATCTCAATTTTGCCGTCGTAATCTATTTGGCATATGTTACGTACATATAATTGCATTATATGCCTTTATATAGTCAACTACAACTATTTTTTCTCCAATAGATAATGTCTAATGAGTATAAGCAACGCAAACCTTTATAAAATAATAAAGGGTGTTTTGAAAAAATAAAATTTCAAAAAAATTGAATATGCATTTTTAGATAATCAATCCATTACGAAATGTTCTCCTTCCAAAATAAAACTTAGAAAATTTTTTTTCTGGAGAAATATTCTCGTTCTAAAATATTTTTCAAATGCAAGTCATTTTCTGAAAATAACGTAATCTTATTATAAATTTATAGTTCAAGAAATAAATTGTTTTATTATAAATTTAAATTATTTAAATATAAAAGCTTCTAAAATTTTTTCTTTTGTTAATTACCACGAAAAAAAAAAAGATTAAATGTATTGTCTCGACTTAATTTTGGATATATGAAACATAGCCAAATTCAATATTTTAACCTTGAAATCAAATGTATTTGATAATTATTACTTCTCCGCATAGCTATATTAGGCAAGAAGCGATTTCGTACTCATAAAAATCAAAGGTGGTCCTGAAGACTGAAGAGTTAGGCAGATATAGAGGAAACTGACATTAGTACTTGCTTTACAATGTTTTTCCCATTTTGTTATTTAAGTCCCACAAGTTTTGTCAGTCTCTGCATATAGAGAGCTCTTAAAGCTGCAACTTCTTTAAGATGATCTTGGAGATGACTGGGTCAAAGAAACATCCATCGCTCTTTGTGGGTCATACACGATCACCAACTTGTTATATCCGACAGCTGAATTAAGCACTCCCTACGGATAAATTTTTCCACGGAAATCATTTCCTTGTCACCCTTTCTTGCTGGGTGCTGCTAAGGCAATTTGGCCTCTTCTGTTCTTGGTGAAATGTAGGGTATGCTGCCATGCATATTAGTCGGTCATTTTTAACCCTAGCTAGCAGTACTAAATATATATATTATTCGATTTTAATCAAGTGAATAATACGAATATCGTTATGTTGAAATTATATGTTTTGTGAATTCTAATGAAATACAATCTAATGTAATATTCAAAAGCATTTCTAATATATTCAATTTTATTTTCCATTTTTTGAGGAGATCACTCTGTTTCTCATATTCTTAGAGAAATTAATTTTAGTGGAGATTGACTTACAAGTTTTGCTCATTTTTCTAGATTGTAGGTATAGCTTACTTTAGATGGTATGATTCTTAGTGTTTTTCCTCTTTTTTTATATATAAAAAAAAAAGACATTTTTAATATAATATTTAGAATAAAAATGCATTTATTACATTATATAACATTTAATTACAGCCACTTATAAGACCAAAGGAAAAAGGAAAAAGAAGAGAAGTGGTAAAAGTTATGGTTTTCAATTCCGTGACATTATCAAATACTTTGGTGTATACATATAATATATATAAACCACAGAAAAATCTCATTAGTCATACTATCCTCTGATCAAATTGTCTTATTACACCCACGAGGAAGTAAAATACAATATTTCTTCCATTAAAGCGTGTGGTCCAATACCATTTCTCCAACTTCTTCTTCTTCTTCTTCTTCTCCTTCTTCTTAAGTTGAACGTAGACAATGACCTTTACATTTTGTCTAAGTATCATAAAACAGGCATGCGCAATTATTTAGGCAAGTTTCAAACTAAGACATATAAATACACACGCTACTTATATAAATTGTCTTATTAGCACCCACGAGGAAGTAAAATACATATTTCTTCCATTAAAGCGTGTGGTCGCAATATTCGGCATTTCTCTTGCAACTCTTGCTTCTTCTTCTTCTTTCTCTGCTTCTTTCTAAGTTAAGCGTAGATCAATTGACCTTTAGCTTTTGTCCCTAGTATTCGATAATAGCAGCATGCCAATTATTTAGGTCAAGTTTCAAATCTAAGACATATAAATACACACCTACTTATATATATATATATATATATTATATAATATATATATATAATATATGTATTAAAGTTATTCCTTGGTCAATTTACAACGCAATTAAAATTATAGTTTTTTTTGTCCAAACAATTTTAATTTCATAAATACAGCTACTGCAAAATCATGAATAATATGGATTATATCTTTTTATCAAACAACTTAAATATAATTCATTTGATTGTTATTTCTCGCAATAATAAGTATTAATATTAAGTTGTTTGATTGTTGAAGTAATTAGGCAAGCATAAATTATTATTTCCACTATATTGTAAAGTTTGAAAAAAAAAAAAAAAAAACGTACGTACAATGACATACAATTAACCATTAACTGTATGTATGATGTATCCGATACAATGTATTTGTGTTTACATTTGTTTTCTATCCTTAATTAACTGGCACGACATTGGATCTTGTCTTGGCTTAGGCATGCAACAATAGAGCCAAGATTGTAACAATCAAACATCATGTTTTGTTCTATTTATTACCAAATATAATCAAGCATATGTCTTTCCATAATCTTGAGCTACATCTATAAAAATGTTACCCTGTCTCTATGAATTAATCGAAAACTAAACACGATTAGTTCATTTTCAAAACGCAATTAAATTCATTAAATTTTATTATAGGACTAAGTACACAATTAGTTTCATTTTCAAAATGCAATTAAATTCATTAAATTGTATTACACGACTAAGTACAATTCATGTTAAGTTATTGGCAACAGTCATATTAGCATAATTTGTCATGAAATTTATTAAAATTTTATTTTCCGTGTTTTTGTTATTTGATATGATAATTAAATTGGGTTGGCATTCAAATTTGCAACGTCAACTTTCTGGCCGACAGTATGATTTCAGAATAAATCATGAAAATGTAGAATTATGTTATCTATATTGTTGACATATTAATAAATTGAGATCATAAAAAAAAAAAATTATGTTTCTTCCCCCTCTAAATCACATGGTCTATAATTTTGGTCTTGAGCTTCATGATTGGTCCAAGAAAATTTGGTAAGAATGATAATATTTTCCTGTATTTTTTCAAGATACAAATAGCTGAAACTAACCCTAATTTCTAAAATCTTATTTAAGTTCACATGCATACGTATGAGCTAGCTGCCAATATCATTAGCTTTTGAAATACGTAAACTTAGAATTGATCCTTTTTAGATAATCTATATTATGGGTTGTACATGAAGCCATGTGTATCCTCTCCAAAATTTTCTTGCAACCTATTTCTAGCCCTACCTAAAATGTATATTAACGACGAACAGGAAGAAAAAAATTTATAGGGAAAATAGAAATTAGCTAAAGGTGTAAGGCATGGACAGGCCAAAAAAAAAAAAAAATAATAAAGAGTTAAAAGAATGGTTCATGAACTTGTCAAACACGTTACACAGACAATGTAGTGTATGTGTACAATGGATCGCACAAAGTTGATAGAGACAAAATTGAGAATAACATTTAGGTATTTTCCTTGTTACCCTAAAAAAGGTAATATGGTGAATTGATCTTTAAAAAAAGAAAAACAATGAATTTTTTTGGCTCTTTCTTCTTTCACTAGAATTAGCATATGATGCTTGCAGTTGATCTCAATGAAATTTTCAAGATAAAAATTAATTATTAACTAATCATTAAGGATTTATTATCCATTTTACTGCAGGTCTGGTTCTAGTGATCATATCATAACTGATGATTTTTCCTTATTTACGAGTTTCCTACCTTCAAAATGAATGATCTATTCTTCATTAAGTTAGAGAGATAAATTAAGTATAATGCTCCAAAGTTAACTTGTAATGTCATCTCTTTGCTAAATTTGAAAATAATACACACATTTACGTAGTCTACAACAAACTTTTACTTGTATTGCTTCAAAATTGGATTTACGTGCTCTTTTATGGTACTGAAATGATTTGTCAATCTACACCATAACCATTTTTCTTTTGTTCACATTGGTTCTTCAAATATATTAATTACAATTTCTGCCTAGTTTATAAATATATTCTTTTTTTTTTTTTTTAACACGAGACTGATGCCAAACATCACATGGTTACGTGTTATATCTATATATATATATGTGTGTGTGTCTATGCATTTAGATTCTAAAATAGGTATATGAATTTGCTGTTTAGGCCGACCAATTACTATCTCCCCCATGTGTATACCCTAAAAGAATATCAGTAAAGCATCCTCTTTCTCTCTGTGCACCGTGTCTAGTGCACCTATACTAATTCTACAAGAAAAATGTGCATGGCTTATACTAATTATAGTTTATAACGTAATTAACTTTCTATAACCTAATAAACTAAACTAGAAGGGAAGATTAATTACATGGACTTCACAAATATAGCAGTGTTTGCAATTGTGTTACATCCTAGTTGCAAGATAAGGCACAAGACTTGTCTTGAATCGCATATGTAATTTCAATATGCGGTTTATATGAGTTTGGATTCTCTAATTTCAACAATTAGCTTTTGAGATGTGGTTCTCTAAATATCATAATAATTGGTATCAAAGCCAACTGCAATTTTTTTTATTTTTCATATTAAAAGTTGGGGGTTTATATAAATTTGGGCTTTCCAATCTTAATGGTCACCTTTTGAGGCGTAGTGTTTTGGTTAATAATTTTCAAATTGTTAATAGCTGAATTTTAAAACTTTGTTTTAACTATTTGATTTCCAATTAACAGATTTATACCTTTTCTATTGGGCTTCAATTGATTGGGCCTAAACGTTTGGGCCACGCTTAGAGAAGTTTAAGCCCTTATGATATTTTAGGCAATAGGTAGTTGCTTAGGTTGTAAAGTGATTGCGTTTGGCAACAAAAACAATCACAAAAAGGTTAGGTTAGGGGATGACATGACCACATCGTTTGGGGAAATTAGCTGTCTTCTCTTTCCATTCTTATTCATTTGAATTTTAAAATATAGAATAAAACAAGAAATCCCTAAGTGGGTACGAGCCTAATTCTTTTGGATTTTTCATAAATATCTTTATATTCTTTTCGTCTACAAAATTAATTTTGTTTCGAGATTTAGGACTATCTCTTTTTATAAGTGTTTTTTTTTTTACAAATTAAACCATTAACCTTATAAAAATCATCCACTAAACTATCACCGCTCGATTATGTTATGGGTTATTGAATTGTGAGTTTAATTACATAATTTTACTTTTTTCTATGGCCCAAGAAGGCCCATTAAAGAAATCTTATGTTTTGGGCTCTACTTATCCAGTGACTAACGAGAGAACCAAACCTGACCCTTGGAATTTCTTAAACCGCTTGCTTCCTCAGCCTTCAAATTTAATGGAGAAAAAAAAAAATTATATAAGAGTTTTCTGTTTCTTTATTCTGATTATTTGTACTGGACTTTTCAGATATCTACTATCTATAGGAATTTATTGATTTCTTAATTGCAATTAAAGATAGATGCAATTATTACCTTTATTTCATGAATGTGCACATAATAATATAAAATATTACATAAACAATTAAAAAAAAAAAAAAAAGAAAAAAAAGCAGCAGCTAAGGTGCTATGAATATTGATCACAACCTAAGATTTAAATCAAGTTTATGCAAATCAGAACTTTTTTCTCTATCCACACGAAAGCTTCCTGGCCAAACCAAATCCGTTGCTTCTTCAAGCATAAATGGTGTCCAAGCCAAGCCATACCCTGAATTTGCATCACTAAATCTTGCAACCAAACAAGAACCTTCTCTACTAGGCTTATGTACAAGTGAATGAGCTTGTACACCAAGTGATCTAACAGAAACAGGATTAAAAGGGTACCCTAATGTTGTTGTATTACTTGCCATAAGCATTTTATGAGACTGAAACCTCTTTGCAGCTCCTCTCTCTCTTTTATGTGCATTTTGGTGACCCCCTAAAGCTTGTGAGCTATAAAATTTTCTCATGCAAAAATTGCATGAAAAAACCTTATTAGTACTAACAGGTTTTGATGATGATGATGATGTTTCAATATTACAATTTTCAACTGTGAGAGATTTATTTCTGCTGAGGCCTAGACTCAACCATTCTTTGATATTATCTTCGCGAGCTTTTGAAGATATCCCAGTTGTTGCTTCTTCTTCTTCTTCTCCTTCTTCCAAGTTTTGAAAATTCATGGTAGATGAATTTTCAATTTAGAGGAAATTAAGTTTATGATTTATGGAGGTACAGGGTGTTTGCTAGTATTGTATAAATAAAGTGCTATAAAGATAGAGGAAGGTATTATATTTATACAAGTAAGAGGAAGTGGAGAAGGATATTATTAAATTTATCTTTTATGCCTTTAACATTTTCTTTAATAAGCAAGAGTGGGGACGAGAAATGCTTATGTCAAGTAATAGAGTTGGTTTGTGTCAAAGCTTAGGATTCCTGACTCATCGTTTTCAACTTTTTATTTTCTGTACATCAGAAGAAACATAACCCTCGTGGGACTGCTATAAAACAGAAGCTTAATTGTCTATAATATTATCACTCGTCAAATCAGGATTTAGGTTTCATGTCTATTTGTTCTGTTTTTGATTGAACTTGTTGGTTGATTGAGTTGTTAAGGAAAAAGAAAGATTACAAAAAAAAAAAAAAAAAAAAAAAAATTAGTCGTCGAAGCTTAGGATTCCTCGCAACTCATCGTTTTTTCAACTTTATATTATTCTTGCTACATCAGGAAGATAATTAAACCCTCGTGGTGACTGCTATAAAACAGAAATACGCACTTAATTGTCTCATACTAATATTATACCAGCTACTTGTCAAATCAGGATTTAGGTTTCATGTCTATTTAGTTCTGTTTCTTGAAATGCTGAACTGGTTAGGTTGATTGAGATGTTAAGGAAAAAGAAAGATTACAAAAAAAAAAAAAAAAACGAAAAAAAAAACAACCCCACCAGTTGGAATCAGAGGGCAAGTGAAATGTATTTCCAGGCAAAGTTTACAGATCTTGAACTTATATTTTTCAATAGCGTTTAAAAGACATCTTCCTTGATATTAATGATATGAAATCAATAGTTAATTAACGAGTTTCAATCTAATATTCCAAAAAGTTTCAGAGTTTTAATTAGAAAAAAAAAAAAAAAAAAAAAAAAAAAAACAACCACCAGTTGAATCGAGGGAAGTGAAATGTATTTCCAGGCAAATTTTACAGATTTGAACTTATATTTTCATAGTTTAAAGACATTTTTGATATTAATGAATATGAACTCACTGTTATAACGAGTTTCAATCTACATATCCAAAAAAGTTTCAGAGTTTTTAATTAGAAATGTTTCAGAACATGGTCCTGAGCAATTTGCCTCATCCGGCAGATTTCAGCCGCCCAAGCAGGACCCTCAAAACTTGGACCACAACTTTAGAAATAATCTTATTGGTCTTGAAAAAGAAAAGGGGAAATTATATTTAATAAAGAGACAGTAGTCAATCAAATACAATGGTAAGTACAGAAAGAAGAAGAATTGGACAATTTTTTGACAGAGAAATGGGTAGGCATAACTCTCATATCCTGTACTTTCCATCCACATTCTATGTTACTGGAAGTTGTAAGGGCATTATCAGTTTTCTATGAATCATATAATATAATATAATATAATAATATTATAAAAGGGAAACAGCAACTATTAGAAAAGAGAGAATTTTACATTAATTTTTTATTTTTGAAGAGAAAGCATCGAACAAGTTAGTGAATGTTAAGCTTCCATGGAAGATTCTTAAGTGGAGATGCCATTAATTTTTGTTTAACGTTTTATGAAATTATAAGACAATGCCATTTTAAGGGATGGAGGGACCCAGTTAAGTAATGATCATGGTTATTAATCATAAACAATAAAAAAAAGTAAAGAGAGAGAAATGTGGATTGTCCATTTCCAATTGGGTTTAGATCCTAAAATCAGAGAGGATCTATGTGGGTGTCTCCATGTAATGGGCAATGTATATGTACAGTAGGAGAAAAGCATTGGGAACCACTTGTGCTTATTCTCAGAATCATTGCTGTTCTAATAATAATATACGATAAATTATAAAAATCTCATCTTGGCCACAGTGTCTGTGTGTGTGTGTAATGAAAGCAGCTTTGGTGCTGAAGGTTCTTTAAGATAAAATAATTGTGGTGTTGGAATGCTGAGTCAGATCTTGAACACTAGACCTGTCTTATCAATCAAGTAGTTTCAAATATAAGCCAAATTTAGCAGGGACGCAAGTTAAAAAATTAAAAAAAAAAAATATTTCATTCAATAACCAATGATCAATAATCTGCAGAGATTATAAAATAACAAATTGGTGATTCACAGGATATTATAATTTTATGTTTCTTTTCATTTGCTGTTATCTTTTCTGGCCAAATGCAGATAAATCTTCAATTCTTTAGTTAAGTAGGTCGGAGATAAAGTTGTTCTCTTCTGCTAAGAGCTTTTAATCAATCAATGAATAATACAAGGAAGTAGAAACATCAGAAGCCAATCATCTTATTAAAGTATCAAAGTTATAGCATCTGTTGATAAAGATCAAAAAAAGAAGAGATTACGGATGTCATTAAAGTGCTAAGTCTAGCATGGCAAAGGGGTTATATGCCTTTACCCATCAAAAAGAGGCAAGAAAAGGATGAAAAGGGAATATGATAAGCTTCTCAACTTGCTATTTCATTATTCAATGAGCTAAGATGATGCAAACATATCATATACTGAACACTAATAATGGATCGCTTTTGAAAAAGCAGCTTAGCCTAAAAGTAGTTTTTAAGTTATATGCCTCTTGTTATGGCATTCGACCGCAAGAATTGGCTAATACAACCTCTGTAGAATTACTCTGATATATTCTTCAGGATGTTTCTGCTCTATGATGAATTGATTGTTAGTGTAAGAGAATATTGAGAGTTGCAAACAACTCCATCCTTATGAAAATGACTGAACACTAGATAGCCATTCATTCTTGTTTGTCCTCGTGGCCATGAATCTGGTTCCTTATACACACACAGAGAAAGAGAGAGAGCTAGACTTCCATACTATACTCTCCGTTTGCTGGTTTTCTGAAAACAATTAGCAAGCAATATGCAACATCGACGATGACAGACATCATTTAAAGAAAAATATCTCCCATCGAATTTTACTGACTCAAGAATGTAGAAGAGTCATTTATCAATTATTCTATAATTATATGTATATCTTTTGTTATTAAAATGCACATCTCAGATACAACTAAATAATAGAAGGCTGTATTTTCTATATGTACTTGAAGAGCACAACCCTTTTTATGTTAAAGCTAAGAACCTTAACCTAATAAGAATGATGTTAAGATTAATGAATCTCGAGAAGCAAAAACAGAATATGAAATTCTATACTTAACTCCCGACAACCATGCAGAACCGGATTCAGGGAGGGAAGACCACGTTTTCTTGCATTACGGGTACCTGTGGAGACAAGAAATTATCAACTAATCAAGGGTCAAGTAAGTGTGGGACATAGTGCCTGAAATAGTAACGGCACCAGCATGTGCTCAAGAATATAGAACATTTATATGCATTAGCATAAAGTTTGGAACCCATATTTGGCTCTTTCCACAATTTAATGCCACGTTTTACGATTGACTTGGCTGCACTGTATCCAGAAACAAAGTTCAGTCTGACTCTGACTCAAATTAGTTAGAATAATATTAAAAAAAAAAAATGCAACATGGAACTCTAACCAAGTAGCTGCAGCATAACCTAGAGAAACGAGCATAATTATGGACATAACAAGCAGTTTTAAAAAATACAAGACACCTTCATTTTAGATGAAGGTATGGTCAGAATATGGTTGGTTGGGAGTTAATATAGCTAGTCCTATAGAATCAAGGTCAAGCATCTTGCATTTTCAAGTGCTAGAATACAGATTCCATTAAGCAAATGAATTTCTTGTATGTAATGATGCCTTCCCAAAGACACTGTTTAACCATTAATTAAGGAGTTTTAGCCTAGAGAAGGGAAAACTATTAACAGGTTTCAATTCAATCCAACCCAAAGGTTAATGCCTATGTACATATATATTCTTTTTCAAATGTTGATTCCCATCAACAATCTGCATTACTAAAACTGAAGTCTGAAGTTCATAAATGGTAAATAGAAGGAAGAGTTACCCACATTTGTAACAGAGATCATATAAATTTATGCCAGTCAAATGCCTTGTAAAAGGGCCAGTAAAACCAGTTGTGAAATGTTCAATCTACATGAATTCAGTTCTTAGCTGCTAAGAAGAGAAGAATGAAGTAAACAACAAAATGTGATCGACAACAGAGACATGCCTCCTACATCAAAAGTAATCCTCACTGATATACTTAAACCAAACAAAGCATAACAGTTGGAGCACCAATCCAAAAGTTACTTCAGGTACCTATAGTACAAATAAATAACTACTCATTTCATCATAAAAACTCCTTACTCCATCCATGGCACATTTACAAAGAACAATCTAGTAAATGTTAAAAATTAGGGTCAATGAGCTCAAAGAAATAGTAAGAGAATAAAACATATGGAAAAAATGAGCAGAATTAAATATTTAAGAGCTCACTTCCAAGTGAGTTTCAGTGGTAACTGACAAAGGAAACAGGAAATCTTAACAAATTCTTACGCCGTGAAAACTAGTTCTAATATGGCACGAAGTTTGAGCTTGATTATCCCAGGATTAATTGAGTAGGACAAGTTTATTTTTCATGTCTATTCCGGGTAAGTTTTATGATTTTCTTGGCATTCATCTTGTAATTCACATTAAAGCATCCATTTGATTTGTTAACTAAGAGCACGTCCTTCTTAAATACATTTTTCGTAACTGCTTAGCCGGGGATTCACAACCATGTTGTCCATCAGTTTCCAACTCATGACTTGTTATACACACAAGACAAATTTCAATTTTTTTTTTCTTGAATTGAACAAGTTGACAGAAAGTCCAGTTTCTATGCTTAAGTGATTGTGCTGATACTATACATATGCCGCAGGCATATGATACAAGTGATTCCGAGGAAATTGTTGAAATTTCTCTATGTCTTATGCTCTATTTGTCAGTAATTGGTTCCTTAATACATTTGTCCTGCGACAGACAACAGCTGCAAAACAGTTTGTTTTATTTAGAATTCTAATTCATCCTGCCTAAAATGCTATTAGATGCTTTGGGTACAGGTTAAGTGGTGAAATGTTACTCTTCTCCCCCTTAAATGCGTAGATTACAGGAGGAGATTTGTTTCACCTCCTCTAAAGGGGCTTACAAGCTGGAGTGGAGAGGACAGAACCGCACAATATTCCATTCCCAAACTCCTTGGAAAGGAATGCAAGACAACAGCATGCTCTATATTCATCCATGCTCTTTCGATCTGTAAAATCCAGCTAATCTTGTGCTTGAGGGTCGCTTTAGCGTAATGGTAGAGTTACCATTAAGGTCATCATTCGAGCACATAAACAGCGGCCATTCTATAAAAGTAGAAGAAGACAGCACACATGTGGTATGCACTTGGTCCCCTAAGTTACTGTTGTGATTGGCCCTTCTCCTAGATCGCAAGTGCAATCAATAATACACAGGCCTTTTTGGTACCAAATTTGTTTTCTGTTTATGGTTGTTGTCCAACAGTAAAAAGATGTATTGTCATTAAAAAAATGAAGAAAAAACGCAAAATCCCATTTTTGTGGCTCTCAAATTGTCAGTAATAATGGAAGTAAACACAGAGTAGTGATAATTTTTTCTTTTGAACAAAAACCAAAACGTGGGTACAAAGCGGCTTGTCAAGCTGAAACATTTTATTGGTTAAAAAAAAAATCAAAGAAGAAAACTTTAAAATTTTGAATATTTAAATAGACTGTTAAAACTAAAATCTAGTTGTTCTAACAAAATTGACAGAAAGAGTGGGAAAAAATTCCTATTTCGAACGTAGCGAGTAATGATAGAAAGACAAATTGAGATAGAGAGAAAAGAAAAGGAGATAAAGTACTAGCGAGCTTGACAAGTCCGATTGAAGAAGAAGGTGGTCTCAGACAATTCGCAGCACGCGCGCGCATCAACTGAGATATTTTGCTGGTTATCACTCGGCAACCTTAGTAGTCATTTTTTGATAAAAAAAAAAAATCAATGAGATTGAATAACCTATACACACACACACACACACACACACACACACACTATATGCGTGAGCTGTGTCTTACCAGGAAATGTGAAGAGAGGACGCGAGAAGCTAAAAGAGATGTAGAAGGGCGTAGAGGAGGGAGAGTTGATGATCTAGCAGAAGATGTCAGTGAGCTCGATACAGATCCGCAAGCGCCGAGTTTCTTTTTTCCAAATCTGAAAGCGATGGCAATTGATTTTAGACAGAGGTTATACGACGCCGTTATAAGTTTTATTCCAATTTGCCTAAAGCAAGAAGTTTTTAAAATGAAAATTTGATCCAATTTACCTGGAACTAAAATTATAGTCTTAATTTGATCCAAAATTTACCATTTTATCTAATTAAAAAATATTAAAATAATTGGAAATCAATTGAGAGTAAAATTGTTTCAGATTTTGTTTTAAATATAATTAATCTCAAATCTGAAGACACAGGCATTTCCATTTCTGCCATTTTCAAGCGAAATTATCCTTATGTTAACCAATCGAAATCAAGTGACCAAAGACGATATCTAGAAAGCGAACTATTTATGTAACCAAATTTATCAGCAAAAGGCGTCCGCTACCATGTCCTCCGCCACCATCTTCACTGCTCCACCACCGCTGTTAGACGCCAACATAAGCCGCTCCTCCGCCAATTTCTCCCATCTACGGTCAGAAAAACTTGCAATACTAATAGACAAATCCAAATCCCTAAGTCATCTTCACCAAATCCATGCCTTTCTGTACCGCCACAATCTCCATAACCACCCAATTCTCACCTTCAAGCTTCAACGCTCCTATTCCTCTTTGGGTCACCTCAACCACTCGCTTACTCTTTTTAACCAAATCCAAAATCCTAATGTCTTCTTTTACACCTCAATTATACATGCCCATGTTTTGCTTAGCCTCCATGACCGAGCTCTTCTGTTCTATGTACAAATGCTAACGCAAGAAGTTATCCCAAATGCATTTACCTTTTCGACAATTTTAAAGTCCTGTCCTTTAGAACCCTCCAAATCAATTCATGCTCAAGCGATAAAATTTGGGTTTGATGCAGAATTGTATGTGAGAACTTGTCTTCTAGATGTTTATGCGAGAGGCGGCGATATTGAATCTGCATGTAAGTTATTTGATAAAATGCCGGAGAAGAGTTTGGTTTCGATGACCGCAATGATTACTTGCTATGCGAAGTACGGAATGGTAAAGGAAGCGAGAAAATTGTTTGATGGATTGCAGGAAAGGGATTTAGTTTGCTGGAATGTGATGATTGATGCTTATGTGCAACATGAACAGCCTAATAAAGGTTTAGTGCTATTTAGACAAATGATGAAGGCTAAAGTAAGACCTAATGAAGTGACTGTGTTAGCTGTTCTCTCTGCTTGTGGGCAAATTGGTGCTTTAGAATCGGGAAGGTGGGTTCATTCTTATATTCAGAATAATGGCATTGAGATTAATGCTCATGTGGGTACTGCCTTGATTGATATGTATAGCAAATGCGGGAATTTGGAGGATGCAAGGTTAGTCTTTGAAAGAATGAGATACAAGGATGTTGTTGTTTGGAATTCAATGATTGTTGGATATGCCACGCATGGATTCAGTGAAGATGCTTTGCAGTTGTTTGATGAAATGTGTAGGCTTGGATACCGACCTACAGATATAACCTTCATTGGCATTTTGAGTGCTTGTGGTCATGCTGGTTTGGTTAGTGAAGGATGGAGGTTTTTCCGTTCAATGAGAGATGAATATGGGATTAAACCAAAACTTGAGCATCATGGGTGTATGGTTAATCTTCTCGGTCGTGCCGGTCATTTGAAAGAAGCATATGAGCTTGTTAAGAAAATGGAGATTGAACCAGATCCCGTCTTATGGGGAACTTTGCTTGGGGCTTGTAGGCTCCATGGAAACCTAGTTTTAGGAGAGGAAATTGCAGAGTTTCTTATTAGTCGGAATCTTGCAAATTCAGGAACATACATTCTCCTTTCTAATTTATATGCAGCAGCTGGCAATTGGGAAGGTGTGGCAAGGATGAGGACTTTGCTAAAAGGAAGTGGGATAGAGAAGGAACCTGGTTGTAGTTCAATAGAATTGAGTAACAAGGTACATGAATTTCTTGCTGGAGATTCGAGACATCCAAAGACCAAAGAAATATATATGATGTTAGAGGAGATGGACAGTTGGCTCAAAGCTCATGGTTATACCCCGCAGATAGATATTGTTTTACATGATATTGGGGATGCACAAAAGGAGCAGCACCTGAAAGTTCATAGTGAGAAACTTGCCATTGCTTTTGGACTAATCAGTACTAAACCAGGAACTAGTATAAAAATTGTGAAGAACCTTAGAGTGTGTTCAGATTGCCATGCAGTGACTAAATTGATCTCAAAGATTACCGGCCGTAAAATTGTAATGAGAGATCGGAACCGATTCCATCATTTTGTTAATGGTTCATGCTCTTGTGGGGATTACTGGTGAACTGTAAGTTTATTGCTTCTCCATAATGCAATTTGTTCTCAAAAAACTTTGCTGCTGTTAAAGCATGCTCTGACACTTCAAGTATTGTTAAGATAATATTTCCTCGACTTGATTCTTTATGAGATAAGATTTAAAATAAATTATTGGTAATCAAGTTCCTGACAATCCAAGAGAACGATGTCATGTTGATAATTTTATCTAATACTATATGCTTGTATAAAAGTGTAAGCTCCGACACTGAATTAAAAGATCATAAGTAACGAATTCAATGAGAATAATTATGTACATAATTTGTCACTGATCCATATAATACAAAGCAGATTCCTGGCTGATGATTGAGTGAGCATTTCGTTTTCAATTTAAATGCAGATATTAGAATTAGTAACAACGCCTACACCTACGTAATGCTAACAAAAACTATCAAATCTACGGTACACTTGCCCTCTGCATCAAAGAAAAACGGTGACAGAAACTATGACCAACAAAACAGAATGCCCGCAATCTTTGAGGACAATCCTCAGATAATTGATGCCCTCCTGAGTACCCTACATTCTCAAGTCTAAAACGCACACTGTGTTGTTGGCAAAACAGGCTGCAATTTTATCACCTTCCTTGTTCCAACAAACCTCAAATATTCCCCCATTGCCACTGTATGTTTTCACAATTTTAACTTCCTTCAAAGACCATATGTTGATACATCTATCAAGAGATCCACTTGCCAGATACTCTCCATTTGGGCTAAATGCAACCGAGTACACAGGATCCCTGGAGATTCAGTCACATCAATGAAAAGATAATTTTTAATAAAAAGTATAAATCAGTTGCAGCAATTCAAGAATGGTCACTGCAAATGGGATCCTGGAAGAACATTGATAATTAAAACAAGCACTTTGACCATGCAAGGGAACAGTCATTCCCAATTTTGCCAGGCGGAAATGCCTCCTCAAAATTGCCTTGTTTAAGCCTTCCTGCTTCGATTCAAGAAAAAAATAAATGAGAAAGGAGATCAAGGGGTTACCTGTGTCCATTCAAACTGCAGATAAGTTTCCCATGTTCCACATCCCACAACTTCACAGTTGAGTCAAATGATGCACTGTGTAGAATAGCAGTCAAAGATCAGAAACAAACCCAGGAATAAAGGGGGAAAAAAAAAGGTTCCTCTGATCCTAATAAAACTTTAATTTAGGAACTACATGGACTTTAGTATTAGCAACTAATAACACTGAATGACGATGGCTAGACTCAGCCACTCAGGCAACTAGTTTTAACTTGTAACACATGCATATAACCAAGCAACACATACAAATTAAAATCTAAGTTCACTTAGGCATCACACCTTGCCAGCACTAATTGCTGGTTAGGATTGTTTGTACCAGGTCCAGTGGGGCTCCATCTAATGGTGTAAATCTCCTGCAAGAAGCAATGTCCAATTTTGTCATCGCAATCCAATGAACCTAAATATGTGCATAAAAGCCAAAACAAAGCCATGGCAAAGAAAAACCAAAATCCATCAGCACCTTAGAATGTTCCCTTAAATCATGGACATACTTGTCCTGCTTCATATTCCATATCTGCAGCAAGATATTCCAGGAGTTGTTAACCATTTAAATAACAAATGAACAAGTATTAACAGAAGAAACATATCAAATCATTTTTTTTGACTTTGAGTTTGAAAGGCCTCATGAAAAACTTAGAGACTAAGAATGTTAGGAATGAAGCAGGCCCAAGACCATTTATGGTTTATTCTAGAAGGGGGAAAAGTGCAATGATGCAAGGGAATAATCTGTTAGCAGGAAAAGACAAACAAGGGGTGCAGCCGAGAGAAGGGAACGTGGCATGAGTTAGTTAGAGGATCTGTATCCACCAACTGTATATAATGAGTAGTGAGATAGCGGGCGGGTATGCTATTTTGTTAGTTGTGTTTTTGGGGCAGACTTGCTCTGCACGGGATATTTATCCTGGGGACTATTCTTAGTCATTTTTGCTATTTCTGTTCTTGAGTTTGTGAAACAGATATCAGGTTGTTTGGAATCTAAATCCTCCTTGATTTCATTGCTGATTAATTCCAGTTTTGCTAAATTCACTTATTATTTGCTGTTCTTTCCTTACTCTACCAAAGACAGAGTACTAACAAGTAAAACACATATAGATGGAATAAAAGTGCAACATAAGTACATAAATGAAGAAAAGGCAATGTAAAACAACCTTGGCACTGATATCGTCAGAGCATGAAGCCAGTAATGAGCCTGTTGGATCCCACTTGACACAATTAACCTCACCCTGAAATTTTAAGCAAAAAATGATAACCACAAAAACGAAGTTTCATTTGTGACAGTTTTGCCTACAGAACTTATCAAAACTTGGACATCAAATAGAAATCATGTGCACTCATTAATTCACGGTTTTCTAATTTACACCGACACCACACAAGTATAATCTCATTGCACATGAGACCAGGCACGACCACGATTCATTTTCAAACCAAAACCAAACCAATCAAAACCAGCACCAGATCGAAGTCAAATGGTTCTCCGTTTCAATATTGTTTTTTGTTTTATTATAATTGTCCAAAATAAGTTTTTAACACTTTTTATAACATTAGTTTACTCTCTTTTAATAGTACTATTTATTGTTACTATTGTTATTATTATTATTATTCAATCTATAAAACCAAAAAAAAAATAAAAATAAAAAGCTTGAAAAGGATTGTCTAATTTCGGTTTGAAACCAGAACAGAAATGAAATCGGCAATTCCAAAACCGTCTTAAAAACCACCTAAAAACGGTATCCACCCTATAACCGGAACCTGCGATTCTGGAACCATGATCATGCCTCCATGAGAATATGTTCCATGCCCATCAATCTGAGATCAACCTGACTGGTGCTATCTCGATTCAATATTTAAAATCATAAAATTGTTTTGAGTATTTATTTTACCCGTTTGGATGCCTGTTGGGCTGACCAATCATACTAGAGGTCAGATTGCAGTATTTAGAATATCAAACACAGGCCAAGTTCAACTAGGCATTTACAACCCAGATACTACCTGACACATCACAAATTGCCACTTCTAAACGGTCATACTAAACCACTTCAAAAAAGACTTCAACTTCAAACATTATGACAAGGGGAAGAAGTAGTTCAACACGGTCACAAACCTGATGCCCAGCAAAAGTTTTAACAGGGCGGGGATCTCCAACTTTGCAAACATATATCATATTGTCTGTGGAGCTTGTTGCAAATGAAATATTATTACGCCAGTCAACATCAAGTATAGGACCTAAAAAAGATTGAAAAGTAGAAATACAACAATTGTGTGAATATTTCTCCTGTGAAGAAAAGACAAACAATTCCAAAGAGGTTTAGTTTAATTTTCAACCTGAATGAAATTCAAACTGTTGTCTCCACTCCTCAGTTTTCACATCCCATACTATTGCAGCTTTGTCACAGCTTCCAGTAAGAAGAAAATCCCCCTTTTTGTTCCACTTCAGAGAAAATATGGGCCCTTTGTGCTTACTCAGTGTAGTCTTTAGTTCACCTAGACAGGGGAAAAATGCAGTGAAATGCTGAAATAAAGCATCGCAAACAATAGATATTCAAACAAATTCCTTTAAAGTTCTGAAATAACTAAAACATTATATTGAAATGAGATGCCTAAACTAACTTTATGCTCCTTGAAAAGGCCAATCTTGAAACACATGGTTTACCAACCAGCTAGGCCTCAATACCAAACTGCCTTAGTTAACAGATTCATTCCGGTTGATGCGAGCATGCCAATATGGCTGAATAGTGTAGAAAACAAGAAAACAGACTCCAAAAAATTATGAAGCAACATGGTAGCATTCTACATATTATCTATTTTCATAAATTAAAATTACAGCAGGTATTTGAACAGGAAATAGAGGGCAATGAACCAAGCACTGATGACAATATCTTACCATTTGTGTTCCAGATTCTTGCTTGCCCATCATATGAGCCTGTTGCAAGTAAGGTCCCCTCACCCTGCACATTGAGTCAAATAAATGACATCAAGTATGAAAGGAACTAACAGAATTTAGTATCATAAAAAATTTTCCCTTCTGCCAGAATTTGAAATTCAATGTATGGAAAAAGAGACAGTAAAGCAACTGTATAGGTTTGAAGGACAGAAACCACAGAATTGTGTAGGGTTAGGAAACTCATTGTGTGCATAACCCCAAGGAAAAATTATGACGTATAAAAAGAACATATTGGATTCATAAAGATGATCATATGAACAGACATTAACATCTACTATCAACAACAATGGAGACCTGTAAGAAAACTCACATTCCAATCTAGTGTTGTAACATCTTTGCTCTTCTCATTTGTTCTTCCCTTTACGTGTTTCAGTACCAATACATTTAATGGACCATTCTGCATGCCTGATTTAGACGTCCCCTCCGCTATGGACCAAATACGTGCTGTGGAATCTCCAGACCTAGAAACCAAAGCACAAAGGGAAAATGTAAGAAATAATTAAAACAAAGAAGTCTACAGCATTGATGTGCTAGACACTGAGCATCTTACAGAAAATCTAGTCTTGAGGACATGCACATTTTATAAGCATGAAAATGCTATCATTGTTGACAATCCTTTATCACCAAATCCATAAAAATTAATTACAAAGAATAAAATTACCCAGTTTTAATCTAGTTAATGTAGAGTCACGGAACAGATAATCTATACATGGTCATAGCTTTAGCAGTGAAGTACTAATAATAATCTTAAATGGTGATACATGTAGCAAAATTGCAAATCAAAAAGGGATTAAGCAAGACAGAAAAGAAACCAAATACATCAGCCATAGAACTTACACACTCACTAAGGAGATGAGATTAAATTCAGCTCTTTATTCTCTAATTTCCATATCATACTACACTCAGAAGTAGAGGAATGGACTAACCATCTCATTAGGCCACCAAATTGTCTCAATCAACTTCAGTCCATTTCCTTCAGAAAATTGATTTAGGATATTATGTAAAAAAATACTAGCTTTGAGCTCACTTTAATATAGTTTAAATTTCCAGCAAGAAAAACAATCAGCTCCATTTTTGTAAAATAAAATTTCATTTTTTATTCAATGCTAGTAAAATGAACATAGTTGGCAAATACTTTAGACCAATAACTACAAAATATAAGGAAAATTGAAGATAAAAAGGCAAAGGGGATTAATCTATAATCATTAAATGCAAATAGACAAGACTAAGTGCTCATCAAGTTAGCTTATCTCAATCAAAAAAAGCACTCACCCAGATGCAAGAAGTGATCCTGTTGGACTCCATGCACAGGCACAAACCTGAAGGAAGAAAGAGAAGAAAATTGCTACATTATAGTATATGCATCTTGCTAAAAATTGCAGGAGGAAAGAACGACAGAGAACATTTTAAAACAAAGTGCATGAGGACATGAAAATGCTTGAACCTCAGATGTATGTCCCTCCAAAATCATCACATCTGAACCGGGGATCTCGCATGCCTGAGATGTTGATGTTGTAGAGACATCCATTGGTTCTGGTCCTATAAAGCAAAACACTTATTTTGTTATCACCAGATATTGAATTTGATGTGTCTTTTTACAGATTTTATCACAAGGACATTGAAAGACAACCGAAACAGGAAATTTATGTATCATTCTCCACAGCTTTATAGTGATAATTCAAAGTAAGACAGCCAAAATGTCAGCAGAAATGCAATATATTGCTTACTAGCATATCGGATGCACTAGAAACTTGCCAATGAAAACCTGAGATAACTCCTCGTTTTCTATTTCTTAACATGAACATGCCACCTGTGAATAATCTATAAACAACATATCACTACAAAATACGGAGAACCATAAACATCCCAATTACAACCAGCTGCCAAGTACCTCTAGGTCAACTATCTGACATAACTTCATTTCTGAGTAGGAATGCCTTCGACTCATTTCCATGCAAAACCATAGAGACCAGTCCATTCTGATTACATTACATGTTAAACCATTTAACATTACCATTTGATTCTTTGTTTAGTTTTTCCTCCCCAAAGCTATATTTACCAAATCTAAGTGTTATAATACAAGCAACGGAGCAAATAGTTGGGAAAATGTAACATTAGAAATGTTGCAGGCAATTTGCTCTTCCAGAGACATAATTCAACATTAAAATTATTTGACAATAAAAAGGATATTACTTCAGCAAAGTGGCGAACTGCCATTTATACAAGTTTCCATCTTCTAAAACAGCATGTAATTTTGAAACAATAATGTTCTGGAGTAATGAGTTGCATCTATCATTTGGCCTAATTATTGTGAAGCAACTATCAGGTTCCAGCAAATACAGGGCCCCTTTCCCTAGCTATTACTTGATTTTGACCACTTATATTTTGGCGACTGCAGTCATCTCACCATCCCAATATTACAAACACATATAACTCTAGATTACTGGAAAGCAGTAATGAAATCAGACTACCTATCTATATATGAAATAAGACAATAATGTTATAAATTTACACAACAACTGTAATCTAATTGAAATACTTAGGTTAATGTGAAGGCATTAGCAATATAAAAAAAAAAAACAAAATGAATAAACTACAAGAAATCAATTTTACCTCCAAAATTTCCATTTTCTTCATGCTTGGCATTATTCTTATCTACTTGATCAGCAACCATTTCTCTATCAGTATTATCCTCATGCTGCTTTTCTCGCTCTTTTTCCTTTTCCACCCTCTCTCTATCCTTTTCACTTTCCTTCTCCCTTTCATGCCTTTCCTTCTCTCTTACTCGAGCACGTTCTCTTTCATGCTCCTTGTCACACTCCTTGTCACACTCCTTATCTTTATCTTTATCTTTATCTTTATCTTTATCTCTGTCTTTGTGCAGATTTTTTTTCTTATCTTTTATCATCTGCCGCAATTCATATACATCTTTTGTTATAAGATCCAAAGGTTGCAAGAATGAGAAATCTTCATCAACATCTGCATCACTCTGGCAAGCTTAAAACAAATCTTGATCAGCACAAACTCCATGAAATGCAAATTGGTAAAATATTTAAGAGGTAATATTTGAACATGAGAAATCAAAAAGGGAAACGTTTATGCATGCTAACATTACTCAAATTTGCTTCCATCTCCAAATACTGAATTCCCTTTTGCACAAATGTAATAAGAGCACCAGGTGGAACCATATTGCCATCAATGGTACATTTGTTAATACCTGCTTCATATCCTAAAGCGAAAGCTGAATGTGTAAAACCTGAAAGAATCCAATTGGCAACACATCAGAATCTCCTTGTCATGATTTACAAAGTCATTTAAGACCAGCCACCGAATGAAGATCTAAAGATTAGAACTTTCAGAGACTACTTTAAACTCAAATGACACGAGGAAAAAAAAAAGAACTTTCTCAGGAAATAGTTCATTGTTGGTGGATGGAGTGATTTGAACCATGTACCTACCACAAAAGAACGAGAGAAAAAAAAGTACACATTGAAAATTTCGTACCAAGTTTATCATTTTATGGTGACAAGTATAAGCCTATATTCCTTGAAAACCTAAATTCAAAGCCATATTATTTCCTGGTATGCCTACACTCAAAAATTGGACATTTCCGTCTTCTCATTCACAGGGAACATTTAGTAGAAAACAATTCAATGCCCTATAGCAATTCACAACTGTAAAATAAACTTAACTCTCACTACAAAAGAATGCCTAACAAGAAAAGAAGAATTCAAAGGTCCGCAGATCTACAAGCCCTAGCTCCTTTATGCGGCAACAACAACAAAGCTAGCTCATAAATTGCACTTAACAACATGTAAAACCAGAATATAAGATAAAACCCTAAACTTGTTTTTGGATAGAAAAAATAAATTGAGCAGCTCCAACAAAAAAAAAAAAAAATGAAAAGACAAATTTTAATGGTCTGACTACGAAAAAGAAAAATGAGAAGAAAGATATAAAATTAAAAGAACAGAAGTTTAGCTGACCTGACTCTTGAAGGTATCGGAAAACGAGGTAATTCAACTCGGCGGAAGTAATAGAGGTCATTCTCCCAAATTCGTGGACCGGAATTCGAATCTGTAGACAATATCACGGTCCAGCTACAGAAAGAGAGATAAAGAGGGGGGGAGAGAGAAATTATGTGAAGCAACCGGAGAAAGTGGAGGTTTTATGGTAGAGAAACGGGGTGGGCAGGCTCTGCAACTGAAAACCGTATCGGTAAGAGAGAGCATTTGGGTTTGTTCGATAATTTTATTGAGACAATACGAAACGTTTTTTGTCGGGGGAAACGTACGTTTTATCACCCTTTGAGAGAGGCTCTTCACTTGGCCAGGTGGTGGCCACAGAGATTGTGACATGTGGCAGATTCGTATCTCTATAGGTATAGATCCCGTTTAGTCAGTATCCCAGCGGAATGAATAGTGTAGGCCTGATTAAAAGTTGAATCAGGCCGGGCCGTCTTGGGCTGGAAGTTTAGACCTCAATTATAATATTATTTGAGCTGTTGAGAAAAAAATATATTTAAAAAAAAAATACTATTGTATATATTACCTAGAAATATTTAATTTCATTTTTTATGTTTGATTTTTACATGTTTAGATACAAAAATTTTAAAATAATTAAATAGTAATTACAAACTATTATTTCCTTTAAAATTGATTGAAAGTGTAAGTGAATTATAAAGTTGCGTAAATTTTCTTAAGATAAAAAATGCGTAAACTAGCGGGAGAGAGAATTATAAAGTTGCACATAAAACTTTAGAAAAAAATCCAACAATTTTCATTATGAGTTTTAATGTAAGCAATAAGGTAATCATATTTCCCATGTATATGTTGTTACAATTATAGGCAGATAAATTAAATTTGTTAAATTTCAGTTATTAAATAAAATTGTAATATTAATATAATTCTTCAAATAGTTTGTTTTTATGATTAGAATTATTCTTGAATATTAATTAATAATGGAATGGGCTTTTAGTGAAATTGCTCATGCTTTGATTTGTTAGTTTTTGATTTAAATAAATAATTAGACAATTTCAGCTAATTTTAAAAGGAAAAAAGAATAAAAAGTTGGTTTCTTGGCAAAAATATTTAATTCAAGTTTAGGGAATAAAATGAGCCTTTCTTTTTCTTTTTAAAAAAAAAATATAGAATTCAAATTTCAAAAACCCTACCCCATGTGTTAGAGTGAGGGGAGACATAGCTGCTAATTTTGGGGTTTCCACTGGATAATACCAAAGATTTTGTGTTTCTTGCAAATGGCATTTCCAGTTAGTTGCCCTGCCTTCTGCAATATGTATTTCAATTAGTTATTGCGCGATTTGTTTAGTTTTTCTGGGCCTAATGACCACTTCAGCCTAAAAAAAGCCCATTTCGATGCTGTCATGAGATTCAATTCCGACTTTCCGAGTCCAAATGCATGTGAAAGGTGCCATATAATATGACCAATAATAACTAAAACGTTTATTTTAAATATACTTTAATTTTGTATATGCTGAAATTCAAAAAATAATTAATTTATAATTTAAAATTTAATCATTCACTTATCTAATAAATTTAATAAAAATAATACAAAATCATGTTTTAATTCTAAAGTACCTAAAATATATTATATTATAATAAAAAGTAAATTGTATTCTTATTTAAATTTAATCAAGAAGTTTTGACTTTAAAATTTTAAGACATTACATCTTAATTAAGAAATTTATTTTTAATACATAATTTATGAGTATTAGTATATATTTATTAGTGTTAGTATAGTTAGTATTAAAATTACATGTGCACTGAATTCTCAATACACTAGCTCAAAAATATGGCCTCATTATGTTCTTTTTTATTTGCATGATTTGATAAAACACATAAATTTAGTCAATAAAAATTATTTTACTATTTTTTAACTCATTAAAATATTAATAAAAGTCATTCATTTAATGTACAATAGTAAAAGTTATTATAGGAAAAATAATTGTTACATATCTAAATTTAAAAACCTTACAAACGAACAACAAATAAATAAAATTGGACGAAATGAGTATTCTAAAACAATTAATGTAACTCCATCCATACAATTTTCTTACACTACTATAAATTATTGTAATAAAATTCAGCCACGATAATTAATTAAGAGGTTTCAAATAAAACAAATCCATTATCGCATCTAAATCCGGAAAATTTTATTACATTAATATAAATTTATTAACTAAGAAGTTTCAATTAGAACCTTATTCATTATATCACGAGATTTGCACATGACCTTCAATGGCTCTGCTTTGGGCATTGAAATCCCTATACCTTCAGTCATATCAACTAATTTCTCATCAATTCTTCTCCATTCAAAGCATTGAATCAAAGACCCCAATGTCAAGCCCACCACTCGTTGAGCCATGGTTGCACCAGGACAAGCTCTCCTTCCCAATCCAAATGGCAAATATTTGTACGCCTCAGTTTGTCCTTGCTCAAACCTCTCTGGTTTAAAACTTATCGGATCATCCCAAACTGACGAGTCCCTGTGAATAGCCCAAGCATTAACCAATACTATTGTTCCACGTGGCACATTGTAGCCACCAATAGTGCAATCATCAGAGGTGAAATGTGGGACCAAGAGTGGAGCTGAAGGGTATAATCGAAGAGTTTCTGATATGATATTATGGAGATAGGGTAATTTTGAAAGATCTGATTCTTCAAGCAAGTGTTCTTGTCCAATTATTGCATCCAATTCGATTTTAGCTTTATTTAAGGTATCTGGATGATTAACTAAATTGGACATTGCCCATTCTAAGGTCACGGACGAGGTGTCAGTCCCTGCTAATAACATGATCTGCAAGATGAGATCAGATAATCAAGATATAGATCCACATAGAAAATAAATAAAACAGGATTAGACGCCGTTATAACACTATTTGGATTTCATTAGTTTAAGTGGAAGGATAAAATTTATCTACATCCAACGTATAATGACCACTAAACCACGATTTAAAAAAAAATTACTATTTTATTGTTAGAAATATCTGTTCTGATAAAAAAAATTATTTTTAATTAATTTGGTATATAGCCAAACCGAGGTAAATATACTTTTAATTCTAAATCTAATAAAAAAAGTTAAAATGGATATTTTTTATAATATTTTTACCAAAAAAGGAAAAAAAAAGTCACTCATTTTATAAAAAAAAAGAAAACTAAAAAAAAAAAAACAAATTATGTAGTAAAAAAAATCATGGATCTTTACTTACCATGATAAGTCCCTTTATGACGTCATCTGTGTAAACATTTGGCTCAGACCCCTGCAACGAAAGTAAATGATCGATCATTGTATCTGTAATTTCTGATCCTTCCTTTCTATGTCGATGCTCATCGATTAGACCTTGCAGAAATTTATTCGATCTTTTAGCGAGTCCTTTGGCGGTCTTCTCAAGCTTACCGCCGTTGATCCAGCTCAAAATAGGCAAAAAATCCTCTGGATGTGATGCTCCGCCATTTCTAAAGATCTCTCCTATCAGTTCCCTAAATTCCTTTGCCTCCTCTTTATTATTCGCATCATCACCATAATATCGCTTCCCTGCAACCATTCTCAAAATAACGTTGAAAGTTAAATTTGAAAACCGTGATTTCAACTCTACCTCAGCAAAATCTTGTTTCGAATGGCGGGATAATTCGATTAATAACCGCTTAATTTCATCTTTTCGCGTACTAGTAAACTCATTAAGCCGATTCGTTGAGAAGATCTCAAGAGTTCCGATACGGCGGAGGTTGCGCCAATGATCGCCGTAAGGGACTGAGATTATGTCGTTGCAGTTGTAGTTAATGTGTTTGCTTAAGGTGAACTGGGGACGGTTTGCTAAGACGATGTCGTTTTTCGTAAAGCATTCCTCAACCGCCGATGGTGATGAGACTACGACGACAATGCGGTGACCGAATTTGAGGGAAATGATTGGGCCGTACTTTTGAGACAAGCTTTGAAGAAAGCGGTGAATGGGTGGTTTTAAGAGGTGGAGATGGCCGAGAATTGGAAGAGAAGACGGTGGGCTTGGAGGGAGGTTTTTGTAGGTTGTTTTTGAGAGGTAGAATTTATATGAGAGAAAAAGGAGGAGGAGAAGAGAAAGGGATGTGTAAAGGTAAGAGATAATGACTTCCATTTCCTTAATTGCTTGCTCGAGATTTTATTTGAGTTCTTTGTCAGAGGAAATTTAGTTATGCTATGGATGTAGTAATGAGAAGCCTGTAGAATGCTGTGAAGTGATATTAAGGATTTGGAGGAGTTTTCATTTGAATTCTTATCTCAAACATGGCCCTAAAAAAAGACATTGAATGGACTATCCTTTTCCTTAACTGTAACGACTGAAATTTCTTATATTTAAATAAAGAGGCTATCTTATAACCAAGAAAGTATTGGTGTTTTGCAATAGGCCCCTCACACACAATAAAGAGGCTATCTTGTAACCGACAGAGTGTTGGTTAGAACGACGCTGACTCATCTTAATTTTTGTAAAATTGTGAGGTTAAAATGGTCAAAATTTAAATATATCTTAATGGTAAAAAATTATTACGCTTTAGACCAAGAAAAGTTATTTTGAAAGAAATGATTAATATATTAATAAAATTTTTATATTATTAATTTGAGTGTAACAAATTTTTTCCCTGAAACTAAACCATAAAAATATAAGACAATGTAGAGAGCCACGTAGCCATGGCCACGGTTCTGGTTCCAGAAAAATTGGAATCGGAACCGAACCAAAAAGGTCCAATTTCGGTTCTAGTTTGGAACCGTCCGATTTCGGTTTCGGTCTGATTATAAAACCAACGGTTTCGATAGGGTTTTCCAACGAATTGCATAATTTTAAATTTTAAATTTTGAAGACCGGTTTAAAAAAAATTATTTGAACATAAAAAATTAAAAAATACACCTAAAAAATTAAAAAATAAAATACTTCAATTTAAATTATTTTTAAATTTATTTTTTTAAAGACTTGAACATAATTATTTTTTAAAAAAAGATTTTCAACTGAATTTATTTTTTGTTTAAAAAAGTTTGAACATAATTTTTAAAAAAAATGGGCTTGAACTTAATTTTTTTTTTGTTTTTCAAAAAAATTAAGTTGCATACGTATCCTCTTAAGGTTTAGAGGAATCAAAGCCCACGTAGTTCTTACTTACCTTATACCGATTTCACTCCTTTTACCTTAATCGCTATTTGCACCACCGGTTGATATTCCCGTTGAGGACCCATCGTATAAATCATATAAATCTTCATTTTCTTTTTTTCTTGAGTTCGGCCTTGCTCCAATCATCCACGCATAATTATGCTTCTAATGAATCGTGTGTCATACGAGATCGTGTTTCATCAAGTATGTTTCCTTTTTGACTAAAAGCGTTGACTAAAAGCGTGTTTCATCAAGTATGCTTCTAATGAATCGGAGCTGCTAAAACTTGTTTTGCAATTAAAGAAAGTATTGAAAAATTATTGGCGTGACGACTCCACCAATTTAAAAGTAGAAAACCAGTATCTGAATAATCATTACCAAACTCAAAAGAAGTGGTTAGATAATTATCAAATTCAGAAAAAGAACTGGATTCCCTTAGTCTTTTTTGTCTTTGTAGTAAAACTTGTAAACACCACTTTTACCCTTTGCGTTGAAAATTGTTGAATATTAGATTAGAGAAGAAATAGAAGTAGAAGTAGAATGAACTGAAACTGAAACAAATTCATTACTATATTAATTGCATAATATTTTGTTTAACTTCTGCATTACTACATTTATATTAACATTATCTTCTACAATCAAGAGTTATACTTTCATAATAAAATAAGTTCAAATAATCACATGAAAACATCCATTTACAGCTAGGATAAAATACAATTAGCAACAGATAAAGGGGTGGTAATTTTTTAAATAAGATAACCATTTTTTTTCATTGAAAATACAATCTTTTATAAATCACCATAAAAAAAACAATCTTTTAATTAAATCACCTTTTAGAATTCTTAGAGTGCAATAGTACATATTAATACACATAGGTAAAAATAAATGAGATGTGGGATTAATAAACCCCACTAAATTTATAGGTTAGCATCATTAAAAAATTTTTAAAAATATCTAAAAATTTTTGCCACAAATTCTTTCTCAATTTTTGTGGATATAATTAATTATCTCAATATTATAGTAACAAAAAGCATAATATTCTTTATAAGAAAAAATTCTTTATATGAAAAAGATTCGTTTAATCATTCATATGTTGAATTCCAACGAGTTGGGACATCCCTTGAAAAATGTTTTGGTCTTTTATTATTTTCCTTACAAAATTTAGCTCAACTTCTCATCACCTGGGAATGTCCCCATAAATATGAAATAGCTTTTCTAATTGGAAAAATAAAAGATTTAAGAGCTTTTAAACCATCTTGTATACATAAATTTTAAATATGGCATGCACATCTAATCTGAAAAAATTTTCCACCAATATTTGGTTCATAAATTGATTTAAGTTTAATAATTGATTTAGTGTTAGCAGAAGCATTATCAAATGAAATTGAAAAAAAAATTTTGGTCAATTTATGTTCATCTAAAATTGAAACAATTATTCTATAAATATTATTTGCATTATGTTTATCATCAAAAGTATGAAATGCAATAATTCTTTTTTTAAATTTTCCAATCATCATCAATCCAATGACATATAATACCCATATAAGAATGCATTTACCAATGATCACTCCAAATATCACAACAAATAATTCTTATATTGAGAAAATAAAGCCTCTAACTTTTTTTTCCTTATTATATAAAAGAATAATAGTTCGTTTTACAGTATTTGCTTGTAACTCTATTTAGCAGAAGGATTTAAAGCTTTTGTACACATAACTTATTTAAAACCTACTTTCACCCAAAACTAAAAAGATAAATGTTTCCATAGGAAATTCATTTTTGCTATTCTTCGTTTTGTATTTTTTCAGAAATACATATAATTAAAGAAGGTTTTAGAAGCGTACCCGAAATTTGTTGTTTGAGACCGAATTCAACTCCTATTTTTGTTGGAATATTTTTGTCTCCAAATGCTTCCAAAATGATCCATAGCGCCCGCTTGTTTTAAATTTTATAAGATTTTCCACAATAATTGTAAAAATTACATCGTACATTTTCTCACCTTTGAATTTTTTCGTGAAATGAATGGCGAATACGTCGGAACTTTTGTCTTGCTCTTGCAACAATTTGTGCTCGTTGCTCTTGGTCTTGCTCTTCATCTTCTTGTAATTGCTCATTAAATTCAGATTCTTGAGTTGGAATTTCCAAATTTTCATTTGGATAAACCTCAAAATTAAATTGGTTGGGAGTGATATCATAGATGTCGTTTGTAGGGATAGATGAATATTGTGTTTCTCCAATCTTTCCCTTGCTCTTATCCGAATTTGAGTTTCCCCCACTTGCCATTATATGATAATAAGATATAATTTGGAAAATTGAATAAAAAAAAATTAGAGAGAATAATAACTTAATAACTTAATAAGAGAGATTGTAGAGTAGACACTACAAAAAAATCGCCAAATTGCGACCGATTTTTGCGACCGACTCAAATCGGTCGCAAAATTGCGACCGACTTGCGACTTATGGACAAACAATCGGTAATTATAGCGCTAAAAATTCCCGCGAGTTTCTTTTTCAGTTTGCGACCGCCTTGCGACGGATTTGCGACTGATTTTGCGACCGATGTGCGACTACGTGTTATTCAGTCGCAACATTGCGCGCTTCAAAATTAGGAATAAGTTCTACGATCGATTTGCGACCGAAAGTTTGAGTCGCAAATCGGTCGCAATTTTATTGCAAAGTAAAACGACGTCGCAGACTTAAAATTTGCGACCGATATTAATGAAAGTTGCGACCGACAGATATTAGGGCTTTAAACGCCAGACGCCCTCCTTAGGGCTTTAAACGCCAGACGCCCTCCTTCTTCTTTTTTCTTCTTTCTTTCTTCTCCTCCTCCTCTCCTCTCCTCCATTCGCAGCGCCGCTCCAACCCTTCCTGACGCTGCTCTAGCTTGCCTGACGCCGCTAGCTCCGCTTCGTTGTAACTCCGGTCACTCCATTGCTGTTTGGACACAATTAAGTTGAGGTAAGTTTTGCGATTTTTTTTTTCGAATTTTTTTTTTGCAATTTTATGTGTTTTTATTATAATAATTTTTGGTTAGTTTTGTGTTGCGATTACGAATTAGGTACTGTTATTATTATTATTAAATATTTAATTATAATTATTATACACTTGTTATAAAATACAATATTGTTACTGTATTTTAATTATTATTATTTTATTATTATTATTATTATTATAAAAAGAATTGGAGAAATCTCCATTTCAGTAGTAGCTGCTTGAAACTGTAGTTGCAGAAACATAAGTGAAGAACAAATTCAAATTTCTTGGAAAAATTATTTTTTTTTTGCAGAAAGAAATGAGGTGCTTTTTTTGCATTAGTTCATCCCGTAAAGATACTAAGATCGACGTTGAAAATGGCCTTCGATCTACCTCACGCCATTCTTCTGATTCTTCTGGTTTGTCTCTGTTTCTCAATCTGGTTTGTTCTTATCACAACAGATTTTATACTGTTGAATTTCTTTTTCTTTTAGTTTATTTAGTTTATTTTGGTGAATGCTTGTTGATGTTTTGTTAAACAACATGTGGAATTGTAGGTAGCGGGAAGAGAAAGCCTTACTCTATTGATAATTCGACATTTTTGAATATAATTCCAGTTCCAGGTCAGTATTTTTTTTAGTTTAAAAATAATAAAGAAATATCATATATATACTTTGGTGCAGATAATGGTAATAAGGCTGCGGACACCAGTGGAGCTCGCAGTTTCACTTTTCGAGAGCTTGCATCGGCCACCAGCAATTTTAGAGAGATAAATTTGGTCGGAGAAGGAGGTTTTGGGAGGGTCTATAAAGGCCATCTAGAATGAGGGGAGGCAAGTGAATCGAATTATACAATTTGGCCTCGAATTATACAATTTGGCCTTCTTATGTTATGAAAAAGATATGTATGGTTTAGTTTGTTTCACAGTTCTAATAATTGCTTCTTTTTCTTTGATGATCAGATTGTTGCAGTGAAACAACTTAATCATGATGGTGTTCAAGGGTTTCAGGAATTTATTGTTGAGGTTCTGATGTTAAGCCTGTTACATCATCCCACTCTTGTCACCTTGATTGGCTATTGCACTGCTGGTGATCAAAGACTACTGGTTTATGAGTACATGCCAATTAATGGGTAGATTGGAAGATCATCTTTTTGGTAAATTTTTTGAACAAAGCAATCAATGCTGATATATGGTATTTAATTTCTTGGTAAACTATTTTCTTGGTTTGTATGCATTGTACAGGTATGACTAATTTTACTCTTAAATGCTTTGATTTGTTTGGCTTCTTTTCAAATATAATCAGTCAGAACTAGTTGCTCTGTTACGATTTTGTTATTTAGCAGATGAGGTAGTTTCTCTTCAACTTTGTTATTGCTTTTGCTTTGTTATTGCTTTTGCCTGTGTATAAATGAATTTAACTTATAAGCACTCCTCTAGGACGTATGATAAGAATATTGTACCTCACTTTTGATCCGAACATCATAATGCCTAGAATAATTCTTTATTTTGGAACAAATTCAATTTTCACAGGTGTGAAAAAATTATGGTTTTATAATAATATTTATTTTTTTTATTTTTCTAATTTTGCGATCGATTAGCGACCAAAAATGAAAATTTTAAATTTACAATTTGCGACCGACTTGCGACAGAATTTTCTGCGACCAATTTGCGACCGATTTATCGGTCGCTAATGTGCGACTAACAAAAAAATCGGTCGCAAAATATTTTGCGACGAGAATTTTTGCGACCGATAAATATCGGTCGCAAATCCGTTGCTAATTGAATTTAGCGACCGATTTTTTGGCATTTTGCGACCGATTGGTCGGTCGCAAAATGCCGTTTTTTTTGTAGTGAGAGAAGAATAAATGAATAATATAGAGTAGATATTGTAAGAGTAAGTAGAGAGATTGTAGTATATTGTAGAGGAGATATTGTAGAGAGAGTAAGTAGAGAGAGTTGAGATTTTTTTGTAATGAATTTATAAATAAAATGAGGTATTTATAATAAATTCAAAAATTCATTTTTCTAAAAATAGCCTTGAAACTAGCTGTTATGTAGCCGTTTATGGCTGTTGGGAAGGGTAATTAAGAGATTTCACAACAAAATTTTTTTTAAAAAAACAGGTCTGACAGTTTACAACTGCTAGAACCGCCGGTTCGAACAGACGGTTCCAGTCCGGTTCCGACCGGTTCTCTTGAACCGCTGATTTCGGTTTCAAAAAATTTGGAACTGGAACGGAACCAGAATTCTCCGATTTCGGTTCCGATTCTCACCGGTTCTGGTTACACGGTTCGGACCATCGAACTGACGGTTGCTGGTTTCTAAAACCGTATGATTAGGCCAATGCCTAGAGCCACTACTTGAGCGATATGGGATTAGGAGAATATGATTCTTTTGTCTGATTTGCAAGTAGGAGAGAACCGCTGATTTCGGTTTCAAAAAATTTGGAACTGGAACGGAACCAGAATTCTCCGATTTCGGTTCCGATTCTCACCGGTTCTGGTTACGGTTCCGGACCGATTCGAACTGACGGTTCTGGTTCTAAAACCGTAATATAGCCATGCCTAGAGCCACTACTGTGAGCGATAGGATTAGGATATGTCTTTGTCTTGTGCAAGAGAGACCCGTGCTAATGTGTGCGTATTCAATGACGTAACTAGACTAAAAACAAATAATTTGTCGAAGAGTGATTCATAAAAACACAGGTAAAACTGGTAGTTCACCTTTTTCCTTTCTGTAGATTTGTATATTGGAAGAAGGATTAAGAATTATTGTTGATCAAGGATTAAGGATTATAAATTTATGGTAGTCCAGCGACTTGAATGTTTGGGGAATTTGTTGTTAAATATTTTTTTAGGGATAAATTTCTACTGTCAGTTCAGTAGTATAAAAGATTTCTTGCTTTGGTATTAACAGCACTTAACAGAACCTGCTCTCAAAGTAACGGTATCCTATTATTATTAGAAAGAATATTTAAAGAATAAATACATTAAATAAATATAAGAAACGAGATTTAATTATTTAAAAGATTTAACTTTAGTACATATAAATTGTTCAATGAAACATATAATTATAAGCCAAAGCGTGCACACGCAAAAAAAAAAAAAAAAAAAAAAAAAAACTCATTTAAATTAAAAAAAAAAAAAAAAAAAAAAAAAGTCAACTCATTTAAAGTTTGAATAGTATATTACTGAGTCATGTCAGCAGCGGCGCCCAGATATATAGTATAAACAGAAACAAATGAGCACAGTATACACCTGTACTTATAAAAATGATGACAATTTTGATAACTTCATTCAGAAGTTAATTAAAAAAACCGTTGAATTGTTGAACCGGAATCAACCCGATATCAGTTGATTCGAACCTTGTTCGTAATTGTAAATTTATGATTTGAGGTAAAATTAATTTCCATACGGTTTGATTTGTATCTCATGCATGGTTATCCTGAACTGGTATGTGGCCCGCCTTCAAATGCCATCAAATTCATTTGACAGTGACTTCATCAATTATTATCATTTTGGTTATAAATTGCCATCATTATCCGATGGACCGTAAAATAAAGGTTTGCTCGTCATCTTTACATCAAATGTCTCTTCAGCCACACAAATGGACACCTGGTGCATTCGATCTCGAGTTGAGTAAGAAGAAAGAATGACCAACCGCTCATTCAAGCACTATTAAAGTCCATATAACCCAATTGCGTTCTAGACATTTTCGCAGAAAATATCACTCCAAGCAAAACCAGAAACATGGAACACTACACAACCCTCTACTTCTTCTCCTCCTTTCTTCTCCTCTTTCTTACTTTAAAACTCTACCAATCAAAAAAACATGGTAAAAATCTTCCTCCTAGTCCACCTTCCTTTCCAATTATCGGCCATTTCCATCTTCTAAAAAACCCTGCACACCGCACTCTCCTCACTCTAGCTAAAAAATACGGGCCCGTCTTCTTGCTCCGATTCGGTTCCCGCCCTGTAATCATCGTCACTTCATTGTCCGCTGCCGAAGAATGCTTCACCAAAAACGACATCATTTTTGCTAACCGTCCAAGATTACTCGTGGGCAAACATTTTGGTTATGACAGCACTACCATGGTTCTAGCACCGTATGGTGACCACTGGCGTAACCTCCGCCGCATCGGCGCTATCGAAATTTTCTCAAATCATCGACTAAATATTCTTCTGAGCATTAGAAAAGACGAAATCAAGAGACTAATTATTAATTTATCTCATAATTGCATGCAGGATTTCTCTAAAGTGGAATTAAGATCGAGGTTTCTAGAACTAACGTTTAATATTATGATAAGAATGATTGCAGGGAAGAGATATTATGGCGATGATGTGAGTGACGAAGAAGAGGCGAGGGAGTTTAGGAAGATAATGAAGGAGGCATTTGCTTATGGTGACGTAACAAATCCAGGAGATTTTTTGCCTATCTATAATTGGATTGACGGTGGTGCTTTCGAGAAAGGAATGATCAGAATTGCTAAAAGATGCGATGAATTTTATGTAGGTTTGATTGATGAACACAGAAATAGCAAGGGCAATTTACAGAATACGAATACTATGATTAAGCATCTTCTTTCTCTGCAAGAGTCAGAGCCTGAGTATTACACAGATGAGGTTATTAAAGGGCTTATACAGGTTAGTCATTCTTCTTCCTTGTTATAATCCTCTAATAGTCCAATCTCTGTTTTCAAAGTTATTAACTTTATCTCTATTTTCAATTATTTGTGGAAAGGTTATATTATTTGCTGGAACACACACATCAGCAGTGACATTAGAATGGGCAATGGCTAATTTACTCAACCATCCAAACGCAGTGAGAAAGGCTAGAGATGAAATAGAGAATCTAATTGGGGAAAACAGCTTACTAGATGAACCTGATCTTCCCAAATTACCTTATCTTCAAAACATTGTATCTGAAACCCTCAGGCTATATCCAACTGTTCCACTTCTGGTTCCCCACATGTCATCCGAAGATTGCACAGTTGGAGGATATGAAGTGCCGCGTGGCACCATGCTATTGGTAAATGCATGGGCTATACAGAGAGATCCTACGTTGTGGGATGATGCAATGAGTTTCAAGCCTGAAAGATTTGATAAAGAAGGAGAGGCAAATAAGCTAATGCCATTTGGATTGGGCAGGAGAGCTTGTCCAGGAGCTGGGCTTGCTCAACGTGTGGTGGGATTGGCTTTAGGGTCACTTATCCAATGCTTTGAATGGGAAAGGGTTAGTGATAAGGAAGAAGACATGTTAGAAGGTGGAGGAGTTACAATGCAAAAGGCTGAACCTCTAGAGGCCATGTGTAAAGCACGCCCCCTTCTCAATAAGATTTTGGTTTAAATAACTTCATTGATGGAATAAAGTAGTACGTATTTTAATTTGATTTTCTAAGTAAGAAGTTGATTTTGGTTTCTTAGATCATAAATAAATTTCATTTCTTTTGTTGACGTTTCCCTTTATATTTGCAACTATATATTCCATTTTGAATAGTTCTTAATTCATTTTTCCACCATTTGAAATGGTAGGGCACTTCACTATGTATATTGAAAAGTAGGAAGGAGACCCATCTATTGGGAAATTAATTTTTAGGAGAATTTATAATTTTTATTTACAGCAACTAAATATAATTTTATTTTTCTAAATCATTTTTCCTCGAGATTATGACAACCATACTCTCTTAATATAGCAACAAGTCTTTGCAATCACTGTTTTGCTTTGTTGCCTTTTATATTTTCCACAACACATGTTCAAAGCCAAGACAAACCATACACATAATGTGTGCCGGCCAAATTAATTTAATTCAGCTTCAAAAGATTTGAAAACGACTTTGTAACCTCTTGAATTTATTATCCCTTAATATAATTTATTTTTCATATACTTAAAATCTCTTGAATCTGATTCGTTATTCAATCTATAGGGCGTGAATTAAAAAATAAAATGAATTACTTGCTAAGACATGGTCATGCTATCATATATACACTAGTTCGTATAGCCAAAAACACTAGTTCGCATTTTACTTAAAAATTTTTGTTGCAATTAAGATATTAATGTATTACACTTCTACCCACTAGCAATAATGACTTTTTTGAATATTAGTATTTATATGAAAATATTGACACTACTAAAGTAATAATTTTAATATTTTTTGAATTATATAAGTCAATATTTAATTAACCTAATTTTATAAGTTTAAATATTTAATGGGTTAAAGTAGAACAGTGTTGGTTTAACTGATTAGCAATCTCAATTCCCGTAAAAGTGAGAATACAAGATCAGTTTCCGGAAAGCGCATTTTGCAGGAAGAGCCAAAGATCTGGGTGAGAACACAATTTTAATTCTAGGGAAACGCATTTTATTGGAAAAGCTAAAGACATTTACGCTCTATGGCTCCAGGAAGATGAAACCTTGTAACGCTCCATTTATTACCGGTCTGTGAATAGTATCATCGGTCCAGGAATAAATATTATTTTGGTCCAAAAAAAATTATTAGATAGGATTAATATTTAAATAGTAAGTTACCGGTTTGTGAATAGTATCATCGGTCCGGGAATAAATATTATTTTGGTCCAGAAAAATTACTATCTATGTGTTATATTTTATTTAATATTTTTGGAGTATATATACATGATTTTTATCGGTAGAAAGTAAGTAATGAATATTTTTGGAGAATTTAGAAAATTAGTGAATAGTTAATTAAGGTGTGATATTAATTAAGGAATTAGAGGCAATATTTGTATGGAGTAAATTTGAAATGGTGTTATATTAATTAAAGAAATTAGAGGAATTATTATTATTTTTATGGAGTAAATTTGAGAATTTTGTTGTGTTATATAATATTTTGAAGGAATTTAATTTGGAGAATATTTGTAGCTATTAGATTAGATTTACATTCAATCCTAGCCATCCAATTTTGGTGAAAAGACCAAACTCCCCTTTTAGTCAACTCCATTATTTGAGCAATATTTTTCTTCCTCTAAATTACTATGTATGTTTAATATTTTCTTTAATATTTTTGGAGTATGTATGCATGATTTTTATGGGTAGAAAGTAAGTAATGAATATTTTTGGAAAATTTTAGAGAATTAGTGAGTAGTAACTTAAGATGGTGTTATATTAATTAAAGAAATTAGAGGAATTATTTTTAAGGATTAAATTTAAGAATTTTTATGGAGAATTCATTAGGTGAAGTAAACTTCATTATTTTTGGATTTAAAGTTTTCTTTTAGCATATACATACTTAATCATGCTCCAATTTCTTCTTTTCTTTGTTTTCTTTGTTTTGATTTTGAGCTTATTACATGTAGAGGGTGGGAGAGCCTTTCTAAACCAAAGTTAAAGGCAAAGGACCAAAAGTATTAAGGAGCTTTGGATTCAAGTTGTTTGAAGGTTTGTGTTCATAAGCACACTTTACCTTACTTCAATTTTTGATTTTTGTGAGTTTTTGCTACTTTTGTGAAAATTGGGGATTTGTATGAAGAATTGATTGATTGTAGTAACTCATTAATAGTCTATTCGATTTCTTTTGCTAATAATGTACATGTATGTGAGCGTTAATTGATTTTTATGATTCGTAAATCTTTTTTGCTGAAAATTTCTATTTTAAGTGTGTTGCCATCGCACATTGGTTATGTTGTGTTTTATGAGCCCCACTGAGTTTTTACTCAGCGCGTTGATTTATCACGCGTAGGTTTTATCACGCGTAGGTTGAAGTCTGTATTTGCTGTTTGAAGACCAGAAGAGTAGCATCAGAGCTGAAGCGATATTTTAGTAGTTGATTAGTGTTTTATGTAATTAGGTATTATGGCATGTATAAGTAGTCCATTTTGGAGACTCTATTATGTAATTTATACTTTAAGTCTACTATTGTAAATTAATTGGGTGTAATTATTGGAAGATAAACTTGGACTTATTTATTGTGTAGAACATTCAAAGTAATATGTTTAACTAAATGTATCTAATTAATGCATACGAAAATGTTGTAGTTATGAAATTAGAAAAGTGTTATTGTGTTGTTGTGGTTATCTTGTGTTGTTTGGAATTGAATTTAGCGAGTGTTTTTGTATCACCTCTGGTTTTGGCCGACTTCATATTTTTCGGGGGAAATTCTGCAGTTTTTCTGTACGGATCTCCCAAAGCATTGTAAAACAAAATGTAAGATGTACTACTTTGAGTAAACTTTGTGATACTAAATCACTTATAATTCATCGATTTATAGGTTAAGAACGGTGCCTTTCCGGCACAGGATGTGACATCCGCGTCGGGTCTCTCGGGACTGGAGGGCGGCGGGTGTTTATGATTCCCTCCCGTTATACTAAAAAAAGTGAAATGGTATAAGTTTATATATTTTAGAAATAATAACTTATTTCTTAAGGTTAAATATATAAATTACACCCATAATACTTTGTTCACTTATAATTCATGATTTATAGGTTAAGACGGTGCCTCCGGCACCGAATGTGACATCCGCCGTCGGGTCTCTCGGGACTGGGCGGCGGGTGTTATATTCCTCCCGGTTATACTAAAAAAAAGTGAAATGGTATATTTATATATTTAGAAAATAATAACTTATTTCTTAAGGTTAAATATATAAATTCACCCATATACTTTTCACAAAGACCATATGGCAAAAATTATGAATTTTAGTAATATTTTGCACATTTCTACATTAGTGACAATAATTTTTAAGATTTTTGAGTTCTAATTTAATTTGTAGTTAATAAAAAATTTGACATAATAATTTTTATATTTTTCAACAACAAATAAATGATCAATTGATAAAATTTTTAGATCTGATAGTTAAATATATGATTTTACATGTTAAATATTTAATGTATACAATTTTATAAGTTGAAATTTTCACCAAATCAGTGAAAAGTAGGAGTATTGTAACACTTACTATAAAAATTAAATAAGCAATTTTATACATTTGACAATTTCTTAGGTGACTTTACATCATCCTAATTAATGTCATACTTATAATTATCAAATAATTATAATGCAATCGTCGAAGTAATACTATGTTTGGATTGGTGGAAAATATGGATGGAAAGTATTAGAAGTTGAAAGGGTAGAGATGGACTGAGTGAGAGGTTAAAATCTATGAGATGAAAATATATGATATGGGCTTACTTGGGTTTGGGCCAACCATTGTTAAAATATTAGTACTAACCGATTAGCTAGCTAACTTAGCACCCTTATATGTCTTTTGTCGATTTAGTATTTAGTTGATGTGAAATTCTTAACAGAAAGAAGATCGAGGAAAATACTTCGATCAATAGGTGTGCACTTAATGACTTGTAAACTCAAAATAATCTACTTTTTCATTTTTAGAAATGCTTAGCTTCATTCGTGTTTTCAAACATTTTTCATCAGGTTATGTTATTTGCTGGAACAGAAACACCAGCAGTTACAACAGAATGGCCAATGTCTAATCTGCTCAACCATCAAAACATACTGAGAAAATAGACAATCAATTCCAAAATTGTAGCTTGGGACCAACATTACTTTCGAAAATTGTTTTAAAATCTTGTCTCTTTCATAAATTGTTCTTCAAAAGAAATTATTTTAGTCAAGCAAAGAAAAAAAACCCTTAACGTGCGTATTGCAATGCGTTAAGCATAAACACGTAACTCTTTTCAGTCACTGTTTTGTATTATTGCCATTCACCATCTCTAATTTTCTACAGCACGTGTTCAAAGCCACTACAAACAGAGTGGCAGGAAAGATATGACTTTGCCTTACAAAAGAGACTAGTGCAATCGTTTGCGTAATCAATGACGTAATACGCCAAAATAAATAATTAATTATTAAAGCAACCCAACATGGAAATACTGTGCAGAGTTCATATCACAACTAAATTTAGCAGCTTTTCGATTAAAATATCTACATTTTATTCTCTAATTCTCAATTTAGAAATTAGAAAAAGAAAGAAGACAACGTTGGTGATAACAAAATGTAAGAAAATTCAATTTACCTCTTTTTATTATCAATACATTTTATTTCTCTTATAAATTATGATGCAATATTTCAAAAATAAAAACTATAAGTAATCACAAACCTTGAACGATATTAATTTTATTTCTTAAAAAATGTATGAAAATTCATTTTAAAAATTCCATATATATATAATATGAGGATCTGCATGACTAAATTGTTCTGGATTATTCTATATAAACCCATTTCATTCGGCACATTTGCATCGGGAAATAATAATCCAAGAAAAACCAAAAACATGGAACACAACACAGTCCTCTACTTCTTCTCCTCCTTTCTTCTCCTCTTTCTTGTTATAAAATTTTACCATTCAAAAGTACACCGTAAAAATCTTCCTCCTAGTCCACCTTCCCTTCCGATTATCGGCCACCTCTATTTTCTAAAGCCACCGATCCACCGCATTCTCTACTCTCTAGCTCAAAAGTATGGCCCCATCATCTCCCTTAGATTCGGTTCCCGACCTGTAATCGTCGTCTCGTCATCATCCATCGCCGAGGAATGCTTCACCAAAAATGACATCGTTTTTGCTAACCGTCCAAGATTTCTCTTGGGCAAACACATAGCTTATAACTACACCACCATATCTCAGGCACCGTATGGCGACCACTGGCGTAACCTCCGCCGTGTCGGGGCTATTGAAATTTTCTCAAACCATAGACTTAATATGTTTTTAAGCATTAGAAGAGACGAGATCAACAGACTGATTATGAAATTATCTCTTAATTCTATGCAGGATTTTTGTAAAGTAGAATTAAAATCAATGTTGCAAGAACTAACGTTCAATATTATGATGAGAATGGTTGCAGGGAAGAGATATTATGGTGATGATGTGAGTAATGAAGAAGAGGGGAAGGAATTCAGGAAGTTAATGAAGGAGGTTCTTGCTTATGCTGGAGCATCAAATCCAGCGGATTTCTTGCCCATCTTGCATTGGATTGACGGTGGTTATCTCAAGAAAAGAATTATAGGATTTGCTAACAGATTTGACAAATTTTTTCAAGGGTTGATTGATCAACATAGAAGTAAGAAGGGCAATTTAGAGAATAAGAATACTATGATTGATCATCTTCTTTCTTTGCAAGAGTCAGAGCCCGAGTATTATACAGATGAGATTATCAAAGGGCTCATACAGGTTAGTCATTCTTCTTTGTTATTAATTTATGCTGTGTCCCAATTAGGTTTACACTTAATAATTGTAAACTAAAGACCTTCTCTTTTATTTTGCAAAATTATTAACTTTATCTCTATTTTCAATTATTTTTCAACAGGTTATGTTATTTGCTGGAACAGACACATCAGCAGTGACATTAGAATGGGCAATGTCTAATCTACTCAACCATCCAAGCTCACTAAGAAAGGCTAGAGAAGAAATAGACATTCAAATGGGGACAGAAAGCTTAATAGATGAACCTGATCTTCCCACATTACTTTATCTTCAAAACATTATATCCGAGACCCTTAGGCTATATCCAGCAGCTCCACTTTTACTTCCCCACGTGTCGTCTGAAGATTGCAAAATTGAAGGATATGACGTGCCGCGTGGCACCATGCTATTGGTGAATGCATGGGCTATACATAGAGATCCTACATTGTGGGATGATGCAATGAGTTTCAAACCTGAAAGATTTGATAAAGGAGAAGAAGAGGCGAAGAAGCTAATGCCGTTTGGATTGGGAAGGAGAGCTTGTCCAGGAGCTGGTCTTGCTCAACGAGTGGTGGGATTGGCTTTAGGGTCACTTATCCAATGCTTTGAATGGGAAAGGGTTAGCGATAAGGAAGTAGATATGAAAGAAGGTAGAGGGTCAACTATGCCTAAGGCTGAACCACTAGAGGCCATGTGTAAAGCACGCCCAATCATCCATAAGTTGATTTAAATAACTTCATTGATGAAATGAAGTTGTACGTATATTTTTAGTCTGTAGACATAAGAATTTTATCAATGATAAAGAGTGAATAGTATTCTTCCCTTTTCACCCCATCTTTTCTTTCACCAAATGATAATATTGCAAATATACTAACAGGATAAGAATGAGGAACACTATCTATAATTTGGACTGATATAGCAGTTAAAAGGGTTCATGTGAGAGTTAAAATGGTTGTGAGGATAACTTTTACTGATAACTATTAACTACTGAAGGAAATATAGAGATAAATTTTTAGGGATAGTCCAAATATAGTTTCCCTAAGACACTTTATAATAATGGATACAAGAAGTCTCTCCCCATAAACGGAGATAAAATGCAGGTTGATTCTCCTGGGGTGGACGGGCTCACACATAAGCTCTCAACTATGGTCACCCCGGGCGATACATAGACCAAGAAACGACAGCTTAGTGATGCGTTCTTGGACGTCTAAACCGTGAGAAAAAATAAGAACGTCCACAGAAAATCTAGAACTGACAAGTAGAAGGTAACTTGTTACTTTTCTTTCTTTGTAAAATAATCGGAATCTTGAAATGAATTAAAGTCAAACTGAATGTTTGATGTTTCTTCCATAGAAACTGTTTATTCTTTTTTCTTTTTTGAGAATTATCATTATCTCTTTAATCATTACTTTAGTTATATGCATTATCCTAGCTTGTTAATCTTTAGTTTTTTTATTAATTGACAAACATAAATTCCAAGTTGGTCTATTGAGTTATGTTTAACAAGATGGTTTAAGGGCAAAAGTATCCACAATGTTATGTCTGAAACTGATTCTCTTGCACTATTCCAAGCTCTTGCACTATGCGAAAATTTTATTAGCTTGATTTGATGTATGGTTGGTTAAAAAAATAGTAAGTTCAAGGGAATGATGAATTTTTAGATAAAACTTTAAAGTTTAATGGAAAATTTTTGAATTAAGAAATAATAAAGTGAAAGTTTTATAATTAAACGTATCTTATAAAGCTTTATTATTTAATCAATTAAAAAAAATGGTTAAACAGTGGAGATTGCGATCGCTATTTTGTTATTCGAATATTGTAGCTTGGGACCAACCTTACCTTGGAAAATTATTTTAAAATCTTGTCTCTTTCGTAAGTTGTTCTTACAAAGAAATTATTTTAGTGGGAAAAAAAAAAAAAAAGAAAAGAAAAACAAAGGAAAAAGCCTTATGGTGCGTATGGCAATACGTTGTTCAAACCGTTTTATTATTGTCTTCCACTGTCTAGGAAATTATTGCCACAAGCATGGACCACATCACTCACAATATAAATTTTGTAAAAAGCATTTCAATTTTATTTTATTTTTTTAATATATAATAAAAAATATTTTCGTTTTAATAAAAAATTTTATTCTACCACGTGTTCAAAGCCGCTACAGACGCAACGACGACAGGATATGTCTTTGCCTTATACAGAGTTAATTTAATCGCTTGCGTACTCAATGACGTAATACACCAAAATAGATAAATATTAAACCTACCCGAAATGGATTTGTCTGCGGAGTTCATAAACGCTAGCTCATCATATCACAAATAAATAAATTTAACAACTGTTCGATTAAAATACTTTCGTTTTATTCTTTAACTCTCAATTTTTAGAAATTAGAAAAAAAAAAATGACTGGGGCT